CCATGGCCCATGAAGGCGAGATGCCTGGACGTGCAGGCCCTGGGGCCGCGCGATGGACGGAAACCCATGCCGTGGCGCTTATCCGGCTGGCAATCGCCATGTCCGATCCTTGGTAGCGATGCTCGGATGCGACGTGGAGAAGGGGGGTTTGTTCCCCCACACAACGAAGCCATGGAATCGTCAAAAGAGCAAGCCATGTGTCTTTTTGTCCTAGGACCTAACAGATGGGCCGCCATTGTGCAGCACCGCGGATGCATCAGCTTATCATGGTGAAAGCGCGGGCCACGTACGGAACAAGGGTGTTGGTTAGTTCGCGGTGAATCTGAGGGAGCTGTCTTTCGTGGAGTGGCAAGGCAAGCTATCGCTTCGTCCGAACAAGACGACGAGTGTGGAGGGGCACGTCGTCGTCGTGCAGCATCTGGTTCTGTGTTCTCTTCCCCACCCCACCGATGGCGGGGGGCCATGCTCGCTCCTTTCAATGTGGGATGAAACGGCGGGACTCCCATGTTGTGGGCGGTGGGCAGGCGCTGCAGGGGTTGGTGCTGGCTGCGTGTGGACGCGGGGAGCAGAGGCTCACTGTGTCCCCGTGTGGCCTCCTCGTGTTGTTGTTGTTGTTGTTGTTGTTGGTGGCAGTTGTGCAGGGCCACAGCCGGCAGTTCGGAAGGCGACGAGAGAGCACGGGAGGTCCACGGGGTGTTGTTTTTCTGGGAAGAGCAAGTGCCTTCCCGCGGTGTGGTGTTTCGCAGAACGGAGCGACCTCCCGCAGTTTGGACCAACAGGCATGGGATGCTTCACCCTCAACATCCGAACCTGGACAAGGCAGGCAGGGACGCAGGCCCAGGGGGGGGGGCCTGGAGGAGGTGTTCGGCTGTTTGCGCACCCGACGGCGCGGAGAGGTGTGTGACGTGATCGGGTCACTTCGTCAAGTCAGGACGCGGGGAGGAGGCATCACCCCAAGGTACTAAGGTAGGTAGTAGGCAAGGCAGATAGCGATAATCGAGGGCAATCGAGGCGGGCTGCTACGTTACCAGCCAGCGGCGCGCCGCAAAAGGGAAAACTGGGGGGGGGAATGGATAGGACGCCAGCGAGTGACCTAGACGAGACCCAGCAGGAAAGACAGAGTGCCGACTTGGGAGAACGCTCTCCATTGAGGGCATAAGCCCGGGGGGGTCGAGGCGATGGGTGACACCAGCGATGGGTCCCACGCGACTTACAGCGTATGGATCGCCGGGGCCCCGTCCCACCACCTGCTGGCATCCATGGACGACGTCAGGGCAGGTCAGGGACCGGCCGACGACGCACGCACACGCACGTCCATCCTCGTCCGTCTGCACCTCCGTCACCAGCTGGCTCGCCCGCACCAGAGCCCCCAGAAAGCAGTAGGCCTATTTCGGGCAGTGCGTTTCGACAACTGACAAACGACCAGGGGAAGGAAGCGGGGGGTGGTACTGTAGGTAGGTCCTTGTTCGACACACTGGCCCTTTGGTTGCTTATTCGCGCCCTGAATCACGGCCCGCGCCCATCCCATCCATCCATCCATCCATCCATCCCATCCGTTCCGCCTGCTGCTGCTGCGGCTGCTGGCCCGAGTTGTAAGACCCCAGGACGACCAAGGGCTTGTTGCATGGGGTCGGTCGGTCCGGTCCCCTTTGGTCTGTGGTGGTGGTGGTCGGTCGGTCATCAACAACGCCGACGGACCTTGCACTGAACACACCTTCGCCTTGTTGACGGCGGTCAGTAAGGTATATATTGTATGTGAAGCCGGCGCCCTGTCGCTCCCTTCCTCTTTCGTTTTTTGCCTGCTTGCTTCCTCATACTCCCTTGCTGCTCTCAGCGATCAAGTCCATTGTTTTTTGTCTCTCTTCCCATTGCCAGCCTGCCAATTCACAGTCACACCACAACATCGCCGAACCTCGTCGTCAAACACAGACACCGGCAACCATGCTCGGCCCTATGCTGACCGCCACTAGCCTCCTCGGCATGGCGCACGTCGCGGCTGCCACGGGCGGCACGCTGTTCGTCTCGTCGTACAACAGCAAGGTCACGACGCTCAACATCGGCTCGGCCAACTGCAAGGCCGGCGCCCCCGTGCCCAAGCTCCAGACGGTCGCCGAGTCGTCGGGCTGCGGCGAGAGCCCCTCGTGGCTCACCCTCGACCACGCCAAGGGCCAGCTCTACTGCGTCGACGAGCAGCTCCAGTCGGGCGGCGGCGCGCTGGCCTCCTTCAAGACCAAGGCTGACGGCAGCCTGACGTCGCTGGCCAAGGTCAACACGGCCGCGGGCCCCGTGAGCATCGCCGTGTACGGCAAGGGCGGCAATGGCCTGGCTGTCGCGCACTAGTAAGTGAACCAGAGTGCCCGTTCAACGACGGAACGATTGGAGCGTGAGGGAAGCTGACGCGATCGCAGCGGCGGCTCTGCCTTCTCGACGTGGGACGTCACGGACCCCTCCCACCTGGTCAACATCCAGACGGAGACGTTCAAGTCCACCAAGCCGCCCGCCGACCCGGACCGTCAGGGTGCCCCGCGCCCGCACGAGGCCTTCCTCGACCCGACCAAGAAGTTCATCGTCGTGCCCGACCTGGGCACCGATGAGCTGCGCCTCTACGCCATCGGCGAGAACCTGACCACCACCAAGCTCGACTCGGTCGACGCCCCGGCCGGCTCTGGCCCGCGCCACGTCGACTTCGCCAGGCGCGCCGGCAGCACCTACATGTACCTCGTCACGGAGCTCACGAGCCAGATCATCGGCTACAAGGTCACGTACCCGGCCGCCGGCAAGATCGCGCTCAAGCAGCTTTGGGTGATGAGCGCCCACGGATGGGACAAGCCCACGCCCAAGCAGGCGTATGCCTCGGAGATTGTCGTCTCGGTAAGCCTGTCGTTGAGGGCCCCCCTGCCTCATCGGGGGTATGGCTGCCATTTGCTGACCTGTGTGTGTTATCCAGCCCGACCAGAGGTTCGCCATCGTGTCGTCGCGCAACGAGAACAGCTTCACCGTGCCCAACTTCGACCCCTCCAACTCGACCCAGATCGTCTCGGACCCGCTCATCAACTTCCGCATCGACGACGCCGGCGGCCTCACGTCTGTCCAGGAGGTTGCGGCTGGTGGCAAGTACCCGCGCCAGTTCTCCCTGAACAAGGCCGGCACGCTCGTCGCCGTCGGTCTGCAGAACGACAACCGCGTTGCGCTCATCAAGCGGGATCCGCAATCGGGCAAGCTCGGCGGCTTCGTCGGCTACACCGAGCTGGGCGGGCAGATTACCTCGGTCATCTTTAACGAGTAAAGGAGGTGCATTGGAGCGTACACTGTTGTAGAGCCGCACATGATTATCCGTAGATAGGATTTGGTAGAGAAAACCAGTGACATACACCGCGCGAGAGAAGAGAGGAGCCTGGCCCCCTTTTAATGTGAGTGTGTGTATTATGTATGCGAGTGCTTGCTGTCATGCGCAGACGTCGGGGACCTGACTATGGCCGGCTCAAGGCCCGCGGATCCGTGGCGCCGCACCAACCGTCCATAGCCCGGTTGTTGGGGCCGCGCATTTTACCCCAGACGGGTGCTCCCCGCTTGGGGGCCCTTCGGATGACCGCCGCCTGAGGACTGACGGGTGGCACGACATCGTCTCGGGGAGGCAGAAGGGCGCCACTTCAATGTTTCGCATCGGTGCGCCGGGCGTGGCTTGCGGCTGAGGCAGGGCCGCTGCAGGTGGCAGATGGACCGTCTGGAGTCTGGACGAGACAGAGACGAGCTGTGTTTCGAATGGGCGATGCAGAGGCTCTGCTGCATGAATCACTCGCTGACAGGACGCATCGGGACGTTGGGAGTGCTGCTGTTGCCGCCGATTCGGCGGGGTGGCTGACCACAGGTGCAGCAGTCAGCTCCTTGGAATGAACGAACCACGAGCCTGGAGATCTCTCCGTGTTGGGCGTCCCTTTGCGGCGCGCGAGCCTGCTCTGCCCCTCCGTCCCGCGCACTACTGGGCAATAACTCGGATTCTAGCGGCGCGGGACCTCCCACTTCCAGCACCCGACAGCAGAGAATGGCATTGCCAGCTCGCGGGTTCTGGAACTGCCCGCCCGCAAGACTGGGCTCCAGGTTCTCCGCATTATGTGGCATGACCTCGGTGAAGAGGATCCGGCGCTCGCTCAGCTCAGCCAATTGAAGCGCCGCGGCAGCAACTCGTAGCGCGCATTCATCCGCTCCTACCCCGGATGAACGACACTCATCCTTGCATGACCTGGGCTTGGGCTGCGCCTGCCGTGCTGGTTTTGTGCTGGTTCTGCCGCCGTTCCTTCCTACTGTTCGTGCTGTTCCTGCCGGTGCAGAGCCCACAGATGGTGGTGTCGATGTCCCTCCTCCCCCCGTTTGCTCCTGCCGGCTAGGTACGCACGCAGGTACCTTCCTCCATCCAGGGCTCTCCGTTCTTCCACCCGCGGCCACTTCGTACTCCCGTACCCGCAACCCTGAATCCTGAATCCCTGGCGACGATTTTCCCCAAGAGACCCAACACGCAACGATTCCATCTCGCGTCATCCCTCCATCGCACCCATCGCACCCCAGCAGCTGGACCCCCGGAAGAACCCCTTCAACACTCACTCACTGGCCTCCGTCTCCGACTGAGCCAACAGCCCGCGCCGACAGCCCTGCAGCCTCACTTGTGCGACGCAACGTCCGCCGCGCGCGCGCTGACGACTGACTGCAACCCTCCGAGTGGCTGCGGCGAAGCTCGCCAGCACGGACCGGCCTGGTCTGCCGCGACTCAGCTCCAGCTGCCCGCGACGTCTCACGAAGCTGCATCGCCTGCCTGCCTACCTGCCCGCCCGCCCGCCCGTCTGTCCATATTGACGCCGCATCTCAATATGAAGGCCCCGCGACTGTGAGAGACTGCGCCAGACCCGGACTCGCAAACGCGCACTAAAGTGAGCAACCCGTTCTGCCGCGACGTTCTCTGGCGCTGCCAGCGACCGCTTAGTCGCCGAACCACCCACGACAACAGGCAAATCCGACTACAGCCCTCGACGACTTGAGCGCGCCTGTTCCTTTCGGCCTTGGGTGGCCTACAGTTCCCCAGCATGCGGCCTCCGTTGAACGCCAAAGCTCGGCGCGCATCGAGCTCTGCTGGCCGGGACGGCGGCGCCGGAACGGTCCCGCGCCCGGGCCTCGCTGCAGTGTCCCCGGAGACTGGCTCGAGCGGACCCTCGCAGGCCTCGCTCGACGACGGCATGCTGAATCCGCTGAAAAGGAGGATCATAGACGCCGGCATCGACTACCCCCGCCGCAGGGCCACCATCGCGGTAAGCTCCCTGCCCACAACAACGGCGCATAACACGCAATGCTAACGAACCTAGTGCGAGGTATGTCGCTCGAGAAAGTCTCGCTGCGACGGTACCAAGCCCAAGTGCAGGCTCTGCACAGAGTTGGGTGCAGAATGCGTCTACCGCGAGCCCGGCGTCAAGCTCGACGCTGGCGACAAGCTCATTCTCGAGCAGCTCAACCGCATCGAGAGCCTCCTGCAAATGAGCATGACCACCCCCCAAGGCAATGGTATCAACGCCAACCAGAGCTCCCCTCCAGTGTCCAATGGCACAGGCCTCGACGGCGACAACGGCCTCCTCGCGAACCCGACCAACGTCATCTCCGTCATCCCGAACGGGGGATTTGGCACCTGGACGAGTGGCCCGACGGGTACCAACATATCCACCATGCCAAAATGTCACACCAACGCCACCATGCATCTCCTGCAGTGGCCACTGATACGCGACCTGGTATCCCGGCCGTACGATCCGCAGATCCTACTTCAGCTCGAGATGGCCCGAGAACCACTCCACTCTCTGACCAAGACGCCGTGTGTTGACCTTTCCAACACCCAGGCATATATCGAGGCATATTTTGAGCGGGTAAACGTCTGGTACGCTTGTGTGAATCCGTACTCATGGAAAAGTCAGTATCGCACGGCCCTTTCCAACGGCTTTCGAGAAGGCCCTGAGAGCTGTATCGTACTGCTGGTACTAGCGCTCGGCCAAGCCAGCTTGCGGGGCAGCATATCACGTATCGTGCCACACGAGGACCCTCCTGGCCTGCAGTACTTTACTGCCGCCTGGTCCCTTCTGCCAGGCATGATGACGACGAACAACGTTCTCGCAGCACAGTGCCACCTGCTCGCCGCAGCGTACCTCTTTTATCTCGTCCGACCCCTCGAGGCATGGAACTTGTTGTGCACCACGAGCACCAAGCTACAGCTGTTGCTCATGGCGCCGAATCGCATACCCCCTCAGCAGCGGGAACTCGTGGAACGGATATACTGGAACGCACTCCTCTTCGAAAGCGATCTTCTCGCCGAGTTGGATCTTCCCCACTCGGGCGTGGTCCAATTCGAGGAAAACGTCGGTCTTCCAGGCGGCTTCGAGGGCGACGAACAGACTCAGGTCGGCAGAGACGAGCTGTGGTACTTTTTGGCGGAGATCGCGCTAAGACGGCTACTGAATCGGGTCAGCCAGCTCATATACTCCAAAGACTCGATGTCGTCAACGACGAGTTTGGAGCCTGTTGTCGCCGAACTTGACTACCAGCTCAACCAGTGGTATGAAAGCTTACCAGGCCCACTACAGTTTCCGTTCGCCAGGACAGTGCTGCCGGATCCTGTTCAAACAGTTCTTCGCTTGCGTTTCTTCGCCTGCCGGACCATCATTTACCGGCCGTACATTCTGGCCGTCCTGGAAAACGAGCAGGCAGTTCTAGATGCGGGAGTTCGCGACTGTTGTCACAAGTGTTTGGAAGCGTGCATACGGCAATTGGAGCATATTGTCGAACAGTAAGTTGGCGCCCCTCCGTTGTCACCTGGAAGTCGATACTGACTGTCCTCGCAGCCACGCCGGACACATGCCATATATCTGGCAAGGGGCCTTGTCGATGGTGTCTCAATCTCTCCTCATAATGGGGGCCACTATGTCGCCGTCCCTGTTGAGTATTCTCCTCACGCTAGTCTCGCACCGGGACGCGCTCGACGAACTCATCAATGGAGTCATCGCCGAGGTCGAGCATTACGCGGCGCTGGCGCCGAGTCTGAGCCTGGCAGCCGAGATCATCAAGGAGGCGGAGGTTAGAAGACGGGCGTATTTGAACGCGTGATTGGGTCTTGGGAAACAAAAGACGTATACGAGGCTGACTGAGGATGGACGCGTGCTGTAGTTTGTTCTACTTGTGATACCCACAGCCACAGAGTACGAGTCGCGGAAGACTCGGTGCCTCGGCGATTTCGGCGCCTGTCGATTGCTCAATCAGCAGGCGACGAAGTAAATGAGAAGCAATGAGGCTGGCCAACGAAACTTGCGCCCCTCTTCCCAGTGCACGTCTGTCGTCTCCAACCAAGTAGCACGTCATCACACTGCCTGGTCACCAGCTGGATGTAGCGCACTGTTTGCAAGGGCCATGACACTTGGTGCAGGGCCATGTCCATGTCTACTATGTATTAAGGTCATGTACGGCTATTTCCTGCGCAGTTTGTTATATATATCTGCTGTACTAGTGTATCGTCGTCGTCGTCGTCGTCGTTGTATTTCGTCGTTCGTCTTTGCTGGGCGCGTGCCCCTTTCAATTCGTCTTCTTCTTGTTGTTGGCATCCCCGCTGGGGCTCTTGCTGCGGCCCCTGGCCCCCCTGCCGACAATCTTCTCGGCCCAGTTCCACGACGAGGGGCTCAGCGCTCCCTGCTGCTGCTGCTGCTGCTGGCCGTCCTTGCGGTCCGCCTTTTGCCCCTGCGGCGAGTGCGCTTGTGACTGTGGCTGCGACTGCGGAGGCTGTGCCTTGTGCTGCTGCTGCTTCTTGTCGTCCTTGGCCTTGCTGTTCTTGTCCCCGTCGGGGAGGTCGGCGTCGCTTTCGTTGTCGCTGTCTATCCAGTCGCGCTCGCTCCACGTCACGGAGTCGGCGCGGTCTGTGGGGTGGGGGTGGGTGCGAGGCACGCTGAGGGGCGCGGATGCCGACGCCGCGGCCGACGCTGAAGCTGATGCTGATGCAGATGCGGACGTCGACGAGAGCTCGCTGCCTTGCGACTTGGGCAGGTCCGGGACCTCGTCCAGAGCCTCCCTCGCCTCGCTCTCGTTGCGGCCGGTGGTGGGCTTGGCGACGTTGAGGGTGCTCGAGGACGCGGCCGCGGCCTTGGTCTCGGCGCCGTGCTCGTCGGGCGGCTGGTTCATGTCGAGGGCGCGCTCGCCGAGGTGCTCGTCCTCGGTGCGCATGCGCGCCGTCGCCGAGTCGCTAAAGTGCGCATCCACGAGGTGCTTGATGACGGGCCAGCCGTAGGCGTTGGGGAACATGCGACGAACAAAGATGTTGTTGTGCGCGTCCGGCTCGAGCTTGACCAGCACCTTGCGCCACGACAGGTCGCGGTGGTAGCCCCTGGCGATCTTCTCCTCGACGCGCATGTTCGAGCCGTCCACTACCTCGTCGGGGTGCTTATCGGGGTTCGTATGCGCCGTGTCATCGTAGTCCTTGGTCGAGTTGAGCGAGTCCTCGTGGTTGACGGACGGGTACGGAGAAGAGGAGCCGCTAGTAGTGGATTGCTGCGATATGGAGCCCGTGCGATTGAAAGTCTTGCGGCGCAGTGTCGCCGGGCGTTTCTTCATCGGCGGGGGTGGTATATCGACTGGGTGGTAGACACGGTCGTGGAATATGGTCCGGGGTCGTTTCGAGGGGTCAATGACATACTCGACGCTCGGGACACTGGGGTTCAACAAGTCTCCGGCGGATTCGAAAAACGTCGTCTTCGGCGGCACCGCCACCCCTTGTGCCCCTTCTTCGAGTTCATGGCCCGACGTTGCCTTGCCGGACTTGGTTGCTTGACGGCTCTGACTAGACGTGTCCGACAGATCAGGCGATACGGGAGCCTGGTCCAGGGGCATCGTCTGCCCGCGCCGCAGTATCATCTTTTGTTTTTGGGAAATAGGCTGTTCTTTTGGTGGGTCATTGCTCTTGAACAGGTTAAAGAAGCCAGACAGAGGCCCGCCGGTGGAGGGCTCTACCGTGCCCGGCGAAGGAACATCGTCTTCGGTGTATGGGGTTGGTATCGATCGGAGACTCGCTCTATCGTCCTCTATCATTGCATCGCTCGACGGCTGAGGAACCTGGCGCATATTGTCGCGCGGCGTTGTGGTCCCCGAATCGGTCTGCTCGCCGTTGTTGGGCAGTTGCTTAGGACGAAGGCTCGCCATGTTGGTGCCCGTCAGCTCCGCCCAGCCAAAGCCCACCATCGTCTCGACCAGTCCAGCGTCACGTCGCGCCTTTTCGACACGGCCGAGCCCTTGCCAGTCCAGGAACAAAAGACAGCTGGTTCGAAGTGGGACGATGCCATCGTTGACGACATTCGAGTAGACCGTACGGTTCCGGAACTTCTTGAGCGCCGTGTGAGCCGGGCCCGTTGGTAGGATCCTCAGCAGTGGCTTCGACTCTGGTTGCGTCTCTCCATACACTTTTTTGTGTGCCGACTCGCCCAGGTTGCTCACGATGGCGCCCCAGCCGCTCCTGGCCAATGTTGGCGCCCGCCACGTCAGTCCCAGATCCTGGCCAGTGCGGCCGACGAGGCCAAAGTCGAGCGCAAACTTGACATAGAGTGGGTTCTCGTTGCTCAGTCCGAGAAACGGCGACGCTAGGGTGATGAAGTTGATGGGCTTGATATGCTCGAAGAATTGCGGTGAGTGCTTTTGGATGTACGCGACCGCATAAGTCTGGACCAGGCCACCCAAAGAATGCGCCACGAAGCTGATGCTGGTGATTTTATACGGGCGCTGGTGTTTCTCGCGCCGGGCCTTGTCCATGTCTGCCTGTATGGTGCTGTGTTTGTGCGCCTGCTTGACTTCGTGCTCTTGGTACTTGTGGTGGTGGTCCCCTTTGAGGCCTTCTGCGAAGCCCTCGCCGGCTCCCTTCCCAAGCGGGAGGTACGGCTGATCCGGGAACGTCATGGAGAGGACATACCTAGCCAGCCGCTTGCCCAGATATTTGATGCCTCGCTCCGTTTTGGTGGCATTTCCCGAGTATCCGCGCACAATCACTTGTTCATGATCCTCGTCTTCATCGCCGCTGTCATCCGTTGGCTCACTGGATTTCGGCGGCACTTGGTCAGCCTTGGAAGCATCCTCTTCTGTGGATTCAGGGCGGGGAGATTGCTGCCTTCGAGCGGCAGCACGTTCCCGTTCCCTTCTTCTCCTAGCCTTTGCATCTATCCTTGCCTGCTTCGCGGAAGCGTCGATGCTCTCCTTCAGAAACAGCATGTCGGCGCCCAGGTTGCTATGCAGCCCATGAGTCAGGATGACGAGGTGGACGCTCTTCTGCTTGGTAGGCATGGCGTCTTCCTTGGTCTCGGGATCGCCCGTCTTGACAACGCTCTCGACGGGCTTGTCGGCACCGGCGCGCTCCTGCAGCCTGTTCTTGCCGGCATCGTCCCAGCCCGGCAGCCGCGGCGTGTTCCACAGGGCCGCCGTGTCCTCGACCGTGACGCGGACAGCGCGCGAGAAGACGCCCCTCGGCTGCGCGGGATGGTGGCCATCCTTGGCCCCGACGCTCTGCTGCAAGTCGGTCACCCTGCCGGGCGTGGGGACCTGGCTCTGGCTGCCGACGACGGGCAGCGAGCCGCTCAAGCTGAGGGACTTGCGGTCGCGGGCCACGACGAGCTCGTACCCCACAGCGACACTCGTTGAGAAGATGACCTGGGAGGAGACCTCAATGACCCAGCTGGCGCTCTCGGCGTCGTGCTCGGGCGCCTTGCCAAAGTGGCCATGGCGGCCGGTGCCGGCGGCCTGGCGGATATCGTCGGGGACGACGAGCTCGCACTCCCACGAGCCGCCGGCCTTGAGCATGGGCTCGTATTGGGGGACGCCATAGCGGCGGGGATTGGGGAAGCGCTCGTTGGGGGAGAATTCCGAGGGGTAGGCGGAGACGGAGAGGGTATAGGGGCCGTGCACGAAGGCGGCGCGCAGGGCAATGGCCGAGGTGTTGCGGATGCGGACGAAGAGCTTCTCGGGCGAGGGCAGGATGCGGTCCTGCGACGGGGTGTAGGTGACGGTGTAGCGGACGACCTCGCCTATCTTGACGGCGCCGACCTGGTGGAGGAGCAGCATCGTTCCTTTGTCGTCGCGCGTTTCTGTACGTACGATTTCCCCCCGGCGCCCCGGAGTGTGGGGTTCGGGCTCGGCTTCGAGACGCGCGCGGGTCTGGCTGGAGACGAGACAGGGAACGGAGGAGGAGGAGGAGGAGGCGCCGCTGTCCGAGTCAGGGCAGGGCGGGCGGGACGTGCTCCTCGACGTCGGAGGCGGATGGGGGGCGGGCGTCGCTGGAGAGATGTCGTCAACTGAGGACCAGCATAATCCTCGCACGTGCCGGTGGCGTTTCGGGGGTTCTTCGAGGTAGATAAGGTATTTGGAGAAGCGTGGGACAGCAAGTGGTCGCCGACTTGCTCACCAAGCAAGAGAAAGCCGTGAAAGGGGCTTCGGCGGTATCTGGTCGTATAGGTCGTGGAGCGAGTCGGGGGGCGTCGTCCGTGAAGGTGTAAAAGTAGAAAAGCATGAGGCCGCCTGGGTGAGATGCGTTCGACGGGAGGTACGAAGTACTTTCGGTTGAGATGGTGGTGGAGGTGGCGGCGGCGGCGGCGGCGGCGGCGGAGGCAGCGCTGGGTGGCACCCGGACGTGAATTTGGCAGGGGACAGACGGGAGCGACTCAAGATTGACGTCGATGGCCTGGACCAGGACCCGCGGGCACGCGCGCACGCACGCACGCACGCCCCAGTCTTGCACTTGCAGGCAGGTTTTCTCATTTTAGCGCTTGCGTGGTATAATGTAGAGCCTACCATGTGGGGTGAAAAATAATCGCCGCTTCAGAGCACATCGCCCAGCTGCAATATCAGCGTCCTACAAGCTTTACGAACTCATTTCTTCAAAATAAAAGACGAAAGATTGAAGATCTAGGGTCAAGCTGCAAGTTATTAATTTTTTTTTCTGGCTCAAATACGTTTTCTGCTCGTCGTTGGGCGGTCTCGTACGGGAAACTAGCCCAGCGTTCTGCTGTAAAGGCGGCGATTATTTTTCACCCCGCATGCCTACCTATGTACCGTATCCCAACTTAGCATGTGGCTCTGGACCGCCGCCGCCGCCGCCGCCGCCGCCGCCGCCGCCGCTGCGATGGATCAACGGTCCTGCCTCCAGGTTGTCAGCGGCGCCTGGATGACGACGACCTGCACCACCTTAGTAGGCCAGACCCAGTTGATCCTGGATGAGACGGGACCAAATCCCACGCCCGCGCTGCCCTCCCTGGACCCCCCCACAACAGGGTTCCTTAAAGACGGCAAACCGTCTATCCGTCCGTCCGTCCGTCCCGTCCATTCTTTGCGTTCATACGTATTATGTACAGGTACCCAAAATGGCAGTGCCAAGGTAGCACTCACAAAACGGGCAATGGCATAAAATGTCTTCGCCGCGGCCACCTCTAGCCAACAAAATCAAGTCCCTACAACAGAGGTACCTACCTATCTACCTCACCTACAAGCGTCGGCCCGCCGGACTGCAAGGGTCCTCCGCCGGCTCCGGTCCCGACACGCGCGCGGCGCGGCGTGCAGACCCCCGACCCCCCGACCTTTCCCTCCCCGTCATGGCCTGGCCCATCCGCCAGCATGCCAGCCAGACCTGAACATGCCCACGAGCGCACGACGGGTGCTCACGTCCGTCGTCCACATGCCCATGGACGCTTCCGCGTCACATCGTGTGAGCGTTTTGGTGCGGCCCACACACTGCCCGCCCGCCCGTCGACCAGCAAGCGCCCGCCCGCCTCAAATCACGAGCCGGCGCCCCCTCGTGACATCACGCGACATGCGCCCTCAGCCCCTGAAACTATACGTATCGCGATTGAACCCTTTGCGAGGGAGGGACTCGACTTCACGCCTTGTTGGGCCGCATCGGTCAGGCAGATCCTGTCAGCAAATGATGCATGGCAACCGAAATTACATGTGACAGAGAGCAGCGCCCAATCCCAAGCTACGCAACCCTCCCAGTACTGTACCATAATCAACGACAACTACCCCAATTCGAGCTCTCGAGCTGTGTGCCTCGCGTTCCTCGCCGCTTTACCCCCACATTGCAGACTCGGTACTTGTGCTTCACGTCTCATGCTCTCATCTGCCCGTGAGAAGCTTCGTCATTCTTGCAAAAGACAAGCATTGTAGATACAGAACCTCGCGCGCACTCAGGCATGCCCAACAACAGACTCCCCGTCCGGAACGCCCGGTTCCACGAAACTCCTCCACTGCGACACTCGTCCCATGCCCTGCCCGCCGTAGCTGCTCAGGCCCGCCATATCCGAAGGCCGTGGCCGCTCCTCGACGCGCAACCGCTGTCTCGTGCCCCTGGGGGCGTGAATCTCCGCTTCGTCTTGGTAGTTTCGCGACATGCGGCCGCCCACCACCCGCTCTGATCGCGGCGTGTGCGGCGACCTGTTGTACAATTCCTCGTCCAGGCTGTGGTGCCTGAGACTTCCACGTCCTTGCGCCATCGTCCGCGGTATCATCTCCACCGGCATTGGAGGCGCCGCCGGCACCATCGGAGGCCCACGCATCGGCGGCGACATCGGCGGCGACAGCGGTACCATGACCGGCCCTCGCATCCCGATCCCCGACCTGGTCTCCGACATCCTGTCCGCCAGCCGGCGCTCCATCGAGTCTCCCCGATGGCCCCTCGCCCGCCCAACTTCGGCCACGTAGTCCGCGCCCCTGTCCAGCCCCGTCACTCGAGGCGGCCCCTGCAGAGGCGCCGTGAAGCGGCCGCCGCGTCTGTAATTGTCGTTCATGTAATGCCCTGCTGCGTTCCCAATTCCGTGCACATCGCCAACGCCGCCCATCATATCGTGTTCATCGTAAATGTCGTCAGAATATTGCAAGCTTCGCGCCACCTCGGCATCTCGCCGTTCCTGTAGTTGTCGCACAAGCATCTCTTCCTGGTAGCTGCGCGGCCGCGGCCGCATCCGAACCGGCATCGTCACCGGGTGGCTGTCTCGCAGCTCTGCCGGAGCCGGCGGCCCTTCGCTGTCGAAAATGTCTCGTAGGTCTCCCCTAATTTGCGGTATTGGCACATTCATGTGTTCTAAAAAGTCGCCCGTGAATCCTCCGTCGTTGAACCACGGACAGTCGCATCCCTTCCACTTGACGCCGCATATCATACAAAATTCCGCGCCACACCGGCTGCGCGTTGTGTCAGAAAGGCGGCAAGCGATAAGGGGTCTCTGGGAAGACTTACCACGTCATATGATTACATCCTTCCTTCAGCTCGACCACGGCTTTGCAGCGGTAGCATCGTTTCCAGCCCTCCTCCTTAGCCTGAGCCAAAAGCTGAGCCGTTTCCTCGTCTTTGGGGCATTCCTCTGAACCGTGCCATTTGCCATTGCAGATGCCGCACACCTTGGTCCTACAACGGCTGCAGCGCGCGACCTTTCGGCCATTCTCTCTGCGAATGTTGGCTGGCTTGATCCACTCGCCGCACTTCCGCGACGGGCAGTACAGACGATTCTTGGTCGAATACTCTGCGAACTTGCGATTCCACGTCTTCTTAAACTTGCTATCAAACAAACGATCCACGTGTTTGAGCGGAATGTGTTCCTGAGAACAACACTTAGGGGGCATGTGTTGTGGATCTGTAATGGACAGCTTGAAGATGCGTTCCAAGCAGGACCGGCACATGGCATGTCCGCATTTCAGCTTAGCTGCCTTGGAGAGCGACATGTCGCCCATGCAAATCACACAGTCGACCCTGTTTTGTATTAGTCGAGAACGGCGACGATAATCAAGCGCTACTGACCGTGGTGCAGCTCTTGGCTCCCTGGCATGTCTGTCGGGAGAGCTCCGTCGTGACGGCGGTGTCCCGAATATGCTACCAAGTATACCAGACGGGCCGCCCGAGTAAGACCCGGCCCTGCTACGGCTCGACCGGACTGTACTGGATCTCCGGGGACGGTCGTCGTGCTGGATCACCTCGGCCGATCGGTGTCTTCGTTTTACGAGAGATCTAGGGCGACGTTGTTAGCGTTGCATACTCAAGGAATCCCAGACCAACGAACCTTTGAGAAGATACTGGCGGTCTTGAATCCTCAATTACATTTTGTATCTGCCTTCGACCGTGTCGAGAAGAGCCGCTAAAGTCCGCCGTGCGCGACGATTCGCGGGCGGGCGAAGCATCGTCGTCGTCGAGGAGATGACTCGGTCGTAGTACTTCTATCTCTTCGGCATCGCTCAGTCGCCGGCGACGGCGACGATATCTCGTCCCCGCTGATGAGCTCATGTAGTCATCGCGGCTGGACTGCCTGCCGCCACGTCGCGTGGCTACTTCATCCTCCGCTTCTTCGACGACCTCAATGTGGTCTCTGTCGGCGTCACCGTACGCCAGGCCGCTTGCCGACGAGTACGCAGAATGGTCGGCCGAGGGATACTCCCGTCGGTCATACGATGGAGACGCATCTCTCCTGGAGCGCCGCCGGCCGGTGACCGACTCCCTTCCGTCGTCGTAGGCCATCCAATTCCTCGGCCGTCTATAGACGTCGGTCGAGGACCTGGCCAGCGGCGGCGGCGGCGGCATGGTCACAGACTCTGGCACATCGAGGCTCCTGGAGCTGCTTCCGGCGCGGCGCAGCGAGGTCCTGCGCCGGGAGCTATGTACTTTGCCGGCCCGATGGTGAGGCGGCGAATCATGGGTCGGGTCGGGCTGCGTGTCCCAATCGTGCGACTCGGTGCGGTAGCGTCTTGAGCGCGCAGAGCGTCCGTCGCCATTGTCGGCGACTCGATGGGAATCCAGCCCCATCCTGCTCGCAGCCCCAGGCTGGGGTTGGGCTCTGGGGCTCTGGGGGCACAGGGTCCGGCTCGCCAACCGCGGGCGATGAGAAGGCGTCCAAGCTATGAGCGGATGGATGTAGGGGCGATACCAGTTGCAGTCGAAGCATGCAGGAAGCAAGAGGCAGCCTCGTCGAACCAGTCAGGGCTGTCCACGCTGCAGGTGCCTATTGCATCACAGCGTCGGTTGGGGTCGGCAGGTGGGACGTGCATGGCCGCCAGCAACCATGAAGACGGTGCGGTCTGGCGTCAAGAGGGGGGATCGCTGATGCAGGTTGGGCCGCTACAGGAGTAGATATAAGTGAGAAGGAGCTGCTGCCCTGGGAGATTGACGCCGGTCGCGGTCGCAGGTCGCAGGCACCCGCGGGGTCTCGCAGGGTTGGCTGAGCGTCCGAGCACGGAACTGAGTGAGCGACCCGATGATGGACAGGGTTGTGCGCGCAACCGTACGTGAGCAGAGTCAGACGGACGGGGTCAACCCGAGGCGTGGTCAAGTGGCCTGGCGGCACCAACTTCGTTCCTGAGCCTGGATGGACGCCGTGGCGCCGTGATTGGTTGACGAAACCCGCCCACAGATTGGGTCAGGCTCTCCAGGCACGCACGAGCTCGGGCGCCCGTGTTGGAGTTGGAGCTCACGAAGGGGATGGTGGTGTGCGTGGTCTGGCTGCTAGCCGTGGCGGAGGAAGAGTTAGCGGATGAGCGGAGGGGGTTGGATGGGTGGAGTCGAGAGGAGAAGGAGAGTGAGGTGTGCGTGGTTCGGGTTCAGCCTCGAAGCGCCGGCGGCAGTGCGAATGGAGATGGAAACTGAAATGGAAATGGCGGTGGTTGGACTTTCCCTCGTCACTCCAGGCCAACTCCTCTTTTACCCTCCTCCTCTGCTCCTTCCCTCCTCTCCCCTCCGGCCCCATCACGTGGCGCCGACGTCACTTCAACGACGGCGCTTCCGCTCAGCGAGCGTTGCGGATCGAGTCCGCAAAAGAAAGTTCTGTCGGCGTTGAGGGCGGCACGGCGGCCGTCGGGTAGCCGCTGCGGCGCTGCGTCAATGCGGGCGGGCGTTCACCAGCTCACTGTCCATGGGTCGGCCGCCGCCCCGCGAGGCAGCCTCGTTCGCTGGCCAGGCACGACAGCTGCAGCCACAGCAGCATGATGCTGACCTGCACGACGGTGCCGACAGAGCGCTAGTCTTGCATGATCTCACGCTCGCCTCTCTCTCTTACATCTCCAGCCCCGTCTTGGCCGTTGGCCAGAGCTTTCAGCCTCATTCACTCGCTTCCTCGAGACGCCCGCAATTGAGGAACCTGAACCGGCGCTGAGGAATTGGTGGGGCCTTCCGCGGGCCGGCCCATAGTGGGTCCCGGCCCTGATTCGGAGGGCTCCTTTGTTCTTGCGCCCTGCCAGCGTCTCGGCCAACGGCACCGTAGGATCTTGACGGCAAGGTTACGAGGCTTGGGGAACCGGCCTTGAGCTGGCTCTCTACGCGGTGTTGTGGTACTGCACCGGACAAGCCGTGCCTTCTTGCCGACGCCACGTCCATGACAGCGTCGGCCGCGCCGACGCGAGAGTCGAGCATGTGGGCTCTCCCGCCAGCATCTGCCTCGGCCATCGATGGCAAGGCTCCAACGGCGTACAGCGTCTCAACTATGCATGGATCCCGTATTCCGCGCGGGGAACGAAGTACGGAATAGTGAGACGGGGACGCCTTCTTCGCGTGTGCACAGCTTGTCGTGTCGCAAGCGCAACCCGCTTCAACCGTGTTGATCGTGGTCCAAAGGGCAGGTTGACCCGAAAAAGCCGCGCGCACTTCGAACACTGACAAACAAAGTTGGAGGAGCCGGAAAGTGCAACGGTACACAAAGGACACCAATGCGGGCAGCTGATGACCTGTGGCCCAGCTGAAGCCCGCGCACACAGCACAGCCGTCCTAGTATATCGGTCATCTGGTCCGGGCACGTGACACACTTTCTCACGCACACAAACTCTGGCGATGCCGAATCGAGACAACCGGACAGGATGCACAAAAAAACAGAACCCAACAACGACAAAAAAAGAAAACGCTGTGAGGCGTACGCAACTCATGGACGAACAGGGAATCGAACCCTGGACCTCTCCCAGAGGAGGGCAATCGCTTGGAATGCTCATGCTAAGGGAGAATTATACCACTAAACCATCCGCCCAGATGAATCGACTGAACCTTGATGGGTCTTGATTCGTTGAAGACCCGACCGACGTAAATCCCATTATGAACCTGGCCTGTCAGGGCAACGGGTGAGGAAAAAAAACCCAGGGTTGTGGGGCGAAAGAAAAAAATTTAGAAAGTGACCCTGAGTCGAAAACGACAAAAGGGTTGTCCGACCCCTGACTCGCAAGTCAGGAGACGAACATGATTCTGGACGAACGGGGAATCGAACCCCGGACCTCTCCCAGATGGAAGCAAGATGCTAAGGGAGAATTATACCACTAAACCATCCGCCCAGTAGTGGTTGTTGAAGGCTCCTGCGTTATTTGATGATAAGAAGATGGCGCGCACGGTATGAGTGGATGTCGGCCAAACCTTGCCCCACCATCCAGTTCGTGCAAGTCGAGGAAGCACTTTTGCAAACGCCCGGGCGGACATTTCAGGCAGGCATTGAACGCGACTAGACGCTGATTCACCGGCTTCATGCATCAAGCTGCCAGGATGAGTGTGTGGCTGGGTTCGTCCGGATGGGGCCGGGGTTTGCGAGGCACAGGCAGCCGAGCGTCATTCCCGGGCCCGGCACTCTGGTTATGGGTACAGCACGTGGCCGATGCTTGGCTCCGGAGGTTCGCATGTCCACTGCCGGCATGCGGACTGCGTTTGGCTGTATGCCTTCGTGGTGCCCAGTCATTTCAGTATTGAGACCAAGTCTCCATGTTTTTGCAATGCTGTCGCTTTTTGTTCGTCTGAGGTTCCTTCTATTGGGCAGGCAATTGGGGCTGGATACCTAGAGGTGCTGAGCGCTACAAACACTCCAGATATCGTTTCGATATCGCCTATCAAGGCCGCCTCGCAGTGTGACCCAGGACGAGAAAAGTGCAGCCGTAGCATATCCCGAGTCTACTTATACCACCAATAACACATTCTGCTCGCTCGGAGGCTGGATTCTGTCATAAAGTCACTGCCGTCATGCGCAAACAACGGTGCAGGGTAGGCAGCCTCTGACTGTCCGGCCCACCGCACGCCGCCAGTGCCAATGGCGATGACGCCCATGTGCGTCAGTCCCCAGCCCAGTTTCGCCAGCGGCACTTGCTAGATCGAGCTAACCCAACGGGCGCTGGGATTTCACTGAGGGCATCGCAGGGCGTCGCGCCAACCTCGACCGTTCCCTCCCCCCCCTCTACGCCCTCTGTTTTTGCTCTCTGAACCCTCCTGGCGACACCGGCTCCGAAACCCGTGACACTCGAGACCCAACGCATCCACACGCCTTACGCATCCGCCATGGTCCGGTAAAGACTGAGACTGCGCCGCGGCTTCTCTGCTGGCCCTGGAAACTGGACCGACCCGGGGCGCAACTCGCTTCGCGCAGCTAATAAGCTAGGATACCAGCAAAAACTCCGTCAAGCTATCCGCAGCTCTTGGCGCGCCGTCGTCAATCCGCATAACCTAGCGACATAGAAGAATCGCCCGCCCGTGCGCGCGCGGCAGGCCCAGGATGCGCCTCTTCCTTCTCCCCGTGTCGACGCGGCGCACCTTCATGTACGCGCAGCGCCTGCACGTCACCACGTCCCCCTCGGACCGCAGCTACGTTGACCGCGGCGCCGCCTGGGCGGCCAAGAAATGGGCCGAGTGGGAGAAGAAGGAGTCGGGCTGGCAGCGCAAGGTCGTCGACTACGGCAACCACGCGTTTCGCCGCATCCCATACGAGGAATGGGGCCTCAAGTCGGTGCCGCCCCTGTCGGCCCGCCGTCGCGACGACGAGCTGCGCGGCAAGGAAAAGGTCGAGCTCGTCTTCCCCCCCAGCGCCATTGCCCTCGAAAAGGCTGAGCAGCTGGCCCTGCGGCTGGCGACTGAGAGGCAGGGCCTGCACAAGCAAAAGATGTTGTGGTGTTTTGTGGGGATGCCCATCACCATACCCTTTGCGCTGGTGCCAATGTATGTTGATGCCCTCATCGTCCTGGAGCCTGCCTAAGATGCTGACCACCCCCGGCGCCCAGAATTCCCAACCTGCCCTTCTTCTACCTCGTGTACCGCGCGTGGTCACATTGGAAAGCCATATCAGGAGGCAAGCACATCCAGTGGCTCGTCGAGAACAAGCTGCTGCAGCCCTCGCCCTCCAAGATCCTCGACAAGCTCTATAGCAGCAAGGACCCAGCTGCAGCTGAGGCATCCGGCCGCGAGGAGCTGCTCCTCACGCAGCAGCAGGTCCGTACCTTTTCCGAGGCCCTCGACGTCCCCGCTCTCGAGATTGAACTCGAGCGGGCGATATGGCAGGTGGAAAAGGCCGTGGCAGACAAGGATCACGGCAAAGCGGCCGCCTCGACTACCAAAAAATCCGACTCGGAAGAGTCCCAGGACAAACAACAACCGACAGGACAGGACAAGGAGAAGAAGCAATGAAGCAGAGCCTTGCCCTCACTTCAATGTACGATATCGACGGCCAGCCTCAGACGCCACGCATGTATTCGATGTATATCCGCATAGACAGACGAACTCAATTCCCCAGCTCGACCTCATCGGTGGGGGAATGTTATCATTTTATCCCACAAGACCCACGTACCATCCCACACACACGACCAAGCAACAATAGAAAATGCTCTCGTTGATCAAATCATGTCGCATCCACAAGGCAAGCCAGCCTGCTGGCCGCCCTCGTGACTGCGGAATCTCGAGCTTCAAGTCTTTGCCGTATCTCCTTGCCGTAGAAAGCTGTCCATCCGCAGCGACGGCAGCATGCGCATCCTGCCCACGGCCAGCACCACGCGGCGCGGCGTGAAGAAACCCAAATCCGGCATGTGGAACAGGTACTGCTGCTGCCCCTCGAGCTCCTCTCCTTCTGCGTCCTCGCTCCCCTCCTCGCCGCGATTCTCTTTATCGTCATCCTCATCGTTGGATTCGGGTCCACGATGTAATCTGGGTGTGCCCGCGACCGGCGCATCGCCCTTTGTCTTCCTGTCCGGCCTCAGCGAGGCTGGCTTCGTCTGCTGTCCCGTACTTTTAGCATGTGCTAAAACAAACAAGCCGAGCATCTCGTAGAGAGGCGTTGCGATCGACCGCGCTGAGCACTCACCTGCCTCGCCGTCGCCTCAGCCGCTCGCCTCTCCCACTTGGCCAATTCGCGCCGCGTCGCCTCTGACCTCCAGGCCTCGGCCGCCTTGTACCGCAGCAGCCTCTGCGCAGGACTCATGCCCACGTTTCTCCTCAGCGCCCTGGCGGCTCTCCGTGCTCGCAGCGCCTGCGCTGCCTCATCCTGACTTTTGGGGTTCAGCGGTGACGGCACGCTCGGTGTGTACGCCGCTGCGCCCTTGCGACGGGAGCTCGACGACATTTCGCGGAATCGAATCGAGGCAACAATGATGTCTGAAGCCGGTGCATTGCACGGCATCTTGTCTTCGATGCCGCGCATCGCGTGGAGCATTGTGCGCGCTATTGTTCTGCGTGGCAACGCGGCCGGACTGGAATGCTGCGCGCTCGGAGACCTTGCTTCTCCGCCGGTAACCTTTGCACTGGCATGCGTAAACGTTGGACGACGCTATGAAGAACTGTCCGGCAATGCGGGATCTCTCACTCTATTCTAAGGTTTCGTCGCGTGGCACGAGTCGTAGGCTTGGCCCATGTCTGCGCGGGTAAGCAGCCGTCCGTCAACGGAAGCAGCCCACCTTTGAAGGATTCGACCGTCAACGAGCCTCACTCCTCCCAGTTCCGCTTGCAGGAAGCAATTCAGTTCGTATTAAATGTAGTTTATTAATGCTGGCAGTACCGATGCCTTGTTAATGTACCGTGACGTCCATTAATGCTTGGAACTAGAGGGGAATAGGGAAGCGAGTGACCAATGCCGTCTTCAACGCCTGTTCTTATTACGTCGTACCCAAGTAATGCAACCCGTCTGAATGATGAACAATGTGCGCGCGAGTCGCGGTCAGGTCTTATTACCGTGATTACGCTTCCGAGATGAACGTGGCCTCGGTAAACATCTGACCCTCTTCGCTGATTTCTTCGTCGCCAATCTTCAGCTTGAGAGTAACCTTGGGAGAATACTAGTCGTCGTGTCAGCAGAGACCATGTAAAGTGAGGCTGCGGCCATGCACGAACCTGGTAGATATAGGGCTTCGTTCCCGCGGCGCCGGCCACAATCTTCTTGACAAAACCCGGAACTTCAGCCATGACGTCAACTCTATCGACCCTGTCACCGAGTGACCCCTCGATGATCGCCTCGACGGGCTTGCCATCCTTGTCCTTGTTGGACCAGACAAACTTGACATGGCTGGGCTCGGGCCACTCATTCTCGGCGTCATTGGTGACGGTGGTGTGGAGCGCCTCCATGTCGCAGCCGGCAGCAATGATTTCGCCGTCCTTGACGATGCCGCCCACAATAACCTTGGTTGTACCGTACGACGGGGGAGTGGTAAACTCCATGAGGATGGCCGAGTAGTTGGGACCCTGGAAGTCGGCGAAGTTCCAACGCGCGGCAGCGTGGTGGGGCTTCATGCCTTGGATGGCGTACGAGTACAGCGCGCGGCCCTTGAAGTCGATGGGGCCATCGGGCGTGGTGATGGTGCCCTCAACGGTGCATCGCGGCCAGAATGCATGTCTCATAACGCCCCACGGGTTCTCCAGATCGGTGCCGAACTTTGTCGTGCCCGTCTCGCCGGCCTTAAATCCCGGTGCGGCCTTTGTGATCTTGACGTTGACGATGGACCTCTCGTCGTTCATGCTCTTGATGGTGTATGAGTTTCCGTCCTCGGCCAGCTCGACGGCGCAGTCGTCGGCGTAGAACGATGCCTTGTCTTCGCTGAACTCGACGTTGTTCAAGGGCGTGGAGCACCACAGGTGCGGCTTGGAGGGGTCTTTGGAGAAGACCTTGGAATTGAACTGGCACGTTGTGCGGATGCCACTGCGTGCGCAACGTCAGCTGCGGCAGTGGGAGGGATGCGGACGGATAGAAACTTACGCAACGTTGCTGTAGATGACTTGTGCGAGGGCAATGTCGCCGGTGTCCGCGAAGAGATAGAAGCTTTCCGTCTCGACGCAAGTGGACTCCAGCGCCTGCCACTTGAAGTCATCGCGGGTAGTCTCAGTGTATGGCTTCGTCTCGGCCTCCTCGGCGACCGACTTGATCGCGGAGGGGCCATAGATGGGCTCTTGGGTGCCGGCGACGTTGGCCAGCCTGGGGGGCGACCGGTCAGTCAGAATCGGCGACTGAGGGGCACGAGACCGCGACTTACTGTTGCTTTGCCCAGTTGAACATGGCGGAGGCAGTATTTCCGCTCGAAATCTAGGTGATGCAGCGTAAGAAAGGGAGTTGCGGCAGCCAGGAGGCTGAAATCAGATGCTGCTCGAGGTCGGGGGGACAGGATCTCGACGTTTGTCGAGGCTGAATTCACCGCTTCTGGCAGGGCCGGGATGGATGCGGCATGGAGGGGCAAGGCGGCAAGCAGGGCCCGACGGACGGTACGGCGGTACATGCCGTGGGACTGGACCCAGCTTGCCAGTCCGGCCACCAGGCGCACCACACCAGGGGCGGAGGTAGTGGATGCCCTCCAGGGCCGTCAGGCCAAGCCAACCCTGTGCCCAGGTGATTCCCGACGCCTAGACAGTGGAGGGCAGCTTGGGCAGTCAGCGGAGCCTTGAAAGGCCAGCACGGTCGGGTGCTGTACCAAGTCCCGCCTGGCACCTAAGGTAATACCCGGCGCCACATGTGGGCCGACCTCACTGCGGGCCGACGCCAGGACACCCGTGGACCTCCCTCACTGTCGGTGGCCGCGTGAGCTCCGAACTGGTGGTGCTGATTGCGCTGCTCTGCGCCTGTCCATCCTCGTGATGGTTGGCGATGGGCATGCTCGTAGACGGTGCGGCCACGTAACCAGGCAGTGCATAAATGCAGGTGCCTTCAAAGGGATTTTCGCCTTCAAGGCCGTCTGCACAGCGCTTGGCACGGGGTCCTGACTGCCAGGTAGATACTTGTAGGAGGCAAGATACGTCATGTCGAGTCCCAGACGCGCGTTGAGCCCGGAAACGGCCCGGGATTGAGGTCATGGGCGATGCAGCCCTGCGGCCTTCCCGAGCGCAATCGATAAGATCGCACGCAGGTCAAGCCGCGACGCGACGCCAAGGCGCGAAATTAATCACCTGCAATAATCTCTCCCGTCCGGCGGAACACAAGCCAATGGCGCCGTCGCGAACGCAGCGTGGCACCGCGACCGTTCTTTTCGTCGAGCTGCAGGGCATCCCGTCCCGATGGCGCTGGAACCAGCCAGCGTCAGAGCCGGTGATCAGGGTCCGGCGGCGCCACCGAGGCGGCAGTCGAACAGGCCCTGTTCCTTCCATTTTGGTCGCTGAGCTGGTCGCCGCCGTCACAACTGTTGTAGGGGGCAAGCGCCAACTCAATTTGCACCGCACGCGCCACGTTCTTGTTTTTCCCTTTGACAACTGTACCTCGCGCCTACACAACGCACGAGCGACGCCGTTTCTGCCACGGGCTTCGATGTCTTCGCCGATTTGCACCCGGGTCCCCTGACAGCTGGCGTTTTACTTTCGTTACCTGCCCTGTTTATTCTGGGAGAAGCGTTTGATACTCGTCCCTCCTCAATTTACCACCCTGCCAACCGCCCCCCGTACCGGGCCAACTCGACAAGATTGCCATTGCATCACGGCGCGTCGGCTGACCATCAGTACCGTGTATCGCGGGACCGCACTATCCCGTACCTGCATCCCTCGAGAACGCTCGGCCTCGCAGCTTCCTGGCGCGTAACGTCCGGACCCCAGCCAACAAACAATCAGCCTGCAGCCCCCCCATCGCCGTTATATACCCGAACAGCTGGCAACCTGCAGCAATGATGGAAGACGGTCTGCAGATGCTGCCACCGCAAGCGGCGGACCCCATCTCGCGACCGAGCTCGACCTCCACGTCCGCATCGGCAAACCTTCCTCAGTTGCCTGGCATCGCCGCCCTGGCCGCCAGCAATGCTGCCAACAACGCAACACCCGAATCACCACAGCTCAGGTACGACCATCATGGCAACCCTCCACTCCAGGCACAGCAATGGCAGAAACTTCCAGCGGCACCGACGCTGGGAGGGCCGACCATTTGCGCCAGCCGAGGCTCTGCGAGGAGCCACAACGATAGCAGACAGCGCTAACGCGTTTACGATAGGGCAACGGCAGCACCGCAGACACCGATGAACACGGGCATATCGCACGCCGCAACGAGTGGTGGAGGGGGAGGCATGGTAAGTCCGCATCAAGCCCGGCACGAATCTTCCCTCAGCCCATTCCCCCACCGTACCCTCTGGCAGACTACGGCATATCGGCGGGGCTACACCGCTTGTGATACGATGCAGTGGCAACGTGTTGCAACGGTAGGCCTGCAGAATGGCTACGTCGCGTCTTGAGCAGCTTCCGTGTTTGCGATACCTGGCTGTCCCCTATCATTGAGATACTGTGAGCGTCACGTGCGTTATCGCGACATCTTTTTTGTCTGCGCTTGTCCAAATGGGGCAATTGGCGGGTCGCCAATCAAGGCAACGCTATCTGGGCTTATCAGTGGCGGCGCATGCGCCAGTCCAAAGATTTTTTTGCTCCGTCATCCTTATCGATCATCACGATACCGATAAAATTATTTATCGCGCCGCGCCCCTGCTCTCGCGATCCGCCCTTATCCTCACCGAGCGCAACCGGCAAGATGATGGCAACTAACACGTCCTCGCAGCCTGTCTGCCAGAACTGCACAACGTCGACGACGCCACTCTGGCGACGCGATGAGTTTGGTTCCGTTCTGTGCAATGCATGCGGGCTCTTCCTCAAGTTGCACGGCCGTCCTCGCCCCATTTCGCTGAAGACGGACGTTATCAAGAGCCGCAACCGTGTCAAGACTATCCGCCCGGACCTGGCTTCAAAGAAGAAGGTCCGCCAGTCCTCTCCCTTTCCCCAGCCTTGGATGTGTGACACTCGTGTGACATGCGCTAACATTACAATTGCAGCAGCAACAACAGCAACAGCAACAGGTACATCGCCCTATCGCGCTACTCCATACAAACGATGCTGAGATCCTTGCCCAGAATGCCGCGACTGCCGCACAAGCGATACAACGATCGGCGCAGAAGAATGCGAATGGCACCGTCGAAGGCTCCGACTCCCCCGTGTCGCGCACCGGTACGCCGTCGATGTACAACCAGGGCCTGCCGTCTTTCATGGTCGACGACCCGTACCAGACCGGCTTCAACGGCTCGACTGGGGCAGATGGCGGCGCCGGCTCTCCTATGAACGGAGACCGGAGCCTCGACACGCCGCAGACTCACGAGCAGCTGATAGCCCATAACTCTAGCCTGAAGACAAGGGTTAGCGAACTTGAGGTCATCAACGAACTCTTCCGTGGCCGTCTGAGCCAACTCGAGCAGCAAGAAGCGGCGGCGCGACGTGGCCAGGAAGTGGCCGGGGCAGAGCAGACACAGCTGCGCAGTCAGTTGGAGGCAGTGCAAGAGAGCGAGTCTCAGCTGCGCGCACAGCTCGAGGACAGCCACCGGCGCGAGAACAGTCTCAAACGGCGCCTCGACGAGCTGGAGCTGGAACTTAAGGAGGCGCAAGATGCCGCCGCGACACAGTCAGACCGGCCCGCCAAGAGGCCCCGCCTTCAGGATCTTGCTGAGGAACTTGACGATGTTCCCATCTCCGAAGAACTCGTGCCAGCCCCTGTGGCCGAGGACGAAGCTGCACCAACTACTGAGCCTGAGGCTGCCGCCCCTGAGCCAGAAGCTGCCTTGGAGCCGGAACTGTCGCCCGCCCCTGAGGCGGAGGTCCCGCAGGAACCCGAAGTCGAGCCAGAGACTGAGGCCGTTTCCGAGACACCGGCCGAGCCGTGAGAAACAGCCTGCAATTCAAGGCTTTAACGGACACACCACGTCCAGCACCAAGTTCACCCTCGTGCTGTGCGTGCGGCTCGAGGCGACTCAGGCGCAGAACTTATACCCAGTTACGACCCTCGTGTTGTGACATCGTGTTTCACTAGCAGGAAATGGCGGAAACAGCGGCGTTTCGGTTGAGCTTTCGTTCTCACACTAATTACTCGAGGCGGCGGCCGCGAGCGATGGAGGTATATACAGCAAGGCATTGGGCAACGAATGAAATGGAACCAAGAGATACCCCGGGGCCGAATGCTCGCACTGGCCACGGCCGGTGTTGTCAAGATGGCCGGAGTTAGCGGCGCACGTGGGACAAAAGGCATTTAGGTAGAGCGAGGGTTCCAAAAGTTGACTGTTTATGATGTATCAGGCATGCTGCTCTGCTCTGCCGTGCACAACTTGACGTCTGATGAATCGCCCGCGGAGTTGACTCTCTGCCTGTTGGCGCTACTGATCCAACCAGGCCACCCTTGGTTTGGCTCTACCCGTTGTCCCTACATGACAAGCACGCCGCGTGTCGCTGCCCGTGACCAAACCAGCTGCACTCTCCTTCATGATGGCAGGCAGCTATATTGTTCGTCTCGGTTGGCGGCCTCTCTCATCGGCGGACCGCAAAATACCATCACGTGACTCTGTGTTGGCAACGGTGAACCTGCCCAGGACCTGATCGAAGGCCTGTCAGCCTTGTTTCCGTCCCGGGTCCCCACTCTCCGCATATGCTCTCGACCTTCTTTCATGCGCACCCCCCATCCATCATCCGTTTGCCGCTGAACTCCTTCTCTCGCAATCCCCTCCCACCTCTCCCGAGCGCCTCGTTTCTTTTCTTTTTGCACCTTTTCGACGACTCAAGATACGGGAAGCTGCATTTCCGTATCGCAGACAAGCCTCTCTTCCCACTGGCTCAAACCCTGGAGGGCGACAAGGAGCAGCTTTGAGGCTGCAGCTCTTCGCGCCCGGCGCCCCGCTGTGGCTACTTTGATAGCTTGAGCTCACGCCCGCTGGAGAAGAGGCGCGCTGCGACCCCACGCAACCGCCGCGCCGCTGGGTCTCTTCAGTAGTTCGAGCACCGCCGTTAGCAGAGGCTCTTGTCTGGTCGAGCTTGCCTAGGTGCCGGAGCCGGCTGCACACCCATCCCGGCGAACAACCGAACTTGCGTCCCCGCAAGGTTCTTGACGGATTGTCACATCCGTCTGGTACATCTATCTAGCCTTGGCTTTTGAACCAGGGCGTTTGCAAAAGACCACATCCAACATCATGGCGCCAACGGTCGCCAGTCGTGGTGGCCCCGGACAGGCCCGTCGCGGACACGCACATCCCTCTTCGTCGGGTGGCAAGACGCGTCCGGGCGTGGGAATTGGCAAGGGCCGTCCTGGAGTCGCCGGCAAGACGGTAACGGGCTCGGTGCGGCATCGGTATGAGACGTCCTCGTATTCTTTCCCTTTTCATGATTCCGACCCCCTTTTCACTTTCGACTGGGATTTTCATCCATCTCTGAAAAAAAAATAAAAAATGGTTGCAGCTTTGCACATCTCCATCAACCATTCAGTCTTCATGTGACATTCCAGCTGACATCGATTCTGCAGCAAAATGCTTCGCGATAGCATCAAGGGTGTCAGTGAGTGGCCCCCTCCCGCTCCTGCTTTTACGACCCGAGTGCGCATGCTGACTGACTGTTACTAGCAAAACCCGCAATCAGGTAAGATCCATCCAAGCCGATTCATTGGGGCCCAACGCACGAGGGTTACCCGAAAAAGTCTCGTCATATTGGGCGTTGAGGACTATCACTGACGTGGGGGGCCGACCTGGCAGACGGCTCGCTCGACGAGGCGGCGTCAAGAGGATTTCGGCGGGCATCTATGAAGAGATCCGCGCCGCGCTCAAGACTCGCCTCCGGACGGTACGCGACACATACGCACATGCGTAATCTCAGCCTACGCTTCCACGAGGACCTGTTCCGCTGACGACTCTTTGTATAATCAATCAGGTTCTGGAAATTTGCTCGGCGGTTGTCGAGTATCGGAACGCCAAGACGGTCACAGTCAGTGACGTAAGTTCAAGCTTTGCCTCCCCTCGCTGCCATGTGTTCCGCGGGGAAGCCAGCGAGAGACTGACGATGGCTTGCAGGTCATATTTGCCCTGAGAAGGATTGGTCGACCCATCTACGGCTTTGACCCCGACACGTACGACGCCAGGAAGAAGGAGCGGCACGAGCCTCTGCGAGACACTTGAATGAATCCTCCACAGCTACGGACCATTTCGGGGACGTGTGCTTGTAGAAACGAGGACATTTGTTTGACCCAGATACCTGTTTTCCGTCACTCGGTGGATATTTGCAAAGCGGCGTTTCATGGCAGGGTTGTCTCAAGTTTGCTACGGTTGATTCGAGTTGCGCATGGTTCGGCGGCAGGCCTTGCGGTAATGGGAAATAGGCCATCATCATGCACATGCAGGCGTTCAAGGACAGCTGCTTCTCGCTCAGCGTGTAAATACTTTATGATTAAGGAATGACCGATGTTCTGTCATAAAACCTAAGCGAGGGTATCTCGAAAGTTGTCCAGGAGACAACAGGGTATCTCAAGAGAATGTTATGCCGCTCATAAACAACAGACATACAACAGGCACACAGACACACAAATCACACAAATTAGTCGTCCCGCGCGTGCTGAAAGAAGCAGGCGCCAGCTTGGAATTGCCGGTCACCTCTTCTTTCGCCTAGACGCATCCCACTCGTCAACCACTGCATTAAGCGCCTCTGCAGCCCGGCGTTCGTCGTGCTTGAACGGGGCCGTAAAGATCTCGGGCAAGAACATGACACTGTTGGCGTGTTCCTTGGCGAAGCCGACCTGGGCATCGCGCCCACACACGTCTCGCGTCCGACGCACCGCTGCGTGCAGGAGCTCGCGACCAACACCCTCGCCACGGTGCCCTTGTAGGGTTGTCCATGCGCGGATGACACCCCGGCCACCGCGAAAGCTGGCGCTGCGGCTGCGGTTCTTGCGACGATGATAGTACTGGTAGGCGTAGGACCCGTTGGAGGAAGAGTTGCCAGTGGGGGAAGTCCCAAGGCGAGGCTCAATTCGTAGGACAAGCGCACCAACGAGCTTGCCGCCACGGCGTGCACCCAAGACGACGTCTTCATGGCCGCTGCTGGACGGATTCTGTAGCCATGCGATGTCGATGCTCCTTGCGAGCTTGTCATAGCTGGCCGTACAAAATCGTATGGCAAGCAGGTATGCAGCCATGGCGACGCAAGCAAGCGGAAAAGCGAGTCCGGCGCTACCCCCACGGGACGCGTGGACGAACCCGTAAACGAGGGCCCAGGCGGAGGCAAGGGCGGCGAGGAAGAGTGGGTGCCGGGCGAGAATGCGGGCGGCACGGGGTCTCATCTGGGCGACTGAGTCGGCGACGAGGCGGAGACCCTCGACCTTTTCATCGGACGTAGACAAGGTGTCGAGCGAGAGAGGGGGCACATCATCGTCGACATACTGGTGTCGAGCAGAGCGTTGTTGCGTAGCAAGCGGAGAAGGGGTCGGAACAGTAGCAGAAGAGAGTCGGGAATGTTGCTGCTGAAGGTGGTGGTGGCGGTTGACGAGTTGGTGGTACGGCGGGAGCTGAGGCGAGTAGGGCTCGAGATACGGGGTGTTGCCTGGGGAGGAGATGGCCGATGGCGTGAGAACGAGGTTGGCGCGAAGGAAGGTGAAGAACGCTATTGATGTTAGCACTTGTATTGATGACCAGCATTTTTGGAGTGCTATTGAGAGGCTGGGGATGATGCGCCAAAGTGAGAAGAAACAATTGGGTGAGATGGGTGAGCGAGAGAAGCGGATCAGCTGTGGTGCTTTTGCGGTGGTGCGCGAGACGACCTGCAAGAGAGGTCGTGGTTAACCACTCTCGCCATCGCCGTTCACGACGCTTGGGGCGTGGCGCGCTCCAAGCGCGGTGGGTGCGCGCCTGCCGGAGGAAGTCGGATTCAGGGGGACCCTTGGCCATCGCCTCAACCCGTGACGTTTGGCGTTGGCGTTTTAAAGCCAGGGTCCAGACCCTCACAGACCGCCTGGCAGTCACTGAAGGGTCTTTCACCTCGGTCGACTGGATCTCCACGAAAAGATGGACGGACGCATGACCGAAGACATAATCAAGCTTCCGTGCGAGACACATGTGTGTAGATGGACGAGTCAAGAGAAGACGAGCTCACTCACCAGCACTGCATCGCAGGCCCGGGGCAACACCAACTCTGTCGGCCATGAGGCTGGGTGCACAGTTGCTCAAGTCGAGCTCTCGGACACCACCGTGCTCCATCTTTTGCAACCCACAGGATAGGCACGGCGCGAATGAATAAGTCGGCGTTGTTGTTCTTGTTGTCGCCGAGGCGGGTACCAGTAGATCATGGGTGAAGAAGAGAAGAAGCGTCGTTATAAGCTGTTGATCCTGCAAAACGAGCCTGGGCTGGCCATGTGCACAGCACAAGGGGGGCCAGCAGGGAGACCAGAAAGTACCCAAAAGGGGAAGAAAAATGGAGGCGAAGCAGGACAACAAAGAGTAAATAAAGAAGACGAAGAGGGTAAGCAGCTTGAAAGCAAAAATCTTCACAGATGACGATGGGCGGCCGGTGTTGGTTCCGGGTAGTGGCGTTGGGTCTCCGGCCCGGGCCCTGCGAGTCCGTGTCCGTCCTGGGCGTCTGCTAATATTAATACTGGGTTTGGCGCTCCGTGCTCGGTGTCAGGAAGCAAGCCAAGACAGGCGTCGCTCCGTCTGTTTTGGATGCTTGGGATTTGGCACCAGGCGACGACCGACGGCGGCAGGCAGGCGGGCAGGCGGACAGGGATGGGGTCGAGGGCGACGAGGGTGGTGCGGTGTGGTGTGGTGTGGTGCAATTCCGTCGCCGCGGGACCAACCGGCTGCCCGTCATCTATCTCGCAGCCAGCCTCACGCCACGGCGGCCAATAGTCCTCGCAGTTGGCCTGGTCTTGGCTGCGCTCGCGTGATCGGCGACGGGGAGCGGCGAATGCGCCAGGCAGAGGATTGGACGAGGCTCCCTTGCGTGCGAGCGAGCGTGCGTGCGTACGAGTACGTGCACCGTTCGCTGTGTGTGTTGCGATACGGCGACGGTGATGCCGTTGAGGGGTGGAGGAGAGGCGCACAGGTGGAGGAGGACAAGGAACAGCAAAGAGGAGGCGGAGGCGGAGGGGAAAGAGGCCCAACAAACTCGCAGGATGGGAAGGAAGGGGGCAGGGAGAGTGTCTTATGTACGGAGACTTGGCTTGTTTGGCACCTCACAGGTGAATCGGCAAGCGGGAAGGAGGCAGGCACGACGTCAGTAAGAAAGGCAAGTGCCAGTCCGACACGCCGGCCTCCCTCGTGCCTTCCTGGAAAGAATGTCTCTCCCGGCGATCATCCCGTACGCGAGCTTTGCAGCGAGTCGTTGGACGTTGGATGGGGCCGCGATCTTCGCCAGATCTTCGCTGCCCATCATCCATTCAGACACCCCAGGCGGCCAGCGGCCAGCCTCCCAAACGTCATGCCCTCTTGCTCTGCGGTGCGTCTTCCCTTGTGTACCTGCAACTGGTCCCGTTAATGCGCCGTGCGGTAACTCACTCATTCACTCGACGCAGATGCCGTCCCGTTCGCCCACTCTGTCTGCGTACATGCGTCGTCTCCCGCTCATCCCTCGATCCAGCTCGACTCGGCCGGCCCCCGTCAAAGCGACCCTGCGGCGACCTGTTAGTCAGTGACGGCCGAGCCTGACCAAGTTGCCGGCATGATTGGCCGGCGAGTCTCATCCAAACGACATCCTGAAAGCCCAGCAACCGTGGATCCATGGATGACCCCAGACGCCGAGTGGAGGTGCCCAACGCCCACCCCCACAACAGGAGCGCAGACTCCAACATGACCAGTTGCTTTTGCACCGGTAGGCTGGCATCTGGCTCCACTGGCGTCCAGGTTGCTAGGGTTCCGGGAGCTGCTCTCTCTGCAACGCCCTCATCACCAAACCGGCACGCAGGAGTCAGGACCACCACCCGTGGAGATGTCGTCGATAAACCAAGCCGCCCTGAGTGGCCTGCCGCTCCACTGGCCGCAGCCCGCCGTCCCGCCAAGTGCTGCGCAACGACGCCACTGGCAAATCCATCTGCAGCCGAGCAGGGTGACACCCGAACGCTGCAGCAGAACTGCGTTTGATCGATCCAATCCAGTCCTCCACCACTGTTCCCCCGCATCCTGAAACACAACGCGAGAGAACCTCCCAGCCGACGACCTTCGTGCCGTGCGTTTACGGGACCCCATCACCATTTGCAGTCTCTTTTCTCCGGCGCAGAAGCCACGGAACACGAGGAGGAGCATGTTTCGAGCCCCGCTGCTGACGCGCCCGCCCCCCTTTGAAGCTGTCGGCGCCCCCATCATGGCGCCCAAGGCGCCGTCCGTCCCGTCGCACAGCTTCCAAAACAGCTTCATCAAGCTCAAAACGGCGCAAGCCACGGGGTCCTGGCGTTTCGACCCCTCTCCAAAGCCCGTCTCTTATACACATCTAGATGTGTATAAGAGACAGCCTCTAGCGTGACCCTCTCGGCTCTCGCTGCCGCTTGGTTGACGCGGCCTCATGTGTCAGATGCTGCGGCTTCGAGGGCGACATCGCGGGTGCTTGGGCGAAGAACAGCACGGCACAGCACAAAACTAACTCGCTTGCATTGCAGCCCGTATCGCGTCATCCGTGGTCGACCTAGGTCGACCTGGTCCCCCGAAAGGCGCTTCAGATTTGGCTTGATGAATCCAAAAGTCGTCTCATCCGCGGCGATCGACAAGCCATCAGTCCAGTCTGGGCCCTGCCGCAGCGCCCGAAACCTGCCTCCTTGCCTCTGCAGCAGCTCGCCCCGCGCTCCAGCTTCGACGATACGTCCCCCCTCCAACATCGCAATTGTGTCGAACCCCCGTACCATGTTTAGCCTGTGAACGGCCGACACGATCCTGTGCCCGGGGAACTCCTCGAGCACCCTCACCGTTAGCGCCTCGCTTTGCTGGTCCACCACACTCATCGCCTCGTCAAACACCACTACTGCGCTCGTCTCTTTGCGCGCCACTGCTCGCGCCGAGCAAACGAGCTGATTCTGCCCGTGTGATAGCTGTAGCTCCCCAATGTCCGTGTCCAACCCGTTGTACTTTGTTACCGTGTCCCAAGCCCGACCTTGTCCAGACGTGACATGATATGCTCGTCGGTCAGCTCACCTTCATGCAGCTGCATGAAGGACCGGAGACTACCTGGGAAGAGCACTGGCTCTTGCGGCACGGCGATGATGAGAGGACGCAGCTCGTCTTGCGGTAGGCTAGTAATATCTAGGCCGTCGACTAGTATTGTTCCCGAATCCAGGCCAAGCATCCGGAACAGCGTCAGCAATAGTGTGGACTTTCCGCTGCCTGTCCGCTCGTAGATGGTCACTTTCCAGCCCGGCTTGACAAGGAGACTGACGTTGTCTAACGCCGGTCGCAACTCGGTCGAGTACAACGCCGAGATGCCGCGTATGTCGACTTCTCCCCGGCTTGGCAATACCACTGACGGCTTATGCGGCTGGCTTGGTGCGATTTCAGCCGGGGTGTCGGCATCGAATGGCCGAAGACGCGCAATCCGGCCACGAGAAGTCTGTCTAGCAGTCAGTTTGGCAGCCAGTCTCAGCAACGACAGCAACGAACACATTGTGGATCGACGAAACGTACGTCACTGCATCCTGCGAGTTGCTTGATGCTGGGCGCATACCGGAAAAGACCATGGCTACAAGCTGGGAATCCTCGTTCCGCACCCAGACCCCAAAGTGCCGCAGCAGGGTTGAGTCGGGCGCGTTGCGTTACCATCTGGAACCTCGAAGTATTTGCCAGTGCCGATATTGCTGCTGAGGTTTGCCTCTTGCTGATATGCATCGGGGTGGTAGAGGTAAGCCCTTTCGGTCTCTGGTGCTACATGTAGAGCTGAGATCCCCACGGAACCAAATCTCCCCATTCGATCGAGACATCAACGTCAGGGGCATAGCACGAGTCGTGGAGATACCGTCGAATCTCTACTTCGGCGTCGTTCCACTTCTAGGGGCACTCGCCACACCAACTCAACAGTTACATCGGATACCTAATCAGTTTCCATCATGCTATTAGGTACGAGAATGGTTTCAATAAGCCTAGGTGCGATCTCAAGGTCGAAACTACGGCGAAGCGTTCCGGGCAGCACACCGAGAAATATTAGCCGCGCTGCGGCGGAATTATGCAGAGGCCGTCCCGGGGGGGTTTTTCCTTTCGCGGCGTCTCAAGTTGTAGCGACAATCGTGTGAAATGTGAGATGTGAAGAGAGAGAAAACAAATGCCGATCCTCCTTAATACTCTAGAGACGATGTATAAATCCTCATTCAGGATTAGTGTTAGCTGTTAGTGTTCGGGTTAGGGATAGTGCTGTCAAGTGCTGTATGCGGGTGTGAAAGAGCCTTGTGGTTCTATTTCTCTGTTAGGGACTATGCCCCCTATATATATACATCTGAGTCCGTCTATAGGGGTTGTATGACGCTACAAGGCACCTACTATAGGGAATTGCTAACCCCTAGAGTCAGGGGTCGTGACGGCATATATGACCACTATATACAGGCTGTGCCTACCTCTTGCTGCAGCCTTCAAGCTTGCAACAGATAATGTCAGGGTTATCTTGGTATATGTTTCGGCGTGCTCTCGTTGCCCTCGTTGCTGCTATTGTTGCTACTGCGATAGGGCGGGCTCTACAACTAGCAAAAGTTGGCTCTACTCTTCTACATAATAGCCAGCGGAAAGTTCACATCATCTGCACGTATTGACCTGTGATGGCCGTGAGCTGCCGCGCGCGCACGTGCGTGTGGGCTCACGTCGACGGTCGCGCGAGCTTGGGACCGTTGCTCATCGTCGTCGGGTGAGGTCGTTTTTGGGTCGGTCTCGGGAGATGTAGCCGGCTCGGTGTCATCGACCTGCCATCTTTGGGGCCCCTAGCCTGCGCTGTCATACCCTACGCAGTCGCGGTTCGACGCGGGGTCGGCCATCACTCGCAAAGCTTCCAAACCACCTCCCCGCACTCACCGTCCCTGGAAACATTGAACGCTGCTTAAAGTACGGTCCTTTGTATTTCTTTGCGATTGATTGTCCCCGGGGTTCTGCTTCTGGTCTGGCCAATTAGCCCGAAGCACCGTTGTATCTAGTGGTACAGTACGACCCTGGCCTGACCGCGATAACCTTTTCGGTGGGTGCTTCAAGTGGCCCCGGAATCTCCACGGGCGTTTAGTTCGCATCTAGCCAGCATCGGGTGGCTCTCTTCCCTGCACTCTGCGCCGCCTGGACAAATTCCATTCACGACCTCGAGATAACGCGGCACGCGAGGCATCTGGGCTGGTCGAGCCTACAGACTCACTTGCGACAATGGCGCACGCCCACATAACACCGTCCAACATCCACCTCAAGTGGTCCAAGAATATCCCGCCCGCCCTCACCGTGCCGTCGGGCAGCGAACTCACGTTTGAGCTCCGGGACGGGCTCAACAACCAGATCACGCCGGCCACGACGCAGGCCGACCTCCCCGGGCTCGACTCGGCGCAGGCCGACCCCGCCTTCGGCCCCGTCTTCGTCGAGGGCGCAGAGCCGGGCGATGTCTTGCGCGTCGACATCCTCGAGCTGACCCCAGCGCGGTATGGGTGGACCGCCATCCTGCCCGGCTTCGGCCTCCTCAGCGACGAGTTCCCGACGGGGCAGCTCAAGATATGGGACCTCACCACCATCGACAAGGGCTACGCTTTGTTCAAAAAGGGCATTCGAGTGCCCACGCGGCCGTTCTTGGGCGTCATGGGTGTTGCGCCCCCTACCGACGGCGAGTTTGACACCATACCGCCGTACCACTGGGGCGGCAACATCGACTGCAAGCACGTCACTGAGGGGTCGAGTCTATATCTGCCCGTCCAGACTGCGGGGGCGCTCTTCAGCTGCGGCGACGGGCACGCGGCCCAAGGAGACGGCGAGGTGTGCGGCACGGCCATAGAGACGCCCATGACGGCGCGGCTCCGTCTCACGATCGAAAAGGCTAAGCCGTGGGTGCAGTCACCACACTATCTGACTGCTCCCACGTCGGCGCAGACGGCGCAGCGCGGCCAGGAGTATGCCGCGGTCGGCATCGACGCAGACCTCCGAGAGGCGGCACGCAAGGGCTTGAGGAGCGCCATCGACTGGCTGCAAGGCGAGAAGGGCCTTTCGCGGGAGGAGGCGTACATGCTGTGCTCAGTGGTGGCAGATCTCAAGATTGTGGAGGCGGTGGACATGCCGCACTATGCCGTGGCGTGTGCGGTCCCGTTGGGCATCTTTGTAGACGAGGAGGAGGCATGACAATGGACAAGGTTGCCGTACGCGAGTGTCTGCGCCCCAACATCAAACAAGGTAGTGCGGAGCCGACGTGAATTGTGTCTTGGTCAAGCAGGATCCTCGCCTTGCCGGCTGGGCGAGGCGACTGTTTGATGCAGTCGTTTGCTGACAGAAACCCCCCCACGGCTGCGATTGGCCGTGGCCCAAAAGCCCGTGCCCGTTGGGTACGAACATGAAGATTTCTGGCCGTTTGAAGATGTCTTTGGGTCGGTCGACTGTCTGAAGCCAGCGCCGTTGGTTGAGGCTCGCATCGCGATGCTTAAGTAGGAGAGGGTTTCGACTGGTCAATTGTAGTGGGCGATGGTGGGGGAACTGGCTCTGGCGTAGGCTGCTCTAGGCAATGCCCGGGCATGCTCACAGCGTACCTCACTAAGAACACCTCGGATGCCTGAGATGACACCTTCAGGCGCCCTTTTTAAGGCGGCACATGTCTGGCCGCGACTACCCGGAGGCCCTGGGTAGACGGGCGTGCCTGCCTGGAGAATCTCACAGGTTTTGTTTTGCTCGGCTTGGTGAGGTGACTGATGCCACTGTTCTCGAAGGGCGCACTTGCCGCTCGGGAATCCACTTTTTCCTTACATACAAAGAGATAGCCTACTCGTCGTTGCAGGTACCTGACGCACGCCAAACTCCACGACCTCATCCGAGTCCAGCCCCCGCCATCACCCTCACCTCGTCACCACTTTGCATTGCAGGTTTTTCAATCCAAGGCCGAAACAATGAAGCTCACAGCGGTGAGGGAGCACCGTCTGCTGTCCTAGAGCGCCAAGTCGAACTGACTCTTCCTAGATTTACGTCTATCCCATCAAGGCACTTCGCGGCATCAGGCTCACAGAAGCCCATCTTGGTCCGCAAGGCGTCGAGTACGACCGTCGCTTCATGCTCTGCCGCGTCAAGCCGGGCGGCGAGCTTGCAAAGATCCAGCTCTCCGAGCATCCCGAATGCAGCCTGTTTCAGCAGGAGCTTGTCCAAGGCGACACCCCTGATGAGCGCGGCGTCATCCGCGTTCGCTATCTGGCCCCCAAGGATGAACCCCTCGTGCCGCATCACCCGCTTCAAGATGATGCGCTCGAAGTGCCTCTGGATCCGGAGCTGTCAGACTTGGAGAGGATCGAAGTCAACCTTCACCAAAGCATGGTGAATGCGTACCGCATGGGCGCAGCTTACGATGACTGGTTCAGTGCGTGCTTTGGGTTCGAAACCATTCTCCTATACATTGGCGATCAGCGGCGTCCTATTCTTGGGACATTTGCGCCGCAAGATGGGGAGACTCGGGCGACATCCACAGGCTGGCTCTCCACAGTCTCCAGCTACTTGCCTGGACTGGGCGCCTCGCCTCGACGGGAGCCTCCGTGGCTGGTCTTCTCGGATCTAGCGCCTTTCCTGATTACCAACGAGCAGTCCCTCCGCAACGTGTCAGCTCGCCTCTCAGAAGGGGACATGGAAATGTGGAAGTTCCGTCCCAATCTTGTCGTTGACGCGCATGACGAATTTGAGGAAGACTTCTGGTCCGAGCTGTCTGTTGACGGCGCCCCGGCTTTCGCCCTCACCAAGCTCTGCAATCGCTGCTCGTCAATCAATGTCGACTATGACACCGGCCGCATTGCAAAGGGAGAGCGTGGCGTCGTTCTCAAGAAGCTCATGTCGGATAGACGTGTTGACGCGGGATACAAGTATGCTCCCTGCTTTGGCAAGTACGGGTTTCTTGCCCGCGGTGTCTCTGGCCTCAACCTCAAAGTCGGCGACGAGGTTACCGTTACAAAACGATCAGCCGAGAGGCCTGTCTGGGATTGGCCCATGAAGTCCAAGGGCGAGGCGCGCTTCTATCAATATGCATGAGCTTTACACACGCGCTGCCACGGACTGTCGCTGCCCATCTGACGGCGCGTGTGCAGCGCCTCTCTTCTCGGAAACATGGGGGACACAAGGAAAGAGGCAATCCGATCAAACATTCAGAATGCCGTAGGACCGGTGCACGACCGTCCTACACCTGGCGCTGCGTTTCGGTCCTCTGATGGACAGTGATTGGGACCATCCACCTGGCACGCTCCAGATGGACCACGTCATCTGTCCTCTGACCGGCGGCGCCTTTTCTACATGATACGGGTGCATGGACCCAGATGGAGTGCTCTAGGAACCGGCCGCCTCATTATACAGAGCGCCGTCCACGTGAGCTCCTTGGACCGCCTTACCTCACGGATGTCGCAAAATATTCTGGCCATGCCCAACCCAACGTTGCATGAGCTGGCTTTCACAGGAACAAACTGTCGGGTGCATATGCAGTCCGATCCGACTGCTGTGGCTCCAGTCGGCGAGCATTGTCAATCCATGCCCGCAACCCGGGTCCTGGCATGCGCCCCGGTTACACAGACTGGGACGTCGCCACCCGTTTACATCTCCCTTTCCCCCACCTGCGAATCTCTGTGCAACAGCGCACCGCAGCCAAGACATGCACACTTCCTATCGCCTCGCATAGCCGTATGGAGCACATACCAAAATGTACGGAGCACGGCGTACGGAGTACAATGGGGCGGGGAAGGGGGAAACTGGCCCGGCGCCCCGGTTTCCGCGGCCGTCTCGTCGTGTCTCGCGGCTGCCGTGCCTTGTGGAGCACCACCAGAGGGGCGGTTTGCTGGCGCGGGCGCGGAAGACGGGCTGCGCGGTGGCCCTGCGTTCTTCTAGAATACTTCCCGCCTTTCCCGGCGTCGTGCGACGGCCTCCCTGGCCCAGCCTCCGGGGAAGGGACGGCTGTCTTCCGCGCGCGGCTTGTTGGCGGACTCGCGACGGCGAACGGTTGGCCGGCCGACTCCGACGGCATCAGCCATCGCCAAGTACGGAGCACAGCCGCCCGGTCAGGGTGCGGTGACAGGACTCTTCTCGCGTAATGGGCAACGGGGTTTCCAGCGCGCAAAGCAATACATGGTGTTCTGCTGTTGGGTATTGCAATCTCTTACAAGTACTCCCTACCAAGTACGGATGTCATCCGTGGGTTTGCCCTCAGTCGTCGAACATCCGCAACCTCGAGCGCCCAATGTCCATCCAAACGAAGAATGCACACAGAGTGAACCGCCAACCAAGTTTAATCCTGCAATTTGAAAACCCCTTGATTGGAGGGCCTTGCCTTTATTCGAGACATGCCCACCCTTTTTGCTGAGTCCATGCGTGTTGGCTTGAGCCCGTTCCTCTAGAGTCCGCGCGCCCCAGCACTCCCAACAAGTGTGCAATGTCCCCCATCCTGTCTCCGGTCCTCTATACAACTCCTGTTGGCACAATGCCCCCACAAAACTCCAAAGGAAAAGTAAAGCAGAGATAAGCCGAAAAAGAAAAGTTAAAACCAAAACGATGAAAGTTCCTGACACTTCGCCTGCTGGTCGCGCTTGGTCCCTGTTCCTTGGGCGCAAGGTCCAACCACCGAACGTTGGAAACCCTGTGTGACATGAGCCTCGGACCGGTGGGACCTCACCATGTCGTACCCGCTCTTACAGCACAGCAAGCAAGTCGGACGAATTGTGCTTCCACTGGAAAACAGAGACCAAAACGTGTCTGCTGGTAGGTTGAAGTCCGACACCCAGGCCTCCCACACCACCAGAGGGCTGCATGCTGCAGGGCATCCAATCCGCTGGCTTGAGCTGCAGGCAGGGGTTGCTAGTGCTGCATGAGGCCTGGAAGGGTGCCTCAGATGGAGCTCTCCACGTGGAACATGCAGCAGCGCTGTGGAAGCAGCGCACCAGAGGCGCGGGGATAACGGCAAGAGAGTGTGGATGCAAGAAGAGCCAAAAGCGGACGCCGTTGAAGGGAACGCCGCGCTGCCGCAGCCCATGCAAGTGATGCCTTTTGTGGATGGACGAGAAGCCTTTGTGATGTGTCGTCTTTGCCAGCAAATACGGGGCGTCACGACCAGAGCCCAATGGCTCAAGGCGCCCATTCTGGGAGAGGTTGCTGTGCGAGCCAACCTTGGTCAGTCAGGGCATCGACTTGGACGTGAACGATGTTGGGGATGAGTAAGTACCTGGCTAATGCATCGGCTTGCCATCTCTGGTTGCAGCCGCTGCAAGAGGCTCCTGCAGAGGGTGCCTGACAGGAAACCCTCATCTGACGGCCGCTACGTGCAGGCGCGACACAGGTGAAGCTTGCAATAGATGCACTCGTAGATGACCCAGTGCGGACCCGACCGGCAGTACTGGCAGATCCACTGTACGAGGGTGCTATCGGACTTTATCATGTTGAACGAATGCGCACAAGCGTTTGCCATGGCGGGCGTCGATGATATAGCAGCGTAACGAGGCGAGTGCGGCGGGCTTGTCTCGGAGAGCACAGGAGACCCTAAGAAGGAGGAAAGGAGGCAGGCCCTAGCAGTTGTTATCACAGTCGGAGGTCGACGTCGTAGACCCAAAGCCGAAGTGAAGGATGAGCGACCGGCCGTGAAGTAGGTAAAGCGTTAAGTCTGACAGCTGTGTCCCGTCTTGGGGGCGCTTGATAATGCCGTGGTAAGGAGTCGAGGGGACGAGTGAGCGATGTGCTTGTGCTCAAGCGATGAGTTGCGCATGCGAGTGAGCAGGTCTGGGGGAGAGAGAGGGAGGTGCCGTGGCTGACGGGAGATGAGGTGGAAGAGGCCCTTTTAAGCTGCGACGAGGAAGCTGGGTTGACGAAGGGGGCGTGAGAGAAGCAACGCAACGTAGCGCGGACTGGGCGGTCGGGAAACAAGATCGTTTGCATCGGTAGCTAAAGCACAGCCGGCTCCAGTAGAGGCAGGTAGCTGCTGAGGCTCCGTCTGAGATACACGGCAAACGAGGCCGGGGGCAAGCAGGGTAGAACAGACGAGAGGGCAAGGTGAACAAGCAAGTGGAGGTCCCGACAGAGCGGGCGAGCGCAATGGTCTCCGAGAGAGCGGCTCGCTGCACGGGCTTGCTTGTAGCACTTGTATGTACGAAGCAAGGTTTAGTACCTTAGCAGCAACTTACAGTAAAGTGCCAAGGCAGGGAGGGCCGTGGTGGAGAGCGAATCGGGTTGGGCCCGTCCACGTACAGGCAGGCCGGTACTATAGGTAAGGTACTTGTGCTTTGCTTTGGCTGGAGTGACGGCGGCGCGGCGCGGCGCGGCGCCGGCGAGTGCGCGCTGCGATGGTTCCGGCGCGAGTCGGCTGCGCCTGAGGAGGCTGAATTGGCGAGTGGTGGCGACGTCCTCGTCGTGGGATGGAATGACACGGACGGGGGGGCTGTTCCTGTGCTGTACCAAGCGCCCGGGACGGGCGAGACAGGGGACGGGGGTGTGGTGTTGGGCGTGGCGGGCGCGGCAGGGCTTGCCCGGTCGTACTGGGGGGGCACAGCAGGGAACGAGCAGCGCTTTGGTGCCGTGCAAGGTACTGGGATGCCAGGCTGGGAGGACGACTCGTACCGTGCCGGCAGTTGGCGGCCGGGCCATTCCAAGGTTCTATGTGCAAAGGAGACGACGAGGGCCGACCAAAAGAGGGGAGATGAGGAGGAGGAGAAGCAATGGACGTTGGGCGGGCGGGCAGAGAGAAGAAGCAACTGCTCCTGAGGTAGTCCGTACCTGGAGCCAAGGCAAGGAGGAAGGTACGGAGAGGGAAGCGTGGTCTAGGAGCCCCGGCGCCACGCTCTTTCCCTCGCCAGAAGCGCGGCAGAGTGTGTCCTTGCCTGCGACTACGTACCTGAGGCAGGTACGGAGGAGGGTCTTGCCTTGTGAGTCCATAATACGTACCTATGGAGTACGAAGTACACGGACAAGGAAAGGCTTACCACCTACGCCCGCACAGCAGGCGCTACGACCTGAGGCGTTGGTGGTGCTCGACACCCCAACTTCGCTGGCGGGACCGCTGTCCAGAGGCTGCACAGAACCTTGGAAGGTCCATCCCCGATTACAATTTGGCTGGTCAACGTTTTTTTTCTTCTGCTCGGACGACGCTACCAACCCGGTCTTACCGTTATGGCCGCGGGGGACACGCGACCGAGGCAGCGTTGCAAGGCATCAACCTCGCGCGAGGAAACATTGAGGTTGCCCCCGCGCACTCCCTGAGTTCCTTTTCCAGCGATTGTGGTTGCTGCCCAGGCACTGCCTGAGTACGTTGGCCAGGCCTCAGGGCTTGTAGGTAGTTGGTACGGTACCAGGTATGAATGTGCTTCTCACTTGTCGTGCCTCGCCCCGTCGTACCTTCCGTTCACCACGTTATTGCCTCCGGCACTTTACCTTTCTCCCCCAAGGACCTGGCTTGGTAGATTTTCATACATTGCAGGAGCGGCGCAGCCCTGCATGGCCCCAGGTAACACTGCATCCTCGGCGACCGTTGAGCAAGCGCTCAGCAGCCGGGAGACAGGCTCTCTCTCGCCTTCAATCTTCTGCTCTCACTCGTCTTCCGTCTCCACCTTGAGGCGCTCCACCAGCGGCTCCCTGCCAAGCAACGCAGTGAACGCACCGCTGCGCCAGCACTCCCATCACGCATGATGCACTCCGTCTGGCACACCAAGAACCCCTGCCACCCCTGCGGCCCTGATGCGTGATCCTCCCCCACGAAAGACCAACCGGACCGAGTCGACGTCAATCGAGGGCGAGAACCAGAGACACGGCCGCGGATCCTACCAGTGCCAATGCACGCCTGGACTGGCTTGGGACGCCAGGGCAAGCCGGGCAACCAGGGGTGCTGGGTTCCAACATCACCGTCTCGCAGCCCATGCCACGCAACAGCAGCTAGGGGCTCCGCCTCATCGCGTCGCTTGTCTTTGCGGCTCGTACCAAGGGGACGCACGGTATGCCACGAGGCATCCTGGCAGATGTTTCCTTTCACGGGCTTGCAAGCGTGTCTGCGTGTGCGTCTGCGGGACGCGAGAGCAGGAGGCGTATCAGCAGAACATGGGGCCGTCGAGTCCCAGCGACGAGTCTGCCGCGTGGTAGTAGCTGAGCCCAGCTCTCGCATCCATCCCTGGCCAGCATCGTTCTCGATTTTCCGAACCCGGTCGCCTTGTGCAATGCGCTGGACGTTGGGCTGACCGTACCCAAAACACGTGGAGCGTGTGCTTCGAGGCCAGTTTGATCATCGCACGCCATCGGTGTTTGGAGTTGGGCGGAAGCAGCCAAGACGACGGGGCCTTCGGGCGTTTACGAGTGTCTCGCGCTGTCGTCGTGTGCTTGCCTCAACCTTCGGCTTGCCTCTAATAAGGCCATTCTCCAAGTTCGAACGGGGGCTATTGATGCCTGACGGCCAGTGCATTGGACCCATTACCTGCAGAACGTCCCATCATCGCCAACGAATAGTTTGCTGAGAGCCGCGCAGTCTGGTTATGTTTCAAGGCAGACTGTACCGTCTTCCGCTCTTTTGACCCGCTGCCTCGCGGGCGTCGTTGCTGTTTCACTTCCAGCTGCTGCGCTGCAAACGCACGACATGACGCTGCATTGCCGAACGAGCCCCGGTTCCCCTTGCATTGCGTTCAGCTCCAGATGTCAGGTCCGCTCTCGCAGGGCAAGATCTTGGGACAGACAGAACCATTGAACCAGCGCCCAAGCTCACGAAGCAAGGCGCCCCTGTACAATTCAACCCGCTATCTCACTCAGGCTTGAACCTGATCTCGTTCGGTCCAAACGGCGGGCGCTTTAGACCCCATCGTGCACCCCGTCACACGTGGCTTACGGCGTGTGCAAATACTGATCCTGGTAAGGTACCACCCGTCGCATTGCAGACCAGCACCGCGGTCGACAAGTCGGCAACGTTGCTGCGCACGACAACCCTGGTGTCAGCGATTTCCATGGCCTCCCCGTACTTGATGGGCTGTCAGCGCCGTGGTAGCCCGGAGAATAATCTTTGGATACCGTTTCCTCGGACAAGCGATATTTCTCAGAGTAACAGCGAAACTATGAAGCCGCAAAGTACAAAGAATCCGAAACAAGAGCGGCACGTTGATCGGCGTCGTTAGGCAAGCTGTGGCTCCTGGAGTCCCCGCACATGCCAAATCGAAGTTTTTTCTAACGCATCGCAACAGTACTGTGGCACTCGGCCTACGGGAAAGACATGCAACTATTTGCCCTACAGCAGTGACGGCCTGGTCCCGAGCTTCAACTTTGCGGCCCTTCCCGATTTGCTGCGTGGCCGCAGGATCTAGCCTGGTGACCTTCAGCTTATGCGAGTTACATGCGTAGCATTGCATCACGCTGCGGAGCCCAGAAGCAATTCCACCTCGGCTTCAGCGAAGAAGGAACACCCATGCCCATCAGCACGTCCACTCACATGGTAGCTAGGCACATTCGCTCAGCCGTACGTGCCGCTTCGTGGACAACGGCCCCAGAAGTGAGGGCGGTGCTTATCCCGACGAGATAGATCGAACGTGAAGACGGCGACTCCACCGATAACATGCACGCCGCCCTGGTGCATCGACGATCGGACAGGTTTCGAAGCAGCATGCGCCGAACGAGTTCCAAGAGTATACTAAGCAAGGCCATTGATGAGATGCTTTGCGACCACCCAAGCGACCCTGTTGCCATGATGGTCCAGCGCGTTGTCACTCAAAAGGCGTGATCTCTGGAACCGCCTGGCAACACTTATATATGTGAACTCCATAGAGTCCCAAGGAAAACCCCACGCCGTGCCCATTGCCAACATGAGCAATCGCCCAAAGGCCAGCTGACACACTCTCGCAGGACAAGCCAGGGAGAGCGCATCGCATCTTCTGCTACTCAGCTCTCACATCAGCGGGTGGGGGTTTCCTGTCTCGACTCCTTGTCAGACGTTGCACCAGCCGTTACGGGCACGCCTCGTTGTGATACGGGAACGCGTGCCGGGGCTTGGGCTTCGTCATCGACCGCGCCGCAGAGCTGGCCGACCGTCCGCGCTGCGCGTCGACGGCGCACAGGTTACTGAAGGACCGCAGTACCCCTTCTCTGTGTACACCGCGTGCTTCTCATCTCAAAGGAGCTCCTCGCGGTCTACGCCGCGGTACCAGGCAGGCTTGGGCGCGACCACGCCACTCTTCGTCCTCCAGCTCCCCCCACAACCCATGCCCAGATGCCGGGGCTGCAACCGACGAACGTTCTTGGTTCCAGGAGTCTCGTCAAAGCAAGGCCCAGGGCGCGCGGCGCGCCCGCCAAGCACCACCACCACACCCCCTCCCCTGGTGCGGTGCCGTCTCATTTGCTGCACCACATGGCTGGGCAAGCCATGAGCGAGACAGACAGGGTGTCTACGACAGCGCTAGTCCTGTCCGAGCCTGGAGCCGCGCCCGTTTGACCCCGAGTCCGTGTTCTCGGGCCCGTTGTCTCTTGTCTCCTCTCGCTGGCTGTCGTTCCAGAAGCGCCGATCGGCTGGATTTGGCTGGCGCCTCTGCCTTCCTGGAGTGGGCAGGGTAGGCGTTGGAGATGTTACTTTTGTACCAGTGCACTTCAGCGAGCAGCAGAGAAACGCACTTTCAACTCACAAAACAATGGCCCGGTCCAGAAGAAACGTGCCTTTCCCAGCCGCCAGAATCTCGCCGCACTAATAGTTTTGGGGGATCGACCGTAAGCCAATAAAATGCAGGGCATCTTTCGCTTGGCACTGTCTACCGTCTACGAGTATAAGATATGTAACAAACGCCGCTGTGGCCCCGTCTACCTCTCCGTCCGACCATGCGCAACCGAATAGAGAAAACAATTGATATTACATGTATGTGCCGAGACCAGGGCATCCCAGACGAAGCGTGCCTGCCTCGTCGGCCGTATGTTTGCCTCCGTCCAGGTGCCAACATTCGCTGGAGATGCCAACAACGCCACGCTGTACTCATGCGTACGCCGATGCTTGCGCAGCGATCTGACTAGTCACTGCTTTGTCCTAATCCTAGCCCGGAACAAGCACAAATCTTGCATTGCCCCCACGTCTCGCAGCAGAGGAAACAAAATGTGGCCGGGAACATTTCGGTGTGCTCAACACCGCGCAGCGCAGCCAGTAGTTGCCGTACGGGACGGTACGCCGTGCCGCGTTGTCAGCTGCCCAGGGGTTTGATTTGCCGAACGCGCGCGGCATCAATGGCCGCCACGACCAACACGCCATTCGTGGGTTTAGAAGGCTGCGGGCGTCGGCGTCTCGTCCTGGCCCGGGTAGGCAAAAGTCGACTCAGTAGGTGTCTCGTCCTCGCCCGTCTCCGTCACCTTGTCCCGCCCCCCTGACAAGAGGTCTTTAGGTGGCACCGTCTTCATCTCGAGCAAGTCGTTATCGCTCGCCATGCGCTCCTGCTCCTCAAACGTAAAGGCGTCGGAGAGGTTGACGGCCAAGAACGTCTTGGGTAGTTTAACCCTATATAAGGTGTTAGTGGGATCCTTGGAGATATCTGCCTGTGCAGTCGAAACAGAAGGTTTGCTTACTGGTTGAACTTGGCTCGAAGCGTTTTGATGACTTGGAGCCAGTCGATGTGGGGGGTCAGACTACGCCTTGGGGCACAGCCGATGCAATGTCGGCTGTCGAGCTGAACATGCAGAGGATCGAAGACGTGGCATCCAGGGCTGAGAGTGATGCGGATGCTGTAGGCAAAGGTCGGAACGTCGGCATCAACACTTTCAGGGGCCGGCTTCATCTCGGACTCGTAAAGTTCAAAACAAATCTGCGAGAGGTAGTCCAGCTCCGGGATCGTGCTGCGCGTAATCTTGGTTTCGATGCCGCCTTCGATAATGCAGTTGAGCAATGTATAGATGTGAGATTCCTTGGTGAAATAGAAGAAGGATTTGGCATCATTGGAAGCCTGCATCTCCTCAAGGTCCTGGACAATCTCTTTCAGGAGAGGCAGCGAGGTCAAAAGACCGATTTCGAGCTTCTCGCTATCCGAGATTCCGTATTCCTGAGGGCAAATGAAGTCGAAGAGAACCTTGGCGAGCCGGTACAACTCTTGCAAGGGGTCGTTTCGAGGGTCCGGCTTTTGCGAAGTCTGGTGCGTTCCCTTGTACAGGCGGAAGTATTGCTCCGGAGGCCCTTCTTCGTTGAGGTGCCTCAGTCCATTGAGGAACGACCGCCTCCGAAAAAGCTTCCTGACCGTTGCTCCTCGGCTGGATGCATCAGCAGCCTTGTCTGAACCCTCGGGGGAGCTGTTTTGACCTTTCTCGCCCCTCGAATCTTCGGATGCCTTGCCATCGTCAAGGTCCCGCGCTTTGCCATCCTTGACCCCGTATTCCTCTTCGAGCATGCCTTTTGGAGGCGTGAAGACCCACTCCAAGAACTGACGATTGTGCAGGGCGTCAAACTTCATCGTGTCATACAGCTCAGAGATCTTGCTAGGATCGACTTTCTCGCCGTCGCAGAATTCGGCAAAAAGCTTCTCCCATCGCTCGCGGAATAGCTCTGCATCCTCGCCGCTGCACCACCGTGACTGGATGTTGTTGACTGCGTTGGCGTGTGACAAGGCCGACGACAATGATGTGCTAGAGCCCTCGCCCGTCAATTTCTCGGTGCTGGGGTTTGAGATGGAGCTTAGAGACGTCGCTGCGCCGCTGTAGAGCTTGCCATAGTTGTACTGCATGACGCGCCGATGGAAATTCATGAGTTGCACAACCCGAGTCTGTACTTCGGAGGGTTCTGGCATGTTCTCAGGCCAAGCAAATTGAGCCGGACGCTCGTTCCCTTTCCGGAGAAGCCCCTTAAGCTTCTTCTTCACTTTGTCCGTCTCGTCCTTTGCGGCATTCGAGTCGTCCAGGAGATCCTTGCGGATGGTGATAAAGTCCTCAGGGATGTCCTTTCTGTCCAAGAAGCTCGCGGACCAAATTTGTGCGCTGGCGGTCACGCGGCGTTCTGAGCTGCTGTAAACGTGGACCTCATCAAGGATGTCTCTGTTCAATAGCATCAAGTCGTTGCGCATGTTTTCACCCAGCTCCTGGGCTTGGTAGCGTGCCGAGTGGGTCGGCTCGCCTCCCCACTTGACAATCAGCTGTAGTTTGTCGAGTACCAAGCGCTCTTCAGCTGCCGTGAACTTGGACATGGTAACGCCAGAGAGTGAATCATGCCTTCTCGACGGAGGATGAGTTTCGATGTCATGGCCCGGACACTCCCCGTTGCCGGTGGGAATAATCGCCTCTCGCGTCTCATCCAGATCGGGCATCTCGTGAACGGGGGAATCAGTCTCCTCAGTCTTCTTCTTGCGGAACATAGGCTTGATCTGAACTTTGGTTCCGGCCCAGCTTCCCTTCTTGACGAGCACATTGCGCAGAGCCCTGAGCTTGGATCTGTCCTCGATGCCCGCCTCATACGCAACGTCGACGGCTTGAATGACGCTGGCCAGGGCGGCTTCACCGATGAGAAGGACTTCTTCCTGGTGTCCCTTGAGAAGTGCAATAAAGGGCTCCGTATGGAACGTGAACTTGTACTTTTGCTTCGGAGTACGGTCTGCGTGCCGGATGACAGACACCATGCCTTTGAGCTTCCAGGAATGCTTGGGAGGGGGTGGCACCGCGGCTGACTCCTCTCCTTGCGGTTGCTGTGATGTGGCGGCGGTTGCAGACGTCTTGATGGAAGCCGAGGCAGAAACAGACTCGTGGTTGCTCACCTCAGGCGGAGGCGGAGGCAACTTCGGACTTGTCGCTGTGCTCTGTGCCATGGACCCCAGAGAGCTATCTGCCTTGGAAGAAGGCGCGTCGCTGTGCGGGAGAAGGGTCGTATCGCTGGGCTGAAGGTCGATGCTGGAGTGGGCCGTGTGGTTTCCGTTTGTCGACTTGGGCGCGGTTGTGGGAGCTAACGTCGCTTGCTGCTCGCGATCTTTGATGGCTTGGGTTGCACGGGCGAGAGGATCCACGTCAGATGCTGCAGGCGACGGCAGAGGCGGCGTGACACCGCCACGACGTAAGCGTTCCTTGACAAAGATATCCTTCAGGATGTTGGCGCAGTGCTCGTAGTAGTCATCGTTGTCCTTGACGAAACTCCACCCATTGACGTCGATGACATAGCTCTTTCCTGAAGCCCGCAGAAGATCGAACCCGCATACGCGCTGCCCGAAAGTCGTCGAAATTCGACTTGCCATCTCCTTTTCCTCGCTATTGAGAGCCGTAACGTAACGGAGCTCCTTACCGTGAGTGTTTCGCCTTACAATGCCGTCTACCACCGGGGACTTGCGGGTCTCTGCGTGGCAGTAGTGGGGTCCGACCGTGTAGGCTTTGACATCTTCGGCGTTGTCGACCTGCATGAAACTTTCGTAGATGTAGCTGCTTCCGGGTTCGGTGATGGCTCTTGGCACATTGAGATCGGCGACGTAGTCAGAACTCTTGTTCCCAATCTTCCGAAAGAGCTTTCTGGCGCCGCCACCAGTGCTGCTGGGAAAGTATATGATAATGTTGTGATCCTCGCCGCTGGTTGGCTTCTCGACGAAGGGCTTCTTCAGCAATGCACCATCGACGCTCAGGACGTCGCCGTTGTCGATCAACTCAACGTTGCGTGGCGGAGCCTGCTTGTCGGGGTCGACGGGCTCCAGACTTATGCCAGAAATATCCTTGATGTGCTTGACCATTTCGGCATTGAGGACTTGTGGTCCGCCGTCCCGACTGACCTCAAGCCTTTTGGGCGTGCGGACCTGGATTTTATCCAACAATCGGAGGCAGACACGCCGATCCCAAAGTATCTTTTGCATGGGCACATCGTTGACGCAAAATGGCTTCCGCGTTTTGACGTAGGCAATGGCCTTCTCCAGAGGGAAACCATCCGAGTAGAAAGATATCAAGTAGTCACTAATAACACGGTGTGTCAGTGGGTTGGTTCTGTCTCGCGGCCTGGACAGCACCCTTGCAAATGCCGAGAGCGACTATGCTCTTCTGGCTCACCGAGCCTCAACACGACCAGCGCACGGGCGAACTCACCAGATGGGCCAATTCTCAACCTCTGAAGTAAAACTCAAGTCAGCCAAAACTCTGCCCCCAAAATAAAAAAGTGCGAGCACTGTCACGTACCTTCGTCGAGAATGGTTTTGTCCCCAAATACGACCACATCGAATTCGCGATTGGAGATGAGACGGTTGAGTATATTGCGGCTGGGCTTGCTTCTTGCCTTGACGTCCAAGGCACATATCCCAATGACACCCCAAGGAGCTGGCTTGGCTGACGACAATGTTAGGACCCGATGTACACTGAGGAGCTTAAGTAGATGTCAACTCACCCTCTTCTTTCTCCCTGTGGTGCGGCCCACGGTCGCTGCTTGGGCTATGGCTGCTGTTCGCAGTGCTGCCACTGAACCTCCTCTTGGCCCTGCTCCGGGACCGGTCAGGCTGGGAACGCACGTTGGAATCCATCCTTTGACTCCGTCTCATAAGGTCAAGGGGCTGCGCATGTGGGTCTCTCGGCGTCAAGTTGTGCTGCCCCGATGCTGCGCTATGGCCGGGCTGGGAGCCTGTCGAGGTGGTGACGGTGACACTGGAGAGTCCGGCTTCGGATGGCGATGAGCTCATGCCCTTGCTCGAGGACATGAGACTCGGAACGGAACGAGCAGGAGCGCCGGGTTCAGATCCTTGTGCCGAGGGTGACGAATTGAGGATGCCACGAGCAGAGGCAAGGGAGTATATGGAGTTTCCTGACAATCGCCTGGCCTGAATATCTGACAGTGACGACCGTGCGGTCAGGGCGGGCTCGGGGAGGAAAACGTGGTAGGAGGCGTCGAAGGTTGAAGCGGCTCGTATCCGGGGCGTCTCGGTGTCGTCGAGGGCGGAAAGCTGCGGGTCTCCGAAGACAAGGTCTTCGCTCCAGGCGTCAGAGATGCCAGACTGCCTGCGACTCTGCTGCAGGATGGAGCGGGAGCCCTTTACAGATACGGGCGGGGAGCTCGAGGTGGCAGAGACGTTGGATCTCTCGACGTGGACCTCAGCGGTGCCAGGCTCAGCATAGCGGCTCTTGCGGCTGGCGACGGAGCTGGCGGCCAGGGACGAAGACGAGATGCTGCGAGCATGCGCCGAAGCGTGTTGCTGCGGCCGTGGTTGTCTTTGGTGCAAAGACAGCGAGGGGGATGGCGAAGCGGCGGGGAGGGAGCTCGAGTCGCCACCGCTCGCGAGTTGCTGGATGGAGGGGTCGAGGGTGGACGATGACGCCGACGAGCGGTTGATTGACTTGTCTATGGCGACGGCGGCGGTGGAGGAGGAGGAGGAGACGGTCGACAGCGGCCGGTCCATGGCGTAGATTTTGTGGTGAGGCCCGGGTGGGCTCCCGTCTGCCCTCTTGGTCGACCGGTGGTGGACGGGACTGGTGGTCTGGCGGTGGTGTGGTGGGCTGCTCCAGTTTGCTCCAGTCGGCCCCAGCGGTGTTGGGTGCTAGCAAAAAGTCTGTCCCCCACTGCCAAGAGCGCGGACGTGATGGATGACGGAGATCGCGCCGGGCCCTGGCGACCTACCGTGCCTGCCTAGCGGGGAGCGATAATAGTATAATAGTACTGGAAGCGCCTCGGTGTGAATAGGTGGCGCGGCGAGGTGCTATGGCGGTCTATGCCCGCTGGGCCGTGCGCTGGAAGCCCTGCAGCATCAATTGGACGGGTGCGGTCGTCGCTAGCTCAAGGCCTGCCGCAACCGTCGAACAACGACAGACAGTCCGAGACATGACGCTCGACGCGAAAGTGTTGACACGACGTCGCATCAGCGGCACCTGCAGCCGGGACGAAATACGCCGCGTTGAAGAATCATCTGCACGTGCTCGGATGGTTTACCGCGGACGCGCCACCCGGCCTGGGCGTCTGCGGCATCCAAGGGTTGTGGTAGGCTTGGTTCGCGACCCTGATGCCACACCTCGCCAGGGTCCCCAGAGTTCCAGGTGTTGGAAGGGTCCCCCCACTGGCGGCTCTTTCAGGGCGGCGCTCTGGCAGGCATATCCATTGCGATGCTCGGGCTGGCTGGTTGGGGCCTCCTCTGATGTATTATGTACGTACATCTGGGATGATCCTGGGTCCATCGCAGGACGCCAATCCGCAGCATAATAGGCACTGGTACATACTACCTGCAGAATTAATAAGTGTGGTGCTGCAAATGCGTCAACCAAACTCTGAGCACCTGGCATCATTTATCCACTGGGCGGTCGCCAATCCAATGCTGAGACCCCCTCGACCAGAACGGAACTGATGCGAAAATTGCACGCGGATACCGAGCTAAAGCTGTTGAGGCTGGGCTAGGAAGTAGAGGACGCGCAATGGTAGCTTTGACAATTCGCGAAGTGCCAATGGCTACGACGTCCGCTGCCGCTAGCCGATCCGTGATGCAAGATCGTGGAACGATTGTTTGTGCATGAACGCATTGTGCGCCGGGCTTGCCTGGGCCTCATGGTCCGCGCCGGGATTGGCCAAACCATACAAAGGGATTTTTTTCTCCTTGCGCGCTGCTGACCCGCCCCTCACAGATCAGCATCTGTCAGAACAAGAAGCTGCAAAGCCAGTATGGTCCAGTAATCCAATCAATCGCCTAGCCATCACGTCATAAAGACATGCTGGTCTGGAAACCGTATCCCTACGGTTGGATTGATGAAAGAAGAGCACATTGTACCTCGTGCGCTACGAAGCGCATCAGCACAAACCATGATGGCCGTTGGAGGGGGCACAACATACCACACTCGGAAGGTGGGGCGGCAGAAAGACAGCCGCCGGCTCTCACCGCCCAAATTTTTCTGGATCGCAAACTCGCAGCCATCTGAAGCTTCACGAGCCAACAAGCCGACAGCATCGCGAGGCCGACATTCGAGTCCAGTGTCTCGAGCGCCCACGGCTACGCTCACGATGCCGCATCAAAATCCAGATGGCCCTATGGCGAAGCGCCAGAAGGTCTCTCGGGCTGTCGGCCCCGCCAAATCGCCAACAAACTCATCACGCATTTTTGCTCCGTTTCGAGTATGTCAAATCTCCGGCCCTTAAGTTGCCCACGTTGAGAACTGACTTGTGTCCAGACTGTCGGCCTCGTTTCTCCCACAAGTGTCCCATTCACGTCCATTCCTCTCGGCAAGACTACCTTCCAAATCACGACCTCTGTTGGCAAATCTCTCCAGACATACGACTTGCGCCGTGGCCTCAACCTCGTCTTCATAACTAGACCCCAGACACCGTTTGATATCACGGCTACGTATGCCTGGAAAGAGAAGGTCCTGGCCGCATGGGGAGGTGGCGCCAGTGGCGAGGCACAGGGCCTCTGGGTGTTCCAGCGAGGCAAGAAGGTCGATGAGCTCCCGCTACCATCCGACATCAATGAACCCGTCAAGCAAATCATTGTCTTTGGCACCTGGATCGTTGCTGCAGCCTCCACGAGGATTGAGATCTTCAAGTCCGCGACCCTTGAGCACTACACCACCATCCACACCATGGCTGCGAACGGGCGGGGCAACGAGATCACTGGAGGTGTTACCAGCATGCCGACGTTCTTGAACAAGATCTTTGTTGGACGAAAGGACGGTTGGGTCGAGATCTGGAATGTCAGCACTGGAAAGCTGATATACACCATCTTGCCACCGTCCCCCGACTGCGGCGCTGTTACCTGCATGGAACCAACTCCCGCCTTGTCCTTGATGGCCATTGCATACGGCAATGGTCCCTTGGTCATCACCAACGTACTCACCGACAAGCGCGTTCTTCAGATTGAGGCCGGAAATCCGGACGCTCCCGTCAACTGCATCTCTTTCCGCACGGATGGGATGGGCGCGGGTCATGACGGACGCAAAGACGGTGTCATGGCGACTGCGACTGCCGCGACCGGCGACGTGACATTCTGGGACCTGAACGGTGGTGGCCGCGTTATGGGCGTCCTCCGCAGTGCCCATAACCCTCCATCCCGTGATGGTCGCAGCATACGAGGTGGCGTCAGTAAGGTCGAGTTTCTAGCTGGGCAACCTGTGGTTGTGACCAGCGGCCTCGACAACTCGCTCAAGTCTTGGATATTCGATGCCACGCCCTTCTCTCCCGTCCCCCGAATCCTGCACTCGAGGAGTGGGCACTCAGGCCCTGTCAACTGTCTCCAATTCCTTCCCACCGACTTCGATGGCGCGGAGGCGGGTAACAAGTGGCTGCTCAGCGGCGGCCAGGACAGAAGCCTTTGGGGCTGGAGCTTGCGCCGCGATGGCCAGAGCACGGAATTGAGTCAAGGCAACATTCGGAAGAAGGCCAAAAAGGTCGGGATTCTGTCGACGAATGCCCTGGCGCATGGGCCAACAACAACCCTGGAAGATCTCAAGGCCCCCGAGATTACTTGTATAGCCACCTCGCTTAATCGCGATGGAGGTATCGGTGCTATCCCAGGAAAGCAACCCATGTGGCAGAAAAGCCAGGCCCAAGGCAAGGCGAACGACGCTGAAGTCAGTGGCATGACCGGTTGGGAAAGCGTCGTCACCGCCCACAAGGGAGACGCTTTCGCTCGAACATGGTTCTGGGGTCGTAAGCGCGCTGGTCGTTGGGCGTTCCCGACTGGCGATGGCACTGATGTGTCGACCGTCGCCATCAGCCCTTGTGGCAGCTTCGCCGTTGTGGGCTCAGAGGGTGGATGCATCGAGACTTTCAACCTCCAATCTGGCATACGAAGACAGCGATTCCCATCGAAGTTGACGCCTGCCCAGGCTCGCCAATTGCGACTGCAGCAGCTCAGACAGGCTGACGACGTCGCACAGCTGCAATCCGAGTCTGGCAGAAAGTTTCCTCCTGGGACTGGCAAGCATACCAAAGCAGTGACCGGCATCATCGTGGACTCGATGAACAAGTTCCTCGTATCTTGCTCGCTCGATGGCAAGATCAAGTTCTGGGACTTCCTCACCGGGACTTTACTGGAGCAGCTCGACTGGGCACCGATGACGGCACCGATAGCCTGCAGATACCACGCCGCCAACAACCTCTTGGCGTTTGCTTGCGACGACCAATCTATTCGTATCGTCGACATGGAGACGAAGAAGACGATTCGAGAATTCTGGGGCCCACAGGACGCTATCACGGATATTTGCTTCTCCAACGATGGCCGGTGGGTGATTGCCGCTTCTCGAGACAGGATTGTTCGTGTCTGGGACTTGCCAACAAGTCACTTGATCGATGCAATTCGGCTGGATAAACCCTGCACCGCTCTTTCAATGTCGGTGACTGGCGAGTACCTTGCTGCCACAGTTGAAGGCAAGCCAGGTGTTACAATCTGGACAAATAAGGCGTTGTTCAAGCATGTACCAACACGGCAAATATCCGAAAAGGAAATTCTCTTGGTGTCCGCCCCTACAGTCTCTGGTGAGGGCAACCAGGGCATGTTGGATGGTGCCTACGAGGACGATCAGCCGGAATCGGACGACGCCGTCGTGGCCCCAACTGTAGAGCAGCTAAGCTCCGACATGATGACTCTGAGTCTGGTTCCAAAGAGTCGATGGCAGACCCTCCTACACCTGGATCTTATCAAGGAGCGTAACAAGCCCAAGGAAGCCCCGAAGGCTCCCGAAAAGGCCCCTTTCTTCCTGCCGTCGACCACTGGTGCAGCCCCTCTTGCCGGACAGCAGAAGCCTACCGATGTTGCTGCAGACGACAGCAAGTCTCGCATCACCAAGCTTGATAAGGCTCGCTTCGAGGAACTATTCTCCACGAAGCTTCGCACGGCAGCAGCATCGAACAATTGTAAATGCATACCACATGACCCAAATTCATATCCCATGCTAATGGAACAACCTAGACGATGAGTTCATTGAGCACCTAAAGTCACTATCGCCATCGAGCGCGGATCTTGAGCTGCGGTCTTTGTCTGTTGGAACCGGTGATAACAAGGACAACGAGCTCTTGCATTTCATCCACGCGCTCACGGCGCGTCTCATGGCCCGCAAGGATTATGAGCTGACACAGGCCTGGATGACTGTGTTTCTTCGCCTTCATTTCGATGTTGTCATGGAGAGCACAACTCTGCTGGCTGCGCTGGAGCAGTGGAAGGCACATCAAGAGCAGGAGTGTAACCGCTTGGATGACCTGGTTGGGTACTGCGGTGGTGTTGTAAGCTTTCTCCGGAGTCCGAGGACGTAGTCCAACACTGTCGGCAGGAGATGTGTACTTGGACAGGGCCAAGGGGGAAGTAACGCCAAGAAGCCTGTCAGCGACCATGAATTACAATATCCTGGGAACTACAAATGAGCGCATATATTGGCCCGTAACGATCCGTCCCGTATTCACCTGGTACAGTCGGAAAATTTGCCAGTGGGAACGGTGCTACTGGACCTAGCCGTGAATGTAATCGAGTAAAGATGTGGTTGCAAGAAGTCCCACTCAAGTCTAAAGGCTCGATGCGGCCGCATGTGCGCAATAACCTTCACCGGCTGCAGTGCCTAAACGTACGAAGATTACGAAGTTTGGCACCAAAAGTGATGAGACTGTCGGCCCACTTCAATGTAAGCGATGCACCTGTGATTGAAAGGGTGCTTCCCGACCGAAATAGCACAGGTAGTCAAAAGTGGGTGTCACAGCTGCGCGCAGCTGCGAGCCATGCTCCAAGGACCACTCTAAGTAGCGTTCAAGCAGCCTTTTTGCTCCCTCACACACACACATAGAGCCTGCCGAGGCTCGGAGCCTCTTTCTTCCGCGGCCGCCGCGGGTCATCGTCAACTTCTCCCGTCGCCCCAGCCCCCGCCGCCCCGACTCCCTTCCTTCAACATCTCTCTCACGCACACACAACAGGTAGGCTGCTTCCACAGACCTCTTCCAACAGCCCTTCAACCAGGGCGGCAGAATAGCTGCGAGGATCCACTTTTCCTTCACCAGCTTCTGCCGCCCTGGGCACCTGTTCGAACCGCCCCCCGAGCAGCCCTCCAAAGAGCTCGTGTTGTCGCTCGCTCTCTCTCTCTCTCTCACACACACACATACACACGTACATGCAGACCTCTTCCAAAGGCTCTCTTGCGCATACACACACAAAAAGAGTTCAGTGGGCACAAGTAAGTCACATCTTTCCTTTGTTCCTGCCGCCGTCGCCGGCACAAGTAAGTCGCATCTTTCCTTCTGTTTCTTTTCCTTCTGTGACATGCACAGTACATCTCCCTGCCCCGCCGTAAAGAATCCTTGCAAGGCCTCTGCCTTTCTTCTTCGCGGGTTCGCCTGTGTGGTGGCAGGCGTGCTCAATTAGCGTTGTTGGACCGTCGGTAGACGCCCTCTGTTCGCTTCTGATGGTCAAGCCCCCTGCCTTCTAAACTGCGGTGCGCGGGCAAAGCTTGGGGGCGATCACGGTGCAGTAAATCGGTCGTTCAGTGAAAGGAAGAAGAAAGTCAGTTGCCGCGAGAACCCTTACGCCGGCGCCTATTACCCTGTTTTCTTTATCTTTGGTGCAGTTTCCTCGGCCGTCGTCTTTGGTACTGTGGGACGGTCACCACAGCCTGTCTCTCCTGAGCTTGCATGCTGGTGACATACGCCTTAGAATCCAGCATTATTGCATCGTCATCATATTGAAGGCGGCGATGCCACTTTGTTGGACGAGCTCTGGTGATATGTCGCCTGTTGCCGGCTGCTCATGGCTGGCATTACATACACGACATACGATGCAGGGGGCAGTCAGCAACCTGCTCATATGACTAGCCCGTGGCAAGCGAGAACTTTTGCAGAAAGACGCAGCGTTCCCGCCCACGAGAATTGCCCAGGCACGCCCGACGTCTTTATGCACACTCCCCGGTCAGTGCCCGGAGGCGGAGCTCATAGATGAGCCAACCGATGAAAATAGTGCCCTTCCATATTGAGAAGCTGAAAAGAGAAGCTATCGAGGCTCGGCCTCGTGTTCTCTCCGAAGAACGCGGGAGTGGCTTACCCGCAATGACAGGTACAGCTTGAGGGGCTGTTCTTCAGCACCAACGGTGAGGGCGAGGCATGATCCGTGCTTCATTACAGGCCTATAGGTCCTTCCCGATATAGCAGGAGCTCTAATAACCCATGTGATGTCCCAATGGCTCAGACCAACGGAGTTGGAGCAGCTCCTGCAGACTGAGATCAGCGACCAAGCTTTCCTCTGCGCAGTAAGTCTACTGCGTATATCTTCGTCAAGATCTTGGTCAACCTTCACTTTCATGTACCACCAGACTCTGATGTGCAGTGCGTGACTCTGACTCTGACTCTGACTCTACCGCTCATATTATGTTTTGTACTAGCAAGGCTAGTGGTTATGTCGCACGATTTCTATAGGGACTCGTTGGGATTCGCGTAAGAGTGGCTGTGGTACCGCGGGGAACCACCGACAGGGGCCTTCAGCGCTGTTGGTTGAGCGCCGGGGCATGCCCAACGGTGCCCGTCCAAAAAGACGTTGGCATACTTTCTACTACACCTCAAAAGAGTTCTATTCGAGTTCAATGTGACCTGGCTGAACACCACATCTGCCCCGCATTATCTCGTTGTACTAAGCAGCGTGTAGTGGACACAGCTCTTGGCATCAGATAATACTTCACCTGCAATTTACGGAATATAGATCCGAATTGCGAAGTATGAAGTAGTCCATACAGACTGCACAGCACACGAGAGGGGACGCCTGCTGTTTCCCTCCTCAGAGCGGTTGCCGGAAGGGGACGGAGAGTCACTGATACCTACGACCAACTACCCCAGGACCAACCGCTTCTCAGTCAGCGAGCGACAAAATGCGGGCAGAGCATTTCCATCCCCTGTGTTCGTGCGGAGACGCTGGTGTTCGGCGCGATAGCCGACCTCGGGCTCAGGTTGCACGATATAAGTTCCTGGCTGTCCATGGGGGATTCTGTAGGGATGGCCAGCGTGCTCCCATACTTGTGCCCCTTTTCAATCAGTCGCTTTTCGGGAGCTCCTGATCCTCTGGACACCCAGTATGGTGCGCACGTCGATATTGACGTCGCTCCTAGCGGCCGTGTCAACCGCCCTAGCTGAACGGCGTGTTATTCCGGGCGGTTATATCTTTGAAGTGGAGGATGGCCATGTAAGTCCCCCTCTGGCGTCGGCGTTCCAGACACACTTGACACATTGACTGACATGTCCAGGACGCGGCAGCCGTGATCCAAGAAGTGGGCAGCCATGGCACCACGCGAATGCATCTCAACTATAAGCTCTTCAAGGGCGTGTCTGTGCAGCTGCACGATCTCAAAGCCCACAAAGAGACAGCCGCCAAGCTGGCTTCCGCACCGAGCATCAAGAGAGTGTGGCCCATTGAGCTCCACGATCTCCCTGATGTCACAGGCGCCAACTCGAAGGCCTTGAATATCAAGGATTTGGAACTCGGAGGCAAGACCGATTCCGCTCTTTCAAGGCGCGACGTTATGAATGAGACGGACACTTGGCCGCCGCATCTCATGACTCAAGTCGAAAAGCTCCGGGCTAAAGGCATCACCGGCAAGGGAATCAAGTTAGCCATTGTCGACACCGGCGTAAGTAGCCTCAGCCTGGAAGTTGCAAGCCGTACGCTAAGCCCGTCTCTATAGGTTGACTACACGCAGCCTGCCTTGGGCGGCTGTTTTGGCGAGGGCTGTCGTGTATCCTTCGGCTATGACTTGGTAGGCGATCACTACACCGGGAGCAACGTCCCAGTGCCCGACCCCGACCCATTGGACTGCGCCGGTCACGGCACGCACGTCACTGGCATCGTCGCGGCTAAGGATGAGTGGCTGCACTTCACCGGCGCGGCTCCAGACGTGACGCTCGGCATGTACCGTGTCTTCGGGTGCCCGGCGGTAAGCGCGGGAGACGACGTGCTCATCGGCGCCTTCAACATGGCCTTTGAGGCCGGTGCCGACATCATTACCGCTTCAATCGGCGGCAATACTGGTTGGTCCGAGAACGCCTGGAGCGTTGCCGTCTCGCGCATTGTAGAGCACGGCGTGGTCTGCACCCTCGCAGCAGGCAACGACGGTCGTTCTGGCGCCTTCGACGCATCTGAGGCCGCCGACGGAAAGGGGGTAACTGCTATTGCGTCGTTTGAGAGCACCGACTACCCTAGCTTTGGATATCCCTCCAAGGAATATATCGACGGCGGTGAGGAGAAGGTGTTTGTCAATGCACCGTCCGAGGCGTACAACTGGACGGGCATTTCCAACGCGCCCGTGCCTATATATCCGCTGTCTCTGGATATCACGAACAATGCAGACGGTTGCGACCCTCTTCCGGATACTACGCCAGACTTGAGCGGATATGTTGTCCTCATCCGCCGCGGCACGTGCTACTTCTCGGACAAGGCCAGCCACGCAGCTGCCAAGGGCGCAAAGTATGTCCTGTTTTACGATAGCTACCTGGATACTACGCTCTCCCGGTACTCGATCCAAAACGCCAACGTTTCTGCTGCTGCCATGATACCCGCTCGCACAGGTCAGAGATGGGTCAATGCCATCAAGGCGGGCCATAATGTCACTGTCCTCATGCAGTACCCTAGAGACGCGGATCGCTCGCTCGCTTTCGAGAAGCGGCCTGGCGTCGGCGGTTCATTGAGCACATTCACATCTTGGGGTCCTACCTGGGAAATGGATATGAAGCCGGTAGTCGGTGCGCCAGGAGGCAATATTTGGTCGACCTGGGTCGGAGGCTATTCAGCTGCCTCGGGTACGTCCATGGCGACACCGATTACGGCAGCGATCTTGGCCCTAATTCTGCAAGTCCGCGGACCGACAACGCCAAGGATGTTGGATAATCTGGTCTCTACTACTGCGAAGGCTCAAAACTGGTTCGATGGCAAGAGCGTCTATCCCGGTGACCTAGCCCCAGTCCCGCAACAAGGTGGCGGTATTGTTCAAGCCTTCGACGCTGCCTATACCACTACCTTGCTGGACCCAGCGAACCTTTCCTTCAATGACACAGATAACTTCGTGAAGCAGCATGAGTTTGTCATCACGAATAAGGGAAGCTCCGCGGCTACTTATAAGATCACGCATGTCCCCGCTTTAACAACATTTTTCCTGGACAAGGATAGCATCTTCGGTATCAGATTCCCTCCTGAGGTCTCAAGAGACTACGCCGCGCTGGATATCTCAGCCGCTGAGGTTACCCTTCAGCCTGGGAATCGCAAGATCATTACCGTATCGGCTCGTCCTCCGTCGGGCATAGACGCAAAGCGCCTTCCCATCTGGTCTGGCTATATTACCATTAATGGCACGGATGGGTCGGCCCTCTCTCTGCCTTATCAGGGCGTGTCTGGCTCTCTTAAGGGCTCAACTAGCCTCGGAGCGGACTATGGTTACATGTCGTGGTCCAACGAGACCGGATCACAGTACGGCAATCCTACTCGCGCCCCTGCCAACTATACTTTCACGCTGCCCACCCCAGGTACCACCGGAACTGGCCTCCTCCCCATGTTGACATTCAATCTTGCGCTGGGCACGCAGGTGATCAGAGCCGACCTGGTACCCATGACAACCTGCCCGACCAAGAACATGACTGGAGACGACCCGCTCGGCGGCAAGTATAAGACAGTCGGTCAGCATCCAGCTTTCCCCATACGCTTGCTCCCCCGCGGTCTGGAAAAGGCAGTTTGGGACGGCTCGCTTGATAGCGGAGAATTTGCGCCTGCTGGGAGGTACAAGTTCGTCTTTCGGGCTCTGCGTGTCTACGGCGATGAGTCCAAGGTGCAGGATTATTATGTGGCCGAATCTCTGCCCTTCAGGATCGAGTACAAATCTTCCTGATTGTTGAACTGGAACAAACACTGGGAAAATGTTCTGGCCCTCAAGTAGGGGACGGCTCCATAGGACATGGTACCGCTTTGCGACGCTTCAGCGGCGTGCACAAAGACCCGACATATTTACCTTCAACGGAGCGTGAGACCGCGAGGAAGCTTAGGGTAAATGCTGTTATTTGGATTGCTCCGTAGCCTTGTCGCCTACAAGGAAACGTTTTGCTGCTATGTAGGCAGAAATAATCTTGGATGTTTTCGTGCTCAATGTACATGACTTTCGCATTGCAAAGTTGTTTGTGATGGCCCTGGCGTCCCAATGTCGTGTTGCGGAAGGTGCTCAGCTCAGCAAATGCGCACCAGGCAAAGCCCGGAAACTATATCCCGGGGAAGTGTGAGGGATATCAGTGAGGCTCTCCGTCCCAGTCAGCACGTGGTGTTCGAGGCCATCGCTTGAATATGTTGCCCCTGGCGAGCGCCAGCAGCGACCGAAGCCACTGGGGCCGACTCTCTACACGGGCAATTAAAGCCTTCGGGGCAGCCGCTAGAAGAGAGCAACTTGGGTCTGCGACAGCATAGCGTGGGTGTTTGTCCCTCAGCTTGCTATCTCAGCTTCAGACAACGGTGCCTCAATTGGTAAGCATGGGCCCTTTTTAGTGTTTGTCATGGTGGTTGTGGCGGCTTACATGGACCCGGATGTCGCGGCATGTTCGCAGGCGCCAACAGAGGCGGAACCCTCCATGCTCGTCAGTGCAGGTACTTTGTCACAAGTAGGTGTGCCTCTCTAACGATATTCAGCTCAAGCTCTCGAATTTAGGCGGACCGGGCATGACAGCTCATGCAAGTTGCGCTGATTCTATCGACGACGAGATTTTACGATTCGTGGACAAACTCATCGACTTGCGTCGAGACGCAAGTAATACGGGTGTCAGCGTTCGCATGCCTGCCAACCTGAAAGTTGGTTAGGGATGCTGTGACACAGGGCGTTGACTTGAGGACCTGTCACCAGAACGTAGGTCTTCCACCATCTCCATTCCGGCAAAGCGTCCGTCGTTTCAAATGTTACGATACATGCTTATATCACCTTTTGCCCAGTTTCCCATATAACAAGCGGGCAGCCTAACTCTTGGCAACTTCTCATCACGCGTCGGCATCAACTCGGGGTCGCAGCGTTGGACCCAAAAAACATCAATTCCCGGTGGCGCCTCTAGCAAGTGACATCAACCATCTGCTGTGAAGATGAAGGCACTCGTCCTCACGACGGCGAAGCGGCAGGCTGTGGTCGAGGAGATTCCCCGCCCCACGCCCGGGCCGGGTGAGGTCCTCATCCGCGTGCGGGCCGTTGCGCTCAACCCCGTCGACGAGCTATACGTGTCGAACCCGATTGCGACTCAGGAGAAGCGTGTCGTTGGCACCGACTTTGCCGGTGTTGTCGAGGGCGCGGGCTCGGACCTTGCCGACTCCTCCGACCCCAGGACGCGGCCCGGGACTCGCGTTGCTGGGTTCCTTCAAGGAGGTGCGACTACCCTGATCTTTCTGTTGTCTGGACTGATGGGCCGCTTCATGAATTGGCCGCCTAGTAATATTTCATGCTTAACCTGCCATGTTCATCCGACTAACTCACCGTGACATGTAGCCTGCTCTACCAATGACCGTCCTGGCGCCTTTGCCGAATACATCGTTGCTCCGCACGATCTCATCTGGCAGGTCCCCGCCAGTCTGTCGTTCGAGGCAGCGTCAGCGGTCAGCATGTGCGGACTGACTGCCGCCCAAGGTCTCTTCCCGCGACTCGGCCTCCCAAGTCCGTTCGGTAACCTCGGCGGCACCCCAAGCCAGGATACCCTGAACGTGTTTCTCTACGGCTCTTCGACCTCCCTCGGCCTCTACGCTGCTCAATTTGTCCACCTCTCGGCGTCCGTGTCCGGGCAGCGCATTCGCCTCATCGGCGCGGCCAGTGCCTCTAAGCACGACTTTCTGCGCGCGAAGCCGTATAGCTACGATGTTCTCGTCGACTACCGCGATCCTGACTGGGTAGACAAGGTCAAGGCCGCGACAGGCGGCAAGGGCGCGGACCTGGCCATGGATTGCATCTCGGAGCAGCCCACCATTTACAGGACCGCCGAAGCTCTCCATTCATCTGGAAAGCTCGCAGTGTTCCGCGGCCCTGCTGGAGGGGGCTACGACCTCGCACAGGTCTGTGTGAAGCCCATTTACGGCGCGGTATGGGAGGGACTCGGAGTCGAGATTGGCTACAATGGTAGGCATCCTCATCCGTAATCTAAGCTCCAAGGAGATCTGCGCGAACAAACGCTGACAGTGCCTTGACAGCTGGCATCATTCCTGCGAGCCCAAAGGCGAGGGAGTTCGCTACCCACTTCTTCAACTTCCTCAGCTCTCAGGCCAAGGAGGACAAGGTGGTGCTTGAGCCGAACCCCGTGAGAGCTATGCCCGGCGGGCTTGAAAGGATCGTCCCGGATGGATTCGCGCTGCTCGGCTCGGGGTCAGTGACGTCAAGAACGACTCTCAAGCGAGATGAGCCTTACATGAAGCCCATCAGCGGCGAAAAGGTGGTTTACAGTATTTAGTCTGGACATCACCATAGCCGCCCTTGTGATGTGTGGAGCCGCAGTTCAGTTCCGGAACGCTACTATTCGTACAGATTGTGTAGAAGGAGCTCGATTACAGTGCATGTATTTGCCGAGCTTTGTTGCAGATCGCCAGCTGTTGCCGGTTTAAGTCTGTCCGTATTAATTGAGGAAGCTGCGCTGGACCCTGGAAGCGAGCTTGGCGGGCTCCAATGGCCTGGCATTGCCTGGTATCGATAAGATCTGCGCTAGCACTAGCAGACGCCAGCAGCGCCAGTGCGGGGCACGCCTCAGCGGTGTCTGTACATGCCCGTCATTTTCAGTGGCGGGCTCCAGGAAATTTTCCAAACTGCAAAGCAACCGCAACCAGCGCCAATCCGAATCGCAGCAATGGGCAAGAAGTTCAGAGTACGCAGCACCCGACACCCTTGCCATGCTATCAATGTCGCTTCAATTGGATCGCGCTGACAGATCGAATCTTTTAGGGCAAGAATCGACGCGGCGGCGGCGGCGGTGGCCGTGGCGGCGCTTCGCAGAATGGCGGCTGGCGCGACTTTGGCGTCATCGTCAAGGAGAACGCGAGGCTCCAGGAATACTACGACACCCTGTTGCAGCTGCCAGAGGAGGAGAAGCAGCAGTATTGGGATGCGCTGAAGCGCGAGCTGCCTAACAGCTTCCGCTTCTGCGGTTCGAAAGGGTGCGTTTCCCCGTTGCAACAATCCGAGTTTACTGGCTGACGCGTGACCCCGACAGCCACGCCCTCGCTGTCAAGAGGCTCCTGCAGACGAGATACATTCCCGAGATTGTCAAGATCGAACATCAGGACGGGCGACCCGTCGAGCCGCCCAAGCCCGTCCCGTGGTATCCCGACGAGCTCGCTTGGTGGATGACGACCCCCAAGAACGTCATTCGCAAGTTCCCTCCCTTCGCCGCCTTCCAGAAGTTCCTCGTCTCCGAGACCAGCGTCGGAAACATCAGTCGCCAGGAAGTCGTCAGCATGATCCCGCCCCTGCTGATGGACCTCCAACCTGGCATGACCGTCCTGGATATGTGCGCCGCACCCGGAAGCAAGTCCGCGCAGCTGCTGGAGATGCTGCATCGCGGCGAGGAGGCGCGCGTCAGGAAGGTGCTGCGGTCTTTTGCCAAGGAGGACGGCCTCGAGCTCGGCGAGGAGACTCAGGAGGAAATCGAGGCCGATCTCGACGCCGACCCGTCCGACAACGGCCGGGCGACCGGTCTCTTGATCGCTAACGACTCAGACTACAAGCGCGGCCACATGCTGGTCCACCAGCTTAAGCGACTGTCATCGCCGAACCTCCTCGTGACGAACCACGATGCTACTCAGTTCCCTTCGATCCGACTGCCGCCCAAGGCGGACACGCCCACGAAGCCCCGCTATCTCAAGTTCGACAGAATCCTCGCTGATGTTCCCTGCTCTGGAGACGGTACAATGCGAAAGAATGCCAATCTGTGGAAAGACTGGAACCCCGGGAATGCGCTCGGGCTGCACCAGACACAGATCCGAATCTTGGTCCGTGCCCTGCAGCTCCTGAAGGTTGGCGGACGCGTTGTCTACTCTACCTGCAGCATGAATCCCGTCGAGAACGAGTCCGTCGTTGCTTCCGCCATTGAGAGGTGCGGTGGCGCAGAGAACGTCGGGATTGTGGATAACAGCGATCAGCTCCAAGGCCTGAAGCGAGTACCAGGCATGCGAAAGTGGAAGATCATGGACAAGTCTGGCCGCATGTGGGATTCTTGGGAGGAGGTTGAGAAGTTTGCAAACGAGGAGAACGAGGGTGTCATCCCGGGACGCGTTGTGCAGACCATGTTTCCCAAGGTGGAAGGCACCGAGTGCCACGATCTGCCCCTGGAGCGCTGCATGAGAGTCTACCCACACCTGCAGGACACCGGCGGCTTTTTCATCACCGTCCTCGAGAAGAAGACCGACTTCAAGGCCAAGAACGAGAACGAGCCCAAGCAAGCGCCCACCAGCCAGCCTGCCAAGGCTAACGGTGCTGAGAAGGCTACGTACGCCGAGAAGACCACGGATGCCGAGACGAATACCGATGCCGTGGAGTCCGGAGAGAAGGAGACTAAGCTAGAAGAACCTGCTGTCAAGGTAGAGAGCGCTGCTGAAGGCGAGGTGCCTGCGAATGGCGGAAAGAGGGCGCTGGAGGATACTGACGACGCTGAGCAGCAAGCGACCAAGAAGGTTAAGACCGAGGAGAGTTCGGCGGCTGCGACGCCTGTCGCTCAGCAGCAGTTCGAAGGTGGCAGCAAACCAAAGAAGCAAGGCCCCCCGGAAGAGCCGTTCAAGTATCTCGACCCGTCTCATGCTGTCATCGAGAACATCAAGAAGTTCTACAGCATCTCTACCCGCTTCCCCGATAACCGATACATGGTCCGGAACGAGCTGGGCGAGCCGGCCAAGGCCATCTACTACACCACCGCCTTGACGAGGGACATCCTGACGGAGAACGAGGGCCGTGGCGTGCGCTTTGTCCACGGTGGTGTCCGCATGTTCATGAAGCAGGATGCGCCCTCTGCCGAGGTCTGCCGATGGCGCATCCAGGCCGAAGGCATGCCCATCTTGCAGGGCTACGTCGGAGAGCCGCGCGTCATCCACCTGCACAAGAAGGAGACGCTGCGCCGGCTGCTCATCGAGATGTTCCCGCGCATCTCGGGCGACGAGTGGCGCGAGTTCGACGAGATTGGCCCGCAGGTCCGCGACGTGGGCATGGGCTGCTGCGTCCTGCGCATCGAGCCCGACGGCACCGACCCCGAGTTCTCGGAGCGCATGGCCCTGCCGCTGTGGAAGAGCATCCACTCGCTCAACCTCATGCTGCCCAAGGAGGACCGCTCCGCCATGCTGCTGCGCATCTTCAACGACACGTCGCCGCTCATCAACCCGGCGCTGCAGAAGAACAAGGGCAACGACCAGGCCAATGGCAGTAACAAGGGTGGCGAGCCTGCACCGGCGGAGGACGCTGCCGCCGCGAGCAACGACGTGGACCTGGAGGATCTGCCGACGCCGGAGCCCATGAATGAGGATGCTCCTGCGGCGACGGAGGAGGCAGCGGCGGAGCCTGCCGAGGCATGATGCACGGTTATAATGGGAAAATCAAAATCAACTAGAACTGGGATTTGGTTGCGTTCGGGACTGGAAATGTACAATTCGTGTCGTTACCTCTTGATACAACATGTAGGGTTTCTGATGGTACAGGACTTATATTACAATGTGCGGTGAACCGTAAATGACGCTCACTCGTCCAGCAACCCAACCGTCCAGTGCACGATGCGGTCCACGCCCTGGCCGTTGATCGCGCTGACTGGTATGGCTGCGCAGTCTCGCGCCCACGCGCCCTCGACACCGCTGGGGTGCGCCGCCTTGCCGCTCGTCACGTCGTCGAGGTACGCCTTGAGCTGGCGGAAGTTTTCCTGCGTGCTGGGCAGGTCTGCCTTTGTAGCCACGACGAACCAGGGCTTGCCTGCGATGTGCAGCACCGGAGATACCTGGTCCTGGCCGGCGAACTCGGCGTTCATGAGGCTGACGGGCCCACGGGAGGTGCTGTCCTCGGCTGCGAGGTCCCAGTCGACGCGGGACTCGATCTCGCGGTCCCGCTCCTCCTCGTCGCGCATTTGTGCGTACAAGCCGACCTCGCGCCACAGGGCCTGCAGCGCGCGGACGGCGTCACCGGCGGCGAGGTCGACGACGAATGCAAGGACGCCGGCTCGCTCGACATGGCGCAAGAAGGCGATGCCCAGGCCGCGGTCAAGGTGCGCGCCCTCGATGAGACCAGGGATGTCTGCGACAGTGAAGCGCGTTCGCGGGCCTGAGGCGACCGCGTCTTCCCCGAAGAGCCCGTCCTGAATGCCCGGTTTTCTCTGGCTCTGGACCGAAGGGCGGCCAGAGTACTTATCCAGGACGACGGTGCCGATATTGGGCTGCAGCGTGGTGAACGCCCAGTTGCCGACACGCGTGCGGCTGTTGGTGATGGCGCGCAGGAGGGTGCTCTTGCCGGCGTTGGGAAGACCCACGAGGCCGACGTCGGCAAGGAGCTTGAGCTCGAGCGAGATCCTCATGGAGACGGCGTCCTCGCCCTTGGTGGCGAAGATGGGCCGCGGGTGCTGTCGAGAGGTGAAGTGCGGGTTGCCCAGGCCGCCGATGCCGCCCGCGGCGAGCAGGATGGGCTGCGGCGTGGGACGAGAGAGGTCCAGGTAGACGGGAGCGGGCGGTTGTTGGAGGAGTCGTGTGCGTCGTGGGAGCTTGGGGAAGGATGTGCTCTTCATCTCGGACTTGGACATGCCCGGGTACAATAGCCATTTCTGACGTTGAGGATCGTCGAGCCCCAAGTCCTCCTCTTCTTCTTCCTCCAGTTGCTTCTGCCGTCTCCGATGGATGCCGTCCGCCTCGATCGGTTCGTCGACTTCATCTTCCTCAGCTTCTGCTTCCAGCTTCGCCTTGGCTTCTACAGCCAACCGCTCTTCCTTCTTCTTCTGCTTCTGCATGGCCAGCCAAGCTTGTATGTTGAGCGCCTCCTCGGCGGCGGGATCCTGCCGTTCCAACTCCTTAACAATGGTGCCGACCGGAACGGTAATCACCATATCCTCGCCTCTGGAACCACCCTTTGCGCTTCCCTGTCCGTGCTTTCCACGGCCAGCACGGATGAAGCGCCGGCGAGCGAGCTTATGGAGTGAGGTCTCGCCATGGGCGGCCTGGATGTAGACATTGCCGCCAAAGCCTCCATCGCCGCCGTTAGGGGGTCCGTCGGGCAAGAATGCCTCGCGCTGAAAGGAGACGCAACCGTTTCCTCCACGGCCGGCCTGGAGGGTCAGCTCGGCCTTGTCGACGAAGGACGGCGCTGTGTAGTCGTCGGGGTGGGGGTTGAGGCGCGACTCGGGAAGGTCGTTGACAGTTGAGGGTGTTGCCGAGGACGAGTGCGCGCGGCGGAGGGCGGGACAAGACACACGAGTCTGGAGAGGCCTAAACAGAGTCGGGTAGAGGAAGGGGGCCAGGATCACGCTTCCTGGCGAGCGGACTGCCATGGCGGCGGCGTATGGTGGCGAGACGCGGGCTGCCTGTGATTCATGCGAGGTGACGGGTTGCCTCGAAAACTGGTGACGGAGATTTGTCGAAGTCGGCTCCATCGATGCCGATAAGATAAGGCACCCGAGTGCCACCAACAGACCCCAGGCCCAGTGTTCCGCCAGGTTACACTGGAGCAGCACTGGATGGCCTCGGGCGGCCAGCTCCACTAGGTACCTAGGTATCTGGAGACGGGTGGGCGGCGGGACGGCCCTCTCTACCTGAAGCGGGACCGGGCTCGCCAGGCACTCTCCATGCAATGCATGTTGTTGCCCGACCAGCAACATGCGCATTCGATCGAGCATGTTGCCTCGTTGGGCTCCGTGGCGGGTATCGAATGCTGGGCTGGGGGTTTGGAAAGAGTAGTGCTATTTGCAGAGCCAACTTTTGCTAGTTGTAGAGCCCGTAGGAGCAACGGCAGCAACGACAGCGACGACAGCGACGACAGCAACGACAGCATCGACAGCAACGGCAGCAACGACAGGACCGTCGCGAGCGCCCCGACCCAGGATGGCACAGAGCCCAAGCCGGCGCCGACGATGCGCCCTGCAGGCGGCTGGGCCCCATTGGATGGCTGGGCAAGGTCTGATTCGACAATTCGTCGGGGCTTTTGCCAACGCATCCGCTTGCATGTACGTCGTCCACTTCGTACTCTGCGCTCTGTACTTGGTACCCCGTAGGCGCTGTGAATGCGTGGTGCGCGCCGGTAGAGGAAAATTGCGGTGAACTGCCCTGCGCATGGTGGCCGTCAATCTAGGGCCAGCCATGTTTGCCGTCCACGACGGCACAGAAGCCACGAAGAGCTCAGATTTTGTTCATGGCCTCGAGTCGAGTTCTCTTCCGGGGGATTGAGTCCGTCCAGATAGGTATGGCCTCCAGGTCTGAGGGGGCAGGTGCTCGGGCCACCGTCCCTTCCTGATACTTCACACATACAACCGCAGGACGCAGTTCCTTGGAAGTCGCGACACACGACCAGGTTCGCGGTCAAGCTTCCAACTTCCAGCTTTCCTGTGCCTCTGCTCGCCTCTCAGCTCTCTGGATCCCAACCTCTGTCTCCCGCCACACTTCCAGAAGCTACGACGCCCTCCGAAATCCTCGCCCGACGTCAACCTGACCCTAGCCAGGCCAGACTCGTCGGGGCGGCGGCCCCTCTGGTCCGGTATTTAATAATACATCACCTGCCTCGGGCCTCCACGCCCCCGCAGACGGCCAGAGACACGTCGACGCCCAGCTGCAAAGCCGCACAACCTCGCTTCCGGCCATTGAGACGCCTCGTCGTGGCTCCGCGCCCTGCACCGCTCCTCGTCCCTTCGCCCTTCACGTCGGCTCCTCATCCTCGCCCTCGACGTCCCCTCAGGCTGGCACATGGGCTGATCGCGTCTGCTTGGCTTGCTTGCTTGCCAGAGTCGCCTCGTCTTACACTGGCCCCTCCCCCACACACCACCACCACCACCACCACCAGTGCGGCACCACCACCACACCCATCACCACCGTCGACAACATCCGCCTCCACCACCTCCGCCGCCGCCGCCGCTCGTTGCCCGTCGACAACGGCTGCCAATCCGGTCCGGCCATACTCTCCCGCGGCGTCCCGCCTCGCTCACTCCCTCTGCTCCGGCTCTATAGCTAGTCATCGCTGCCCCATTGGCGCCAGACCCGTCCTTCGATTGGGCCATCTTGCATGCTCCTGCGCTCCCGCACTCGAGCCACGACACTCCGTGTGCGCGCCCGCGTGCCACTACCACCCTTCTCACCACCTCATTCGACCCATTTCGGCCCTCATCCCCGTAGCGTTCCGCCATAGGAGCTCAGGGAGCTCGCCAACCTCCCTCGCCCCGACCGTTGTTGTGCTGCTTTCCTGCCACTGAGACGACCGAGGGCTGCGGCCACTCCTGCGCCAACCCTGCTTGCTGCTGGCTCTGGCACGACACCTTACTTACCTGCCTGCGCTGCTCATGCGCGAAGCCGCTCTAATAACGACCCTTCTACATACGCACCGCACCGCGCCCGCCGGACTAGAGTGTGTTGCTGTTGTCACTGCTGCTGTCGCCGCCGCCGCTGCCGGCCCCGTTGCCTGTGCACGTTTACCGCCAGTTGCCATCGGCCACCACCGCACTGTTGTAGATCAGGTCAGTCGCTCTTCTCCAAGCCATTTCCCTTCTTGCCTTCTCCAACACAACTCTGTACAACCTCGCCTCCACCGGTTGCTGCCCCTTTGACACCCATCCCGGTGGCCGTCAATGAGGTCCCTCCGCTATCTACGAAAGAGGGAGAGCCTCCAGTCACCGTGACTTCCTTCACTTGCCCCCATGCCTTAGTTTGCGTCTGTTGTACGATTATATCGGGCGTCTTGTTCCTGTTTCCTTGCCCTCTGGTCCACCTGGCCACCTTCCAGTCCGGCCCTTTCGTCACACCGTTCCATGCACCGTCGACGGCGTCGGCCATCACGCTTACACCATGTACACTAGAGAACCCAAGGAGAAGCCGCGACGCAAGAGCGTTATCAAGATGGATCCCAACTGTGCGATATGCAACGCCCCGGCCACACTAGCATGTGACTGCGAAGCCAAGGGGCTCGAGATGGCAGTCCGCCAGGCCGAGGACCGCATGATGCGCTCCATCTACTCCGATATCAGGTTTGCGCGCCCTGTTGCTCGACTCTGTTATGCCATCTTTCGCCTTGTTGTCCCCGACGGGTGGCGCGCGCGCTGATGAGCGGGAATGCTGACGAGACTTGGTCCATACAGGTCCTGGGTGCGCGCCCATGCCCAAGACTACGTCCTCGAGTACTTTCGACTACTCGCTGAGCGCCGCAAGAATGCACACACGGCACATCTCGACCAAATATCGGCCCACGCTTTCTACCATTACAACGCTCCACCGCACCCCAACCAAATCGCCGATGCCCAAGCGATGCTCAAGCGCGGTATCGACGAGGACTGGCAGGCGTCGGTCCAACGCTATCCCGAGGTCCTCGAGTACTACTTTGGCCTGGTAGAGCTCACTCTCCCGGCCGATGACGAGCCAGCCGTAAAGGATCCCCCTCTTAGTGCGCTGAACGGTGGGAGTCGCAAAGCCATACGGAGAGCTGGCACTGAAGACGAGAGCTCCAGCAGCAGTCGTGCCGGTGGCAGTGGACCCTTTCCAGCTGTGAGGGGCCCCCTGCCACCTGCTTTTGGAGACAGGGACTTGACGGTAGACAGACGGAATACGGCTCGGAGGGACAGGAGGCCAATGCCAGCCAGGATGTCGCACCCTCCCGCGCCATTCTACGCTCCATACCCCTGAACATCCACGACGCCGTCTACCGCCCTTACGAATTGCATGAGTCTATGAACCCCCGCGAACGCATCATGAACAGCGTGGCGTTGTTGTTTCTGTATATGCATGGGAAATTGGAGTACTGCCCTTGGGCGTGTCATACCAACCGCCAGGAATCAGGACCAGGTGAGGGTGATTTGGAAGTTGGCTTAGAGCTTCGTGGCGACAGGATTCAGGGAGCCACATGGCAGGGCAAGTGGGAATGAACCTGGGATGATGTTGAAATGGAACCTCTTTCAAGCTGTTGCAGCAGATGTTCTTTATAGAAATACCGGTGGTCAAGGCCGGCTACAATCGCGAGTTCCAATACCATAGGGGTATATGAAGACCTGATGACAAGTTACAATCTGGTGTTTCGTGGCACCATTCCCAGATTCCCTAGAAGATACCAGGTGTGCAGCAGCAGATGCAATGATAAGGACGACCACCACGGCTCTCAGCGCACACCCCGGCGCCCAAGGTCCAGCTCGCGTCACGGCTTTGACTGCTCTACGTGACGGGTGCATGTTCACGGTGCAGCAGAAGACGTTGAAACAGCTCCGCTGTTGAGCAATGCAATACATACGAAAGAATTTTGTGTAATCCGTCCACCCGCCTTCCACGCAGAACAAATAATGGCGCCTATGTACAATCCTCACATTTTCGAACGAGATGGTGGTACCGTATCAAGACTCCGGCTCTGTTCTGCGCTTTTTTCTTTCCGGCTTCTTCGTCCGGCTCCCTCCCCCTCTCTCAGGACTCGAGATGGCAACATATCTTCTTTCAAAAAATCTCCCCATCTCTCTCAGGGTCTCTCCCCCCCTCGTGATTCAAATCCTTCTCCTTTTGTGAGCGGGGTGGTGTGTTTGGTAGACGGGGCTCCCCCCGACCGGCGCCCCTGAGAGGTAGCGAGGATTCGGTGTGACTAGGGGAAAACAAAAGTGGCGGTGCGCCGGCCGATGGGAAGTGGGGAGCCTGTCGGTTGCGGTGCGGTGGCAGAGGGGGCTTTAAGCCTCCTCCTTCTTCTCCTCGATGGAGGTGTCCTTGACGGCGGCAGTGACCTCCTCGACCTTGTCGCCGCCGTTGACGCCGTTGGCCTCGTCCTTCTCAAGGCGGTCAAGCTCCTTCTTGGCCTTCTCAATGTTCTGTACGGACGTGTCAGTGACAGTTCGGATCGCGCAAGCATGAAGCGGTATCGGACGAGGAAAAGTAAACTTACGCGCTGAGTCTGAGCCTCCTGGTCGTTCTTCCAGTGGTCGAGCTTCGCCTTAACCTTCTCGATGACCGCAGGAACGTCCTCGCTGCTCATGGGCGGGTCAACGCCGATGAAAGCGCAGTCCTCGACGACGGAGGGAGGGCAGTTGTAGTTCTTGGCCGCGGCGGCGGCGCTGGCGCCACCCTTCTTGCCCTTCTTGCCCTTCTTCACGGCGGGCAGGTACTCGTCCTCGCGGTCCTCCTTGCGGAGGAGCTTGGTGCCCTTGAGGCCGGCGTCGTCAACGGTTCGCTGGGCCTGGGCGCTGAGGCCGCTGGAGGCCATGAGGGGGCCCTTCTCCGTCTTGTGGGTGGGGTCGAGGAACTGCAGGAGGGAGTTGGCGCGGCGGATCTCCTCGAGGTAGGCCGGGTCGCTGGCCTCGGCAAGGACGCGCTCGGCGTTGGCCTTCTTCTTCTCGAGCAGGTACTGCTTGTGCTCGGCGTCGCGGCGCTCGCGCTGCTTCTCGCGAGCCGCGCGCTCGTAGGCCTGGTAGGCCTTCTTCTGGCCGTAGTAGTCGTCCTTGAGCTTCTTGATGGCGGTGTACTTCTCCTGCTGCTCAGACTGCAGCTTGGAGCGCTCGTCGCGCAGGCTGTTGATGCCCTTGTAGGCCTCGTCCTGCTCGGCCTTGATGGTGTCCAGCTCGGCCTGGATCTTGGAGTACTGCTCGGACATGGCCTTCTGCTCCGGGTCGTCCATGCTGTCCTTGATCTCCTTGATCTTGCTGCGCAGGTCGTCAATCTGCTTCTGGGAGTCGTCAAACTGGCCAAAGTTCTTGCGCATCTTGCGGAGGCTCGAGATGTCGGACAGGGCCTTCTTCTCGTCGACGAGCTTCATGGTGCCCGAGTTGACCTGGGCGTCGAGGGTGGCGATCTGGCGGTCAATGTCCTCGGCGCTCTTGTAGGGGACCTTGGCCTTGGCGTTCTTCTGCTCGGCGATGCGGCTGCGGACCTGCTCGTCGAGACGCTTGATCTGGTCGAGCTTGGAGGTGCGGGCATTCTTGCCGCCAGCCTGCTTCTGGCGGATCTCGTTGGCCTGGGCGATGAGCTCCTGGCGGCGCTTCTGGGTCGGGCTGGGCTGGTCCTTGTTCTTGTTCGGCATGGCGATCTCGATCTTGGCCTTGACGGCGTTCTGCGGTGCATTGCGTGTCAGTGGTGGAGGCTGATATCGAGGTGCAAGTCTGGCGACGATCTCGGGAGACACGTGTGAGCCGCCGGAAGCTTAATATCAGAACGTACCAGCTTGTCCATGGACGCCTTGTGCGCCTTCTCAGCCTTGGCGAGAGCCTCCTTAAAGGCATTCTCGTCGGGGCGAGTCGGGCGGGTGGTCTGAGTCGACTCGGCCGCAGGGGCCTGGGGGGCGGGAGCGGTCTCGGCCATTGTGAATTGCGCAGGGCAGTCGAGTCGAGGACAGAAGGGACCAGATGTGCGAGAAGCCGGAGCGGGAGCCGTCGGGGCGGGCGAGGGGAATTTGTCGTCCTCGCAAAATGGGATTGCGGAGTTTCGAGCAAGACGAGTGCCGGGGGTGGGTTGGATGGGATGTGTGTGTGGTGGGTGAGGAGGAGGGAAATCGGGAAGGGAAAGGCGAGGTTGTGCGGTGTCGAAAAATGCGACGCCGAATAAAATCGTTCCCACCACGTTGCGGAGACACGGGCCTGGACAGCGGCGTGCAGCGAACCCCTAACAGCTGGCCCGTTGCCAACCCGGCCTCTCAATTGAGGCAGCTTGCGAGCACCTGCACTGGACCCTGGCGGCCGGGGGGGCCGCAGCGGGCTAAGGTAAGGTAGGGGTGCCATTGAGTGGCCCGGCCCAGCGCCGTCCAGGGGCCTGCGAGGCCTGGCCCGCCTGGACCGGGCGCCCGACTCCAACCATCTGGAGCCTCGCAGGCCAAGCAAGGCACCTCACCGGTGGACGGACGGGCATCTCTCGCTGGCCCGCAGTTGGTTCCAGCGGGTTGAGGCAGGGGCTGTTGGACGGACCGCCGCTGGTACTTTTTTGAGTTTACAACGTAGTACTCCCGCCCTCACAGTGGAAAGCAAACGTGGCAGGTACCTTTAAGGTTTTACATGAACCAGAGGGTCCCATGGCCGGGCATGTGCTGAGGAACCCAATTGGGCCGGCTGGCGCCTTCAATTGTGTCCCTCGAAACTCCAGTCCAGTCCTCCAAGCCCGCGCCGACTCTCGGCCGGTGGGGCCGCCTCGCCGCCACGCTCCCTTTCCCGGCCGCCGGGTCACATGACCCCTCTCAGTGCTGGGCGACCGCCCCGGCGCTGCTGCGAAAAAAAATGGATGGGTCCGCCTGCGTGTGAGAAAGGCTGATCGACCGCAACCGCGCAGGCGTAGACAAATTTCGACGTCTTCCCTTCTTCCCAACGTCACATCGACACCGAAACCCGCGATCTCTTCGGCGCGCGCGCACACACGCACGCACACACACGAACGGCATATATAGGCACGCTCTCTGCCTACCTACCGACCGCAGTCGCCAGCGCCAGCGCCCGACGCCAGACGCAACATGGACGACTCTGTGCCCAACGACGCCAAGTCGAAGGAGGTGGTCAGGCTGTGGCGCGCCTGGAGGACGGTGCACGAGATGGTCGCCGATAGGGTACGAGGATTCACCCGGCCACGAGCTTCGGAGCGCGGCGGCGTAGCGGTTGCGCTCGCAGTCTGAGAGAGAGAGAACGTGTCTGACCTGACCTCGCCGACAGGAATACGAGCTCGCAGAGGAGGAAGTCAACATTTCGCTGGACCGGTTCCGCGACGAGTACTGCAACCCCGACGGCTCCATCAAGTACGTTGCTCCCTCTGCGCTCTCACATCTTGCTAGGCGTCGCGTCGCCCAAGTTCCCCACGCAGCGTAAAACTGACGCGAGAACCCTCTCCCTCCCCTTCCAGCCGCGGAAAGCTCCAATTCTCGGCCCGCCCCAGCGACTCGATGCTGCGCAAGAACACGCCCGCGCCCACGGCGGCCAACCCGAACCCCGTGCCCGACTGCGGCCCCGTCTGGGTCGAGTTCCTGACGGACAAGCAGTTCGGCGTGGCGCAGATCCGCCAGTTCGCCAAGCACACCATCACGAACAACTACAAGACGGGCATCATGGTCACCCACGTCGCCCTCTCCCCCGCCGCCCGCAAGTCCCTCGCCAGCGTCGAGAACCTCGCCAAGATTGAGTGCTTCCTCGAGGACGACCTGCTCGTCAACATCACCCACCACGAGCTCGTGCCCCGGCACGTCCTCCTCTCCCGCGAGGAGAAGGCCGCCCTGCTCAAGCGCTACCGCCTCAAGGAGACGCAGCTGCCCCGCCTGCTGCAGAAGGACCCCGTCGCGAGGTACCTCGGCCTCAAGCGCGGGCAGGTCGTCAAGATTATCCGCGTCAGCGAGACGGCTGGCCGCTATGCCAGTTACAGGCTCTGCGTTTAGTTGGGAAGCACAGGAGGGGGCCTGGCGGGTGGCCTGACAGGAGGCGTCGTGGACGCCACGACGAGAGTGTGCAGCAACAACTGCTCAAAGGTTCAACGAGGGAACCCGGGGAACGCCTTGGCGGACCTGCGAGGCAGTTGGGTGAGGATGGCGTCTTGATATGCATTTGAGGATAAGGAGCTGGCGTTCCGGGTATTATTCGCACTTTGTGGCCTACCTTGCATCATTGTTATGACAGGGGAGAATGAGAACATAAACTAGTTGCCGTGTGCATACTCAGTCATATGGAAAGAGTCGTTGGAAAGAACAATAATGCGCCACTTCAAGGGATGTTACATTGACTCTTTTCATCTTCATTACTCTACCGAGTATCGTCTACGGCCCACCTCGTCGTCTCATCGCGCCTCCTACTCCTCACGTCGCGGGCTACCACCAAACAGCCCAACCGAGCCCGCGACAACATCGTCAGGGCCTTTTGCCGGGGTATATAGTAGACGCAAAGAAATCCGAAATCAACCACACCACAACCGCCAGAGATATAATGCCTTCGTAACGCGCCTGACGGCCGAACCACCCTGTGGCCGCGCAGGTCCATATCGCGTATAGCAACGTGAAATCTCGGCTCATCCGTGATAATCATTGCCCGACTGAGTCGAAATAAACAGAGTCGCTTGACAATTGAAACCCAAAATCCGTGTGAACGCCCAGCTAATAATCCGGCATCTAAAGTTGTAACAAATAAGGGGCATTGCGTAGGTCGCTATGCCCTTGTGGCATGAGGTCGTCATGATACAAGTCGTGGGCAGGTTCATAGAATGCCCCGGGGTTGGAAAACTGGCCGCAAATCGTCCGACTCGAAGCGGAATTCGAAACGCGGCTTCACTTGAGGAGGCCGCCAGGATCCATCAGTTCCATGCCTTCGCTTTTATGGTTGCGTGCCGAGTTCGTCGGGCGGCTCTGAGGAATCGTTTGCAATTCAGTACCATTCCTGGTCCGCGCCCTCGACGAGCGGGTATTGAGTGGGCTCAGGAGGCCCCCGAGGTCCTGCAGCAACGCGGTCGAGCCTCTGCGCACTCCCGAGGTTCCCGCAGACACCGTAGCAGGAGGCGCAGCGCGTGGCGAGCTCGGGTCGGGGGTAGACGGCGCATAACTCCCTCTCCGGTAACTGCCACTGCTGCTGCCCACGGAGCTATCCAGCAGCCCACCCACGTCCAGAAATGAAAGACCGCTTTTCCCCGGCGTCGATTCGCTCTTGGCAAGAGGTTCGTGCTGCAGAAGCGAGTCATCGCTGTGCGTAGTGTGGCTTCGATGTTGCTTCGACTCGCTCCCCTCGCGGTGCGGCACCATCGGGGCAGGGGCAAAGTACTGGCCCTCGGTATGCCTCGGCCGCTGCCGAAGCTCGGGGTCGACACTCAAACCGACGTCCCTGACGAGGTCCTCGTCACTGCCCCATTGTCGGTGCAGCGTGGGCCGCCGCGGGCCGCTGGACCGATCGAACGAGTCGGCGGCCGAGTTGCGTCGGAACTTTTGCTTCTTTACACCACGATCTCGCACGAACGAGCCGAGAACGAGAGCATTTGCTGCCGCGGTGGCGAAGATGAGTTCCACTGAGGCCATGAGAGACCGAAATTGTTGCCGGCCCTGCTCCTCGAGCGTGCGGGGTATGCGGTAGATGGTGACGGCGACAACAGGAATGCTCAATGAAAAGAGCAGGACCAGTTGAATCTTCCGCTTGATGGACATTTGGCTGCGCAAAATGATCGGGATGGGGAAGAAGACAAGGAGGAGGTCCGTGAAAATGTTGCACGTGGCCATGGTGATGAGCTGCGCGTAACCCTGCCGGCACTGGCCACCTGGATCGGGTAGCACCTGCCAGTAAAATCGAAACGGCCGGCATTCGGCCAAGTCGCTAATAACCACGGCGATGAAGGTGACGAGCAAAATCCAGCGGATGGCAATGAGCGTCGTCTGGTGTGACCGCTCCCACGTCAGGCCGGTAAGTCTTCTCAAGAACTCCAAGATGGCGAGCTTGAGGATCCATAGCCTATGCTTCGGTGTCAGTGATTGTCACTCTCTATGGGAGCATGCTCCCGTTGGCAATCATATGCGGCGCATGCGGCGCATTCCACAGCGGGAACAAAAAAAGAGGGTAATGCGGTGCACCTACGTCGCAGCATAAAAGAAGCGGCTGGCCAAGACCAAACCGCTGGCGACGGATTTCTGATGTATTTGGTCGTCGGTGAGAACCACGTTGCTGAAATCGGCGTTGTTGGTTCCAAAGATGAGGATAAAATGGACGCAGGCCATACGCATGACCAGCGGAATCAGTGCAAGCGCGGCGATCCTATCCTCGAGGAACAATCTCTCCGTGCGAATGAAGCGGCCGGCTATCCGCAGCAGGATCATCAGGGCGCAAAAGGATGTGGCCCACCAGCAGACAAGCAGCGTCGGCTTGTCGCGCCGGAAGGGCCACAGCTCCGGGGCCTCTGAATAGATGGACATTTTGTTGGTCGGGGGTGCCGGCCCACGCCCGCCGACCTCCGCAGAGGATTCGACGAGCGAGGTGTGCTTCTAATGAGGCGAGAGCGTCGCGTCGCAGTCGAGGGTCAAGTCGGCAGCGAGAGGCCCCGGTGGGCGGTGTATCGAGAAACGGGCTGCGCTGCTGCTGTGACTGGCGGCCGGAGGGCTTAAGACAGCATGTGGCTGCAGACCGTTGTCGTCACCGTTGTGTCGTAATGTCTGTGGCGGTCGGAGGGGCCGGCGCATGGGCGAGCGACCGTTGGCACGAATTGGTCGAGGGAAGCGGCCAACACGGGAGCAGACTGCGACAACAGCGATGCCGTATGCCGACGTAGCGCATGCAATCCCGGAGGAGACAGTCGGTGCTTGTTCTTGGGGAAAGCGGTGGAGGGGGAACACAGGAAAGAGAAGGATGGAGCGGACGACGGAAGCGGAGAGCCCAGGGCTGATATTGCGGAGGCGCAGGGCCGACGAGCAGCCAAGGCTACGCCCAATGATCCAGCGACAAGCAACAGCGCCCGCCGTCAGACGGCCAGTGGTGGCCAGTGGGAGGGACATGATACACTTGCGCATGCCAACGCCGGGGCAGACAGGGCCGGCGCACTAGCCGACGGGCGGCCGGCCTCGGGTGGGCGAGGCGAGTCTCGAGGAGCGGCGTCAATGGCAGCGTCTCTTGGGCCCTGGCCCTTGTGGGAGTGGACGCACAGCGACTAGCGCCCTGGGGGACCAGCTGGTGTGGCAGGCAGAGCAGGCCGAGGCCGACACGACGAAGCGCCGCGGCGAAAACGACGCCGCCACTTGGCGATGGGGATGCAGGTGGGTGGAGGCGCCTTCTGACAATCTGGGAAATAGTCGCTGGGGGGCTGCTCTAGTGTCTGCGCCGAGCCCTCCGTACTCCGTACTGATGCGCCGGGCCTCGTGGTACCCGCGGGCAAGTATGGAGTACGGGGCAGATAGCAGGCCTCGACAGGGATCTCTCGGGTTGAAGTCTTCATTGCTGCATCAGGGGGGCCTGGCTGCCCAGAGCGCATGTGTCCGTTTTGCCCGCGTCGTTTCGTGGTTACCCATCGCGTGAGCTGCCAATTCGCACGAGGCATTGTCTCGTTCCGAGGACCCTCGTTCAAGTCCGTGCGAACTGTTAAGGTGTCCGGCCTTGACGTCAAGCAAGACACTGGCTTCGCCGCTCGGGATGCGGTGGCACAGCATGACAGATCCCTTGTGCGTGAGTGCGCTTCGCTGCCCTCCGTTGGTTGCGCGTCTTCCTCGAGCCTGGCCGCCTCCGTCAGTGGCTGGGCACCGCCGGTGGGATAAATCTGGGCCTTGCAAGTTGCAACGCCCAATGCTGGCGCCACGGCCGCCTGCTGACTCGCAGGCGCTGTGGCATGGGCCCGTCGATGCCGCCAGCCTTGCACGCGAGCGATAAGCCATGTTGGGTTAATGGTCGCGTAGTCGTAAGCGAAGCCAAAGGATTGGTTCGTTCAATCTGTGGCTGGCTCGCGGCGGACTCTGGGGCCGGCAGAGGTCGTGGCAAGCACAGGAAGCAAAGTGCCTGATTGTCGATGGTTCAGGTGGTTGAACGGCAGACGATACATGTGCCGAGCCGCCAACCCGTAAGGCTGTTCCAACTCCTGCTTGAAAACATGGACGCCGGGGTCGCGATGTCGTGCTTAAGACCTATCTCGTTGGATTAAGCAAGCCAGGGCGCCATTCGGCAGAGTGTCTCAACACGAACCGCGGCGCCGGGACCCTGGCGAAACAGTGCACAATGACCCGAGACAAGCAAGACAGCGGCAAGGGCGTCAGACGCCCCAGGTGGTGAACCTTGGAAGGCCACGGCTGGGCCACCAGCTGCCCTCCAAGCCTGCCCTGACATTTGTGTTGTTCCTGTTGGCGGACTCTAACACCGCGTATGTGCTCATAGTAGTCCAAGTCGATCGGGCGATGCAAGCCGTGTCAGCTGGGGAGCGAGGGCTGACCAGGTGCATTAATCATGCCCCAACGGCTGTTTTCGACAAGGCTGTTCTCTCCCCCGGGATCCCTGGCCTGTTGAGAGAAATGAGAGGTCTAGATACTCGATGCAACGGCAGTCTGATGGGAGACGGATGGGCTACTGACGCGGGCCAGAGACGCCACCAAGCCCTGCCATCTGCCGTTGTGTTCACCACTCTGTTGAAGTGGCTGGTCCGACAGACTAGCACATGGGGACCCGGCCTGAGCTTGAAGCGATGGTTTCGAGGCGTACCTGTCTGTGCCAAAAGTCTAGAAACGTCGTCTTCCACGCCGCCTCCAAGCTCGAGTCAGTCGGGACAGGTCTGGCGCCGCACCCCTGGATTGGCTTTCAGGCGCTTTCAGGCGCGTTGGGGTTGGCATTGAACAACGCTGTATGGATGATATCTGTTGGGCGGCGCCGTGGTCGAGGCGCTTGCTGCTGTACACTTCTCTGCAGGAGAAGGCGATCAACATGCATCTCCAAATGGTGGATGTCTGGTGGACCCTTCGCCCCGGTTATGTGATGTGATTCTGGAGAGGATCATGAAGCGTGGGGACCAACTGAGGTGATGGATCTCCAGCGCGAATGCAAGCACGAATGGCCCCCGATTCAGGCAACAGCATGGGTGGCGCCGCCGATACGTCCAGCACCGTGGGGAGCCGCGTGGGTATGGAGGTACCTTCTCCGTTCTCGCTACACTTCGAAGGTCGCGGCTGCCCGACGGCTGCTCACAGGGCCTTATCGCCATGCCCCATCATTTATTGGAGCTAGCCCAAGCAAAGCCTGGTAGGTGCATAGATTCATTAGCAGTCAATAACCTGCACAGTGTTATCCGCGACCCGTGAACGAGGTGCACGAAACATGGATAGATGCTGGGGTTCTCCTGCCCTCGAGGTGCCTGCCTGGCTCAAGAAATTACGCGCAGGATCAGGATCAGGTCGTGCATCTGTAATGTAAGTACTTCGTACGGTACTGCACTGTTCTCATACGGAAATCGAAACACCACGTCGGCGCAATACAAACGCGACGCCTGGCACACACAACCAAAGCCTTGGCTTGCATGGGCGTTGCGGCATACGACCTTGACTTGGCGGGAGAGCAGGTGGCAGGCTGCCATTCGTGCCACCCGTGCGACCTTCCCCACGGTCGCGCCCTGCGGCGGGCGTGCTGCGAGCTGCGGTGCCTCCCATCGCCTCCACGGCTCTCCTCCTCCCCCCAAAAAAATGGATGGAAGGCTCCCCAGATGCCCCGCGCAGTCCCCTCCTGCCGTCCCGCGCTGGCGCAGCCAATTAGGGGTGCGTCCCGCCTCGGGGGCGGAACCCAGAGGTACCGAGTACGACGGAAGCCCACGCTCAGGTACTGCTTCCGTCCGTACCCCTCCCCTCGTTTTCCTCCTCCTCCTCACGGCACCTGCAGAACAGGACGACAGCGTTGGTGACCCACGGGACAACCCGCGACGGCTCTCGACACCCTCTCGCGGAAGGCAGTGGACGTCTGTCGGATCCGCCAACTCGTCCGCGCAAAAGTGCCCTGCAAACGTCCATCCAGAGCTGAACGTCACGTTGTTCTTTTGTTTCCGTTCCCAAGCAGCGTACATTGCGCGTCCTTCAGCCGTGCTCGTGCCGCATTCGAGCTCGAGTACAGTATCGTGCGCGCCTTTGCACGTGCAACGTGATTGCGACGGCCACCGCTCCAACCACGTCGCACGGCGTTTCGCAGAGCCTGGATATTAATATCATCCTGCGGCTTCGCGAAGATGGCGGCAAAGAGAAGAATCCGGACTTTCGGTCGCAGGCGGCACGACATTCGTACTGTACCTAACCTGATGATCTGCGCGCTCCCACCTGCAAGAGGCCGCAGGCGCGTCGGCCCTCTTTCACACTTGGACTGGCAACCCATAACTTCATGCGAAGTCACCGCCGAGACCCTCGAAGTGCGCGCTTCTCCCAGTGTACGAAGCACCCCGCGGTCCCATCTTAGCCCTCGGCTCCAGCTGCTATCCACCCTCCCCAGCGCTACCTGTCCGGCCAACCCCTGCTGACCTCGAGGCGGCGACCCGCCTCCGTACCAGGACTTGCACCTCCCCGTCACCGAAGGATCCACTGTGCCGTCTCGGTCCCGGCAGGCTGGTTGCAGCCCTCCTCCATCCTCCAATCCGCCGTGCAAGCGGCAACGAGCAGCAAAAGTCCCTACTCGAGCCAACCACCGTCTGTCACAGAGATTCGATGTTCGTCAAGTACAGTACCAGCAGTGCTGCCTAGCAGCCTTCATTCGGCCGCTGGGTGGCAATTCGGCACGCATTCAACTTCGCTCAGGACCAACAAGCAGCGTGCCTGGGGCCGTTGGGACGCTGAGCGGTGGTGTCATGCAGCTTTGATGAAGCCCAGCTCGCCGCCGTTGCCCCACAATCTGCATGGTCCAGGTCACTCCTGCGTGATCAGTGATCACGCCGCATCCCAATGCCAAGCGCGCGCAGGATTTGCTCCTTCAGTCCCCTCTTCCCGGTCTCGTATAGTACAGTACCTGTAGCAGAGATTGACCGCCGTTGGCCTCACCCAGGAACTGTGACGGAAACGATGAACCGCAGAGGACAATCCGGGTGCGCCTCCCGATCTTGTGACAAGGGTGGTGTGCAACAGTACATACGTACACTGTCCCGGGACCACCAAGTCACAGGCATGGGAGCTACCAGATAAGAGATGTCATTATACCCTGACATGCCCATCGTCTAGTGGCAAGGGCCTTGACGCGACGTTGCAGTTGCGCAAGTCAGCGTCCCGTCCGTCCTGGACTGAAAGAATTTGCTCGACATGCACACCGCTCTTGCAAGTATTAGGTCTTTGAAGAACACATGAACAGTGACCCTGCATTGCATGTCAGGGATTCTATCAATGTGCGGTTAATGCGCTGCCACGAACGGTCACGTCCGAACCGACGCGCATGATGAAGAGACGAGCGTTTATAACTGCCCAGTCGGTGTGGGTTCACACTCGGCCGAGTTTCAAGGGAGTCGATCCCGTTCGTTGTGCGTTTTCATGCGGAGGAATCCCCCCAGCACTTCGAGGACATGGATTGCTTTCCTTTGCGCTTCTTGTTTGGCTCCGTACCTAGCTGCTACTATCCTGCCGCCCAAGCTGTCTGTATGTCTTGATGTTCCTCTTGCACAGTATACGTAGAATGATGGCGCTTATGCCAAACCCAGCTCCTGCACGACGCCTCGGATCATTGCCTTGTCTGCCTTTGCCCAGTCCACGCCTGTCAATGGAGAGCTGACGACGGCCCCGTCTGCCTCGGGGACATCGAAGCCTCCCGTCAGGCCCCACAGCTCATCGACCACGACGCTGCGCACCCGCGGCCAGGGATGAAACAGCAGCGCCCCAAGCCTCCTGCGGGCCTCTTGCACAGCAGCGCCGCCGTTGCTACCACCCTCCTCACCACCATCACTGAGGCTCATGGATGCCACACCTCCGTAGACCTTGACGCAGGCCATGATCTTCCGGACGTTTCCGGATTTGTAGCTGGCCTTTTGCGTCTGCAGGCACAGGGCGCGGAGGTCCACGTCCCGACACCGCTGGAAGAGGCCGCAGTTGAAGAGAAAGGCGACAATCTCGAGCGTCGGCACGACGACGCGGTCCTCGCCCTGCCGCGAGCGCAGGTTCTGCATGAGCGCGGCGCACACGAAGCTGAGCCTTTCGCCTGATGTCGCCTCGCAGAAGTCCGTGAGCGCGGTGCGGCTGGCAATGACGAGGTCGTCGTTGCCCGTATCTGCCGACGTCACGTAGCCGGCAAGGAGCTCGGCCATCCAGGCGCTCGCGTCAGCCCGGGCCGGATGGGCGAGCCAGGGGTGCATGCAGTCAACCGCAATGAGCTGAAGCAGCGCTTCGAAATAGCCTTTCGACGAGAAGCCGAGGGACTGGAATCGCTTGGCGTGTCTGAAAGGTGAAAGCATATTGTTAGTGAACAGGGGACACGAGCAAATAACTTGATCGATACATGGCGCGTCTTCACTTACTCTTGCTTTAGGGTCATGGCAACTGCCGATCTCGCTACAGGCCGGACACGATCCAGCTTCTCGGCCGCGAGGCGCAACGTGCTGTGGAAGAGGGTCTTGATGGACTCTTCCACCCAGTCCTGCCGGCCAACCTGCTGGTCGCCGAGGTTCCGCCACAGAACACGCACGGCTCTCAGGGCCTGAACTCGCACATGGGAGCCAATGTCGCCCCGGGCATTGGTGGTGTAGTCGTTCAACCCATCCTTCAGCAGCCCCAAGAACGTCAGGGGCTTTGAATTGAACACGTTGCTGAGGATCAGGCTCTGCAGAATTGCACTTCTGGTGTCGACGTCGGGGTCTGATCTCCACCGTTCGAGAATCGCTTCGCAGGCCACATCGTTGGTCGTCTCCACGCGCGCGGAAGTGCCCAGAGCGGCCAACGGTTGCGCCAGCGCCAGCGCCTGGAAGTAGCCGAAGCCAGTTACCGCTGTTCGGCTTGTTGGTCTGCTCCTGACAATGGCGGCCCAGTCACTCAACGTACGGACGCGATCTTCCTGGGAAGAGAATATGAGAAGGACTAGAGCAGCTCTCGAAGCTGGGTCAGTAGCCTCAGGTTCGCTCTTGCTCAACCACGCGGGAATAACCGCACGCAGCTTAGATATGACGGCGTCGACATCTGTGCTTGTAGGGTGGGTTCCGTCCAGCGCGTCAACGAGCCTTAGATAAACCCCGTTCTGTGATGAGAGGGCATCCTGTCCCTTCTGCAATGCAGGCTCTTTTAAGTCTGGCAGCAGAGTAGCTTGAAGCGCAGGCACCGACGATACGACAACCTGACTTGCGGCTTCAGCGATAAGCTCGGGCTTGCGGTATTCGACTGCACCGCAATCTTCCAGGATCTGGGAGACGTTTGCCAAGATTTTGTGAAAGAGCGCTGAGCTGAGCGATGCGTTCTCAGGCCCCTGGTCGTTGGTGATGCTGCGAGCAGCGGGAATCTGGTCGATAACAGAGGAAAGGCACAGCAGCAGGCCGTGTCGCTCTTCAACCTGTCGTTTTACGAGTGACTGAATCCTCTGCGTCACCAGCTGAACGGAGTCTTCGAGCCGAGATAGTCCAGCTTTGGGGTTTGATCGTGCCAGTTCGGCCGCGAGTACACCGAATGCGGATCCCACAACACGACGTGAAGGCGCGTCCAAGTCTCCAATACCCCGCCAGCCTAAGATCGCATCTATCAAAGCCTCACCATACTTGGGCGAGAGCTTAGTAGCGTTGGTTGCGACCTCCTCAATGGCTCGAGACCTGCGGGCAACAGCATGGTAGTCAACGGTCTGGACCACAGCGATGCCCTGCTCCACAGTGTCAGGATGCCGACCGATGAGCTCCTGTAATGCTGCCGAAGCACCTCGGCGAATATTCCCGGCCGGATCTAGAGACGCCGTCGTGACGAGCTCGGTCCCGAGCACCTGTAGGATGGAACTGTCCGAGGGGTGTGATTTGGCGGCCGCAAAGACGGACTTTGTAGGAACAGCGAGGAGCTCCTCGGTCGAGTAGCGACGGGCGATGGCCCAGATTCCGAAACATGCGGCATCTCTGACGTTGGCTCCGACGCTGCCGCCAGACGTATTGCGTTGCTCGAATGACAAGCCGAGCAGCAGCGCATGTATAATGTCTGAGAGCTGCGCAGCCGGCGGCGACCGCCTGTATAGGAGATGCGAGAGAGTGAGCATCAAGCCGTGCCACTCGAGATTGTTCACAGCCGACAGATCTCGTACGGGCTTGACTCCGGAGCCGCCAGCAGGTTTGGTCCACAAGACATTTCTGTTGAGTGACTCGAGAACAGCCTCGACGACCTGCGACGCCATTTCTGGATCCAGCTTCAGGGTGATGACACCGAGTGCCTTGCTGGCAGCCAATCTCACGGGCGTATCGCTGTCAGACAGATTCTCTAGTAAGTAGCCGATGGTCGTTTCGGTCAGCTCCGTGCTTGCCATGTCCTGCGGCGTCTTGCGCAAGAGGGACACAATGACAGATCGTATGACTTTGAGGATCATCTTCCGCACGATTGCTAAAGGGAGGAGCAACTTGGAAAGCTCCGAATCTGCCGTCGTGATGCCGTAAACAGCGTCGAATATGGAAGGGAGCCACTTGTCCACGTCTGACGTCTCAGCAGAGGAGCGCAACAAGCCAGCCAGGAACGAAAGCACACCAAGATAGAAGTGCATGCTCTCCAAGGGCCCATCTTTGGGCGGGCGAAGCGAGGCAAGTGCCCACTGAACCAGGCTGTCCAGCACGCCTAGTTGCTGCATGTCCCGGCGCATCGCGACGCGCACAAGCAAAGCCTTGGCTGCGTCCTTTTCCTTCCCTGGAGTGGCTAAATACTTGATGGCGAGTGGGATGACTCGCATCGTGATGCCGGGAAGCCGATCCGGCCACCTGAATCCCGAGATCTCGGGCAACGCCGCGTCCTCGATGTCGAGTGAGGAAATCGTGGAGAGGTCAAAAGGCGCGAGCAGCTGGTGTGACAGCCACAGCAGCACGATATATCGCTGCTCCCACTGCCACGCTCTCCCGGTGTCGGCAGTGTCATCGCCCTGCTGTGCCGTGGCCGCATGCTCCTCTGCATCCTCGATGGCAGACAGCAGAACCTCAAGGTACCTCGTCTCGGCATTGAGAAACCGAACGATGACCTTCTCGCCGCGTACCTTGCAAAAGGTGTACAGTATGCGACAGATGGCGAAGTCAAGCGGCGCAAGGAATTGCGACTTGCCGCCGCGGCGAGGTCCCCGGTTGCGAGTTGCCTGGACAAACTCCAGGTACGCGTCGGCCAGAAACGGAATCCATTTGGGCAGATGGGGGTCCAGCAGCTGAGGCAGCTCCTGGAACATGTCCAGGATCTGTAGGAAGCTATGCATCAGCAAACAGAGCTGCCAGGGGGACACACGATGGCAGAGGCCAAGCCAGTGATCGACGGACGCAGAGGGCTTACTGATGTGATCGCGCTCAGACTCTCGCGCGTTCGCACGTAGGAGCGCACGCGCATACCTCCGCGGCCATCTGGCTTGCGCGGCAGCGAGTCGATGGCGTGGTCGAGGTCGGCGAGGAGATCGCCTGACATCTTTTGGAGCTTGACATCAAGCTCTGCGTCAGGGGCGTCCATGGCTGTCGTGGTCGGGGCTGGGCGCAGAGGGTTGTTTTTCTTGCCTCCGAGAATCGTCGTCCTCGGTCGTTTGGATGCCCATCAATCATCACCAGTTTCTGAAGCAAATTCCGTGAAACGCTTGCCGCCAAGACTTGTTGCGCAAGCAGCGTTGGGACTCGATCGGACGCGGATGGGCAGTTCGCGTCACCGTCAACCCCTCGCTCCTAGGCAGCAGGCGAGGTTCCGTGTTAGTTCGCGCCCGCCAAAAGCGCTACCTGCCGTGAGAATGGCCTAGTTCTCTTCACTGCGCGCAGCATCCCAGAATCGAGGACAATGAGCGTGTACCGCAGACTGATTGAATGCTTGCGCTTTCGTGAGTCGTTAAGGTTGGCGAATGTGGGTGATGCTCTGAGGCGGTGGAGCTGCCCAAATCTCCAACGCTCCTCGCTAGACACAAGGTGCCGGGTAGCCCAAGTGTCCGCAGTACCTGCAAATCCAGCGCGACATGGGTTTTGTTTTGTCCTATCGCAAAAGCTGCAAACCCCGTCACAAAAGGTACTATGTCCATGGCAAATTTTGACTATTGAATCATGGCAGCCTCTGTGCCGGGCAAGGGTGGTGGCGACCACCGAAAAGCTGTCTGCTTTGATGCCTCATTTCTGTTGGACAGCACTACATCCACGCCGGTCACGACACCAAGACAAGGCGAGTACGACGTTCAAGGTAATGACGCTGTTATATTCAACGGCACTGATTCTCCAAAACAACTGCTCTGATAATATGTAGTTTCCTGTTCTCTGCCGCGATATGTACCATCATCAGCGTGATTTAGACATTAGAGAGAAACTAGAAACAGAAGCTGCGATGGCTGGTGCGCCGCAACCCCTTGCATTAGAAGGCCGTGAAAATTATTGACTCCTCTTTGCCGAGGTCGTTCATGTAAAAGTGTGTGCTCGAAATGATATTGCCTCCTTGGAAAAGCTCGTCAGTCCGTCGGAGGCCGGGTCATCGTGCCAAAGGAGCTTGGGTGGATTATTGAGTGACGGCGATGGCCGCCACGAGAGCGTCAAGAGCGCTACTCTGGGACGGGCCAGTGTGAGCCGTGTAAGGCCCAGGCCAGGACACGCCCAGCTTGCTGCCGTCCCGGTCCTGGGCCCAAATGGAGTCGGCGTTTCGGGTGATGAAGTCCGAGAAGTCTGTATCTGGTGCCTCCTCGTAAAGGTACCGGAGGTTGCGGATGAAGACGCCCTTGAACTGCTGGCCGTCCTTGCCGCAGCTGCCTGACCTCAACTCACACTTGTCTGTCTCGACGAGAATGCCCTGGTCGTTTTGGAGCGCGTTGATCGCCGCCTTGGCGATGGGTACCGCTTTTTCAATGTATGAGACGTCTCTGGTAGCCTTGGCAAGCTCGGTTAGACCGCCGAGAATCACACCCTGGTTGTACGACCAAGTCTGCAGACCATTGTTCTTGCAGTTGCCATCGAGGCCGTCGTTGATGAGGCTCTTGTCATTGATCATGCCGCTCTTCTCAAACCACTCCCACTGGGATTTTGCGATGTCGAGGTATGATTTGTCCTGGGAAATCCGGTTGGCGAGCGAGGCGGCCACCGAGAGGTACAGCTCGTTCGCGATGGCGTTGACGTATTTGCGGTCTTTACTCCAGAAGATGCCGCCACCACACGGGGTGCCTGCGCCCGTCTTCATGTCGTTGAAGATGTCGACGGCTGCATTCAGGTACTCCTGATCCCCAGTCACGTCATACGAGTGTATCAATGCCAGAGCCCACCAGCCCTCGTCGTCGTAGAACTCGTTGACGAAATCATTGAAGCCGCGCTTGCCGAGGAACTCGCGCTTGGCCATGCAGCCGCTGCTCGAGTCTAGACAATACACAGACGAGACCATGCCGTTTTTCGCAAGAGACTTGCTTGTCTGAACGGTGGTCTTTTGCGCCTGGTTAAAGGTGTTGCGGATGTATCCGCCGACATTCAGCTTGTTGGCGTCGTTGAGGCGCAGCTTTGCAAAATCGGCGAGGGTTGTGAGAGCGTTGGCGCTGTTCCACCAAGCGTCATCCCAGATGCCTGTCTTGACGTTGTAAAAGTCACTATTCAGTGACTGAATCGCCTGAGATGCGTGGTCGGCGTATGTTTGGGAGGACTCGGCGGCGTCCACTGTAGGTGCGAAGGCGAAAAGCGCAGCGGCCAAGGCCGCTTGCCAGCTGGTGGTGCTGGGCAACATGTTGAGCGAGTTGATATTGCTGAGCCAGGGGAGAGTCTTTCGAGAGCAAGGAGTGCCGAAGAGATTCGCTCGAGATAGGGGAAGAAAGGAAGGTAAATATGTTCGGGCAAGACTCGTAGCGGCGGGCAGGAGAACTTAAAAGCTGAAGTTGGACATCCAGACTGCCAACGAGCAGTTGTACTGTAAATATCAAAACATGAGAAGGGAATGGTAATGTGAATCAGGTGGAGCATGGAAGGTCAGACAAAGGAAGCACGGGCAGACGGGCGAGGGCACGAGTCCCCGCTTGTGGAGGGCAGAGCAGGGCAGCAAGTACAACCACGTCAAGCCGGACTGACCGTGAACTGGGTCTCGGGCAAGGTCAGGCACCAGCAGCGTCAAGCGGTATAGCCATGGTGGTCATGGCACGACATGGTTGAGGGGGGATGGGAGACGTCTCGATGCAACACCGCATCAGCCGGGCGACGTGGTCGAGGAGGGACGCCGAGGGAGGCAACAGAGAATGACTTGGCGGACGGGTACAGCAACACACACGGCATTCGTGGAGCTGTGCTTGCCTCAGGTGAACCCTTAGGGCTCATGACTGCAAGCCCGCGACCATGAAATGCCGCGGCTTCGCGGCTGTCCTGCTTGGGTCGGCTGCCGCGCGAGTGACGCTGATGAGGACTGACAGCAGAGGCCGGCGTGGGGCACCACCCGCGGCCGGCAGACGGCAGAGCCTAGGGGAAGTGCACAGCCGGAACCTGCGGCCGTGGCGACGGCCATGAGGGGACGGGGTTCCATCTGCCTCCTGTGTCGTGGAAAGACGCCTCACGACCCGCTGGCCGGGCTTTGCTGGACGGGAGCGGCTGCATCATGATACACGCTTGTGCCTTGGAGTCTGGGAGGGCCGCGGGCCGCGGCTGGGTCCGACCACCCGCGGGGGGTTGATACTGGACAAGGAACTGCATGGCCGCGGCCACGAGCACCTGTTCGCGAGGCAATCTGTGCCTGCCTCCAAGCTCGTAATTTTTAGCAGCACAGCCATGCCGCTTCGACGTCTCCTGATGTGTTATTTGGAGGCACGGAGGAGGCTGACCTTGGCGACGGCGCCCAGGGCCCATGGACCCGCCGGGGGACAGCGGTCGGCTGCCTGGCGTGATTGGCGCGCCGCGAGATTGAGCAAGGGCGGGCGTCCAAGCAAACCAAAGCTGGCAAGGCTGGGCAGACGCGGGCAGACTCCCACTGCCACTGACTGCCACTCCCAGTCCCAGTCGGGATGGAGAGCGACGAGGGTCTCAGCCTCTGCAAACGTGTTTCAGCGAGAGATTGCGCTTTTTCATGCGGAGCCGTCGAGGTGAGTATCGGTGTCAGTGTCAGTGTCAGGTCCGCTAGCCCGGAGCGCCTTCCCCGTCTGTCAGTGGCCTGCGGGCCTGCGGGCCTGCCTGCCTTCTGCACCAGCCATGGGGCCGATCCGGCCAAGCAGAAGGCAGGTACGGGAGGGCAGCGGCAGGTACATCGGCAGGTACGATGGATGGCATGGATCCGGCCGGATGTTTTACCAGGAGCAACTGCCAGCGCACCCAGGACGGCAGCAGGCACCATGCGCTCCTTGGGCAGGCACACCTCACCACACACATTGGGCTAGCCCCGAGCCTGTGATTGGGTGCGACGCACGCCCAGGCACGCGCCTCCCGCTCGCCCCAGCGACTAAAGTCAGTCAGCAGTCTGGTAAGCCGGCAGACTAATCATCACTGTCACTGCGCCATCCACGGCTCTGTCAACAACGCTCTCTGGCCGGCAACAACAACAAGAAAAACAACACAGCGCATCGCAGCGCATCCCTGCCAAACAAACCATTTTGTGTGTCGCTCGGCGCTGCACTGTACCATCTACCAATACGAGCAACCCACACTCTAACACCGCCACTGTGACTGGAAGGTGAGTTGGTCAAGATGGTACGCACCTCATCGCCGCGTCTCGATACGCTGCGCGTGTCACGGAAGCCGCAACGGCCAAGAACTGCCAGGAGCTCTCAACGAGCCGCCGCACAGCCGGCGGCCACGAGCAACCGAAACCAAGGTGCGCGCCGGGCTTCGTCCGGGCCTCGTGCTTCCTGGGGTAGGTAGGCATGTACGCTCACGGGGCACGAGGACACTGCTGGCAAGACACCAACACGCAGTTTGTGCGACGCACTGGCGTCATTGTGCACCGGCGCGTGGGGCCGCATCCTCGTGTGTGCCCTGCCTCACCCCGCCAAAGTTGTGATATACGATGCCAAGAACCACCACTGCAACGGCACACAGTCACAATTCGTTGTGCGGAGAGACGACTGCGGAAGGGTGAAAAAGGAAGCATTCTGGCCCCAGCTTCCAGGCCCGACGGCTTGGCAGGGCGGCGCACAGACTGGGCGGCGCAAGGGACTCCCAGACGCTACCTCAGAGTCACACGTCTCGGATCAAGCCTCGGCTTTCTCGACACTCGATATTCCCGGCCTGCTGCCGTTGGCTTCGTCTTCGTATTTTCCATTCGTTTGTGCGCCTCTAGCCTCGTCTTTACTTGCTGTATCACAGCGCCGTGGACGGTGATGACGAAGATGCATCTTTGAACGCCTGCTTGTCACATGAACGACCAAGGCAGTGGCAAGCGCCAACTAGCATGCGACACCTCCCGCCTTGGCGCTCGGCAGTGCGACGCGGTGCCGCAGACACTCCTGGTCTGTGCGAGCCCTGACCTGGCGTTTCACGGATTCCATAGGGCCGGAGGTAACGACACATGGCCTGCGTGAGTAGACAAAGGAGCAGCAAGGCGGCTTCGAAGACAGCCAACACATCCTCCCTCGCGCGGCGAGCCTGGCCTGCTCTCGCGCGAATGGGAAGCAGAGCCACACATGGCACGAGTCTTTGACTTGCGTTGAGCTGTCAACAGCCCCCCCTTCTTCCGCACGACGCCGGATGGCCAGCCAGCGCACGACCACAAATAAAAGAAACCAGCGAAACCCTGCACCTGATCGATCACCATCTTCGTCACGCAAATGCTCAGTGCGTCTGTATAGCAACTTGGGCGTAGGTGGAACCCCTGCCGCCATGTCTCGCATCGGAAGGGCGATGATCTCATTCCACCGTCTCTTGCCGCGCCTGTAGATCTGGCAGGGCGGGTGGCGGTCGGGACTTTGGGGAGATGGCGATGGCCGCCGCATCCCGATCCCGCAATCCCCAACCCGAAATGCCGAGTGATCAGCGGTGGACATCCCGTGCGCAAGCACGGTCAACGATAAGACTAGAAAGGTCACAGTCGCTGGCAACTGACATGCCGAAAAAAGCAACCAGAAAGGTATCCATCGCAAACGTCCGGATGGAAGAGAAATCGGCGTTGGGCCTTGTCACCGCTGCTTCTTTCTCTGTCGCCTTGCTACAGTACAGTATGTGATGTGCGCGTACAACCACAACTGAGACGGAGATTGTGCATCCTTTCGCGTCGGCCGACAGAATGGAAGACAGAGGGAGCCGTGCTCAACGGTCACGCCGCGTAGGTCTCTCCAATCGTTCCGAGACAACAAATGCTCCTCCCTCGTGGGGTTTGGAGGGGGCCGCATGCTGTCCTCCTGCAATGTTACCCTCCACGACCCCCCATCTCGGTGCTGCGGCAAAACACCTTCGTTCTTTGTACGCTTCGGCATCGTGGCCTCCAACGACCATCAGCCTAGCTCGTCACGAGACTATGCTACGAACCGTCGAGCACGTCGGTGAGGCTGCCAAACCCCGTGTCCTCGTAGTTCGCACGACAGCGGTTTGCCCAGCTCTCCAGGCCCTCACCGCGACGAACTTGTGAGCCATCGGCGACGCCGCCAACTCATGTCACCGCATAAGCAGCGTTCCTTGTCCTGCGTGCAGTGAAACACAGCACGTCGTGAAGGCGAAGATAGCTGACCATGTCAACGCCGCGGGTGTGCAACTTGCCGCTTTACACACGGACACAGGCACACAGGCACACAAAAAGCCACGTTAGTCGGCCAATACGCGTCCCGTGCCGTCACACCTTTGACGTGTCAGTCCATCCATGCTCTCCGGAACGTCGGCCGTTGAAGCAAGCACGCGGGGAGCGCTCACAAGTTACCATCTCCGACATGACAGGCCACAGCTGAAGGAAAAAGCAAGCAAAGCGCTCAATTGTCTATATACTGCTCTGCAGTGCAAGGCGTTGAGGGCTGCCGCGTGTCCCTTGCCTGCCGCGGAGCAAGCACGCGTGCACACACCTCCAGCATGCGTCTGTAGACCAACAACCACGCACGTTGCCAAGAATGAAAGAAGCATAGGGTATCAGTCCATAACATGTCATACCCGCCCTCCAACGCCAGCTACTTCCATTCGGTCATCACTCCTAGTTCCAAGGTCGTGCGCTCCATCTCCATGGGCGGTTCACGTCTCGCTCCGCGCCCCCGGTGAGCTCGGTACTCACACCCGGAGCGCGCCGCGCGTACCGTCTTCTCTCCGGTCATCAGGCTGTGCCATTCGACTCGTGCTAGTGCCTCTCATGCGACTCTGCCCGATGGCTAGTGCTTCTTCGTCCTCGGCCCGTTTGTTTGATCAGCTTGACGGTCTTCGAGTCGAGAACTTGGACAATATGCCGGCAGTTCTTGGCCTCTCATGCGATAACAGGCTTGCGCGGTCCGAATGGTGCTCTGATGCCGCCTGGTCTTGCGATACTGTGTTGGGATCGATGAATGCTTGGGGAAAGATGCCCCATTTGCCCTTGGCGTTCGTGCCAGACCAACACCAGTGGTCAGGATGTGACCCTAGCTAATATCAGCACGATGCTCCAAGGCGCGCGAGTCAATGGCTGGGGACTTACAACTGATGTTGGTGATGATTTCGTTCTTGTCGAACTTGAGCCAATCTCCCTTTTCTTTATCCTTGGGCGCAAACTTCCACTTGGCCTTCGCCTTGACGTGGCTTGTTCCCCCCATCTTGATCTCCGAGGATAGCGGCCTGTCGAGCTTGATAACATCCGTTGGAACCGAGGCAAACACGCCGTCATGCCATGCGAATATCCATTCGCCGTTATACTTGGGCGGCCATTTAATGCCACTGATGCGAGCGCCCTGGGCGAGTTCCAACGCTTCTGTGCGGTCGTAGAGAAGTCTCTGCCCGTAGATCCTCCGCGCCTGCTCTTTTGCAACTCCTGTCGGAAGCCCTGTTATCTCTGCAGAATGCTCCTTGGCTGGATGTGGTGCAGGCGGCTGGGGGAAGTGAAGGTCGTAATTATTCCTTAATTGTGGTGGCATGTCGGGTGTTTCCACGACGGTGATGCCGGGAACAACGGGTAGCGGTCGGGGATGACGGGCCAGATGGCTGAAGAGAGCGCGGGTGGTGAAGAAGACGGTAGCATCGCTCTCGTCCAGCGTGCGACCCTCGTGTATGCAGAAGAGACAGGCGTACAAGACGTCGTCGACTCTCTTTGCGGGCAAGTGGCTCTTCTGCAGGAAGCGGAGACGATAAGCAACGTCACACTTGGTGAAGTTGCCCTCCTCTGCGTATTGCTGTTAGTTCATGGACTCTTGTGGAAAAGGAGTTGCAGGTCGAGCTCACCTTGCATGTTCACATCGATCTCGACCTGCGCAAAGTCCAGCTCATAGAGGCAACCGGTGCATCTCGCCACAACCCTCGACAACGTCCGCCTCACAGGTTTCTGCGTCTTCTTGACCCCAACATCGCCTCTGATGACCTCTTTGGCGCCCTCGCAGAACCCTTTATGATGGTAAAATGATGCAGACGCTCCGATGGTGCAGTCATGACCCGGCGCGTGCATGTCTGAACCCCGGGTCGTACTCTGCGTCTCAACAGGAATGAGGCCATTGTCGATCTCTCTGATCGGCGCGACTGGCGAGCTGACCTCAAGATCCGACGGAGCGTTACCGGGAGACAGGGGGCTGCGCGGCTGTTCCACCTGCGTAGCATAGTTTTCGGGAATAGGCGGTACCGGCGGCGGTGCGCTGGTGGCCGGAGCACTGTTCACGACAATGAGCTGCTGTCGAACGGCGCCGGTGGAGCTGCGCGACTCGGCTGACATTCTGCGCGGAATTTGGACTTGTGTCGGCGGAGGCATAGGTGAGTAGCGAACCGGAGGCACTTGTGGCAGGGGCTTGACTGAGTGCTCAACCAGCTCTTCTTCCGGGATGGGCATGGTAATGTTTGATGATCTCGTTCTGGAGGAATGGCCAAAGAAGGAACCGGACGAGTAAGCGCTGCTACTCGAGGACTGCCGCCGGTCGTCGGATTCGTAATCGCTGGCATTGGACCCCGTCCTACGCACGTTACCATGGTCTCGCGCGGGGCTCAAAGGAGATATGGCGGGATCGACGGGCGACTCGGGCCTCAGGAGCATCGGCCGCCTCTCAACGGGGCTGTACTCGGAACGACCGTCGTCAGAAAGCGTCGCGGTGCGGGGATCCCACGGGTTCGACGATGGTGGGTTTGGTGGCTGCTCTGGAGGTGCTGGCGATCGCCTCAGCCCGAGAGCATCCATGGATCCATCGCGGCTGCGCGCAGTCTGGTTGCTCATTAGCCTCTGGAGGTGGTTGTTTGCGTCTTCCACCGTGTTGATATCCGTGACGGAGCCCGTCTGAGAGCTGCTGAACGAGTCTCTATTGGGGGGTGACATGACAACGGGGCGATACATGTCTCGTGGGGTGTTGAGAAGCGAGTTGGGATGCATGGAGTGAGGCGACGAAGGCGGCGACAGCTGCGACATGAATAGGTTTGCAGTGCCTTGTGCTGGGACTTCGAGCTTCATTCGCATGAGGATGTCGTAGACTCTGGGGGCGACCTTGCGGGAAACACCCTGCAGCTCCGTGTACTTGTCGGCATCGAAGTTTTCGGCCTCGACATAGTCGTCAAACTCCCAGAGGAGGTCTGTAAGCTCCGTGCGGTAGTTGCTGAGGGCGTCTATTGGTAGAATTAGTTACCTGCCCTCTACTTTGGTCTCGAAGGGTGCAAGTCGCGTCGACATCTGTTGGTTGGCCCTTACCATTTTCTTTGAGCGCATCGACGAAACCTGATCCGTATTCGTCCAGGTGTTTTTTGCACAAAGGCTCGATGCGCTTCAGAGCCCGTTCGCCCTCCTTGACAAGCGCAAGGGCGGCCTTGAGCATGGGCTGAGAGTCGCCAGCATTGTTGGCAGCAACCCTGCCCTTTTCCACGACATCCTTGAAAGGCGTCAGGACGAGCTCCACGACGTCATCCATCGTCCTCTGAGGCCCCGGCTGGCGGTTATCTTGTCCGCGGACGGCCAAGATCGGGCGGTGACGATGGTTTCGGGAGACGCTGCGAGCGGCTGGCGTAGAAGAAGCAGACATTCATGCCCATGGACGAACGGACGGCGCAAGCAAGCAAGCAGCAGCAAGCCAAGCAACGTGTTGGTTGGCGGCCTGTGGCGTGGCTGGATTGAGGGGCGCAACAATAGGAGACGCCACGAGCACTGTGAATCTGGGGAAGCCGTATATCGGAGAGCGACAATGCGGAGTCGGCCTGCGAGTGAAGAGATGGCGAAGTAAGGAGCGAGGGACAGACAAAGAATCAGACCGGCTTGATCATGGCAGAAAAAGAGCAAGAAAAGGTCAGACGAGCAGGCGCCGGCTCCGACATGGACGACGAGAGAGTGTCAAGTCACACAAAAGGTACCTGAGCTTCACGAGGTACTCAGTACCACCACGTAAACCCTTGTGCAGACTCCACGCCCCATGGCACAGCCTATAGCCTAATGAGCTGCCATCGCCCCGGCCCAGACTTGCATCGGTCAAGGATGCCGCAGGCCTTGCGGCGCGGCGGGACAAGGCAGCATGCGGCATGGCAGCTCGCTCCGCCCTGCGTGACAGCACCGCGGCTGGGCGAGTGAGTGTGAGCCTTTGAGGTGTAAATGGGCGGGACTTCTCGAGGTGGAGTGGCTGCCCCCCGTCACGCTTGGGGCTGATAAGGGTCCACAAAGGCACCCGTTGGGTCGCGGCGGGTGCTGGTGGCTGCTCCAGATGGATCACAGAGGGGGCTCAATGGACCTCTCCGGCCAATGAACACAGACGACGCCGGTTCCGCGATTAGGCCCCCGGTCGCCCACGTTGATCGCAGGAGGAGGATCGATTGGTGGCCGCCACGGGTGAGCTTGCACGACCAGGGTGATTTGCACCAGGAAGAGAGACTAGCAGCCGTCAGAACTCGAGGCCAGAGCCGAAAGCATCCGAAGTGGAATCACGAAGATGCAGGTGCTTGGTCCCGCAGACTTGGCTCCTCGAGGGTACCAAGGTAGTATAGGTACCAGTTTGTATGGTAGCAAAGGTAGCGATGCCGTAACGGTTTCTGTGGTACGGTGCCGCTGTTGGTTTGCTCTCTTCTGTAGAACCAGTTGCAGGCTCTTGCAGTTGTTGTCTCGTGCATGTTGGTACGTAGCCTTCGGGGGTGCCTTCGGCAGTAGATACTAGGCCCGATATGAACTCCCTGAGCGAAGCGGCATGTCTAGCCTGCCAGTGCCGTCTTCAGTCTGGATTGGACGGTCCAATGCAGGCACTGTGTCTCACCTTTATCGTCCAGATAAAACGTCGGGGGCAGCGTTGGTCTCGTCCTGCCGACGACGCAGGCGCATACGAAGACAAGGTAGCAGTCTCTCCGCGCCAAGAGCATTCTTTGGCGCGGCAGTGGTGCAGCGCGACATCGCGCATTCAGCCGTTATGCAAGCAGCGATGGTGGTCGATACGCAACTCCGGCACACCCACCTGGTCTCCGAGTGAGCCAGGCACGAGGACGGGTTACCATGGAACTTACCAGGTATGAGCACGAAGTACTGTACCAGCCTTGCGTGAGACGGAACCCCCCCGCCTGGCACACCTCCCACCCCTGGGACCCCTTCCCCGGGTCGCATCATGGGCTTGCCCCGTCCATGGGTACCCATGGCAATGGTTATGCCTACGACGGGCTGTTGAAGAACTCGGCCAGTCCCTGACTCCACGGCGCCGGATAGAGTCACCGACAGCCCCGGTCGAGCACCCTTCGGTCCAATCGATAGTCGCTGCACTTGCGAAGTCGTGATATTGCCGCAAGTGGATCGTTCGACGCTCCGCATCATCGAGTCGTCAACGCGAAGCCAGTTGGGGTGAGGCCGCTCAAGGCGCCAGCCACGGCACAGTGTGCAAGGCGTTGGAAGCAACCTTCGTTGATTGACGACGGTGAAGTTTACAGCGGGCCGGGAGTCTGTGCATGCCGCCAGGGCTACTGTCAGGGACTCCGCACCGCGTGGCAGCAGCCCCGTGCGCGCCTGCCAATCTGAATGGGGGATGAGGTCACGCCGGCCGGTGGCGGAGACGGAAGGAGGGACCTCAATGAGAACCAGGCGCCCGGTCTGTGCGAAGGCGCCCGCCTCCACGTCCACGCCGTGCACAGACATTTCCAGGTCCCAACTCCACGACGGACCTCGAGAAAGTCGAGGCATGAGACCAGTGATGGCGAACGCCACCCCGAGGATGTGCGACCGCGAGACCAACTCGCCATGCCGCGGTGACCGGCCTCCAACTGCCTTCCTCACCTGCTGTGCGACAGAACCAGGCTCCTCCGAGTCCTATCGAGGGCAAGCGTCTAGTGCCACAGGCTGCGAACTTCAGGGCGCTACGCTGCGGCGCACGGCGGCACACGGCACACGGCGCAGGGGCGGCGCGCACCACCTGATGTGGACGCCCCAGTCTGCATCGTCTCCCCGTCTTCACTGCGCAAACCATGTTGGTTGCGAGTCTGCCATCTCTCGAACCCACTCGTCCATCCACATACGAAGCGACTGCCGTGTACCGTCAGCTGCCATGGCTTGCGCCCGCCGCGAAAGTCCAATCACGATGTTTTTGTCTAACGCCACCTCTGGCAGGTAGACATTCCAGAACATCTACATGGCCTGCTGGCAAGGTACAGTATGTCTGTGAGGCTCGGAAGCCTCACCCTTCAGCCGGACCCCACGTGGTCTTGGTTGTACGCTAGCATCCATTGTCTCCAACGTGCGTCGTACCCCTAGTTCCGATGATCTCGGAACCGACACACCGAATAGGGGAAACTGCCTGCCTGGTCACCGACCGAGTCGGCCTTGTAACCGTGGCGTTCCCATCGAAGCCTGTACGAGGAGCGAGCGCGTCGCTCATGACTATCGCACGTAGGAATCCTAGCCAGCGTTGCAAGCTACGAGCTTGGCCCGATAGGCTGCAGGATTCCATCTATGAAGTACAAACACATCATGTTCCACGACGGAGCGATCCCTGTCTTGACATTGAAACGCAGCCCCTGATGCCTCTGAACCGCCCCCATCGCTTTCCACTAACAGGCACGCCAGGCAAGCCTTTGCCGATTCAGACGCAAAACTACAGTGACGGTGACATTATCCCAATTTACCCACTGTCGACAGCTTCTCCTCTCGACCCCAAAGAACCCTGCCCCTGCAGGACATAAGGTCTCCGCACGCAATCCCCGCGGCCCGATCATCTTAATCCCCGGTCTCCGATGAGAAGTCAACTCAAGCCCTAGGACTTGGTGCCGGATCGCCCTGCTTGCTACCGGTTTCAGACGTACCCTTGACACTTCACGTCAGCAAGTACTCGAACGCCATGCCCACCCCTGCACGGGGCACACGCTCTCCGGAGGCAGCTCACCTGTGCAATCAGCTTGCGGCCGATCAATATTGTTTCTTGCATGCCTCTTTGGCGCTGCCAGAACCTGCACACGAGAATGTCAGCACATGGTCTCCCAAGGGAGCCTAGAGATACGTACATCTCTTCTGCTGTCCCTTGCCCTCGGACGGATGCCTGGCGAGCTTCCTCCTCGAGTGTTGCCCTGGTGATCTTTTCCGTCGTCTCGACCCCTGGAGCAGACGCCTTCTCCGCTGCATCCTCGCCCAGGTTCTCTTGGAGGAGCTTCTTCTTCATTAGGTATCTTTCCTTGCGCTCCCGCTGGAGGCCTGGGCTTTCCACTTTGCCCATGACGTATCGTACGGCTTGCTGCACGGCGAGGTAGAAGTGCTCGGCCAGCAGGATGCTGAGGAGCACGCCCCACGCTGTGAACTGCGACGTCGTTCCTCTGGCTCCGTTGCGCGAGCCGCTGCACAAATACACAATGGCAGAGCTCGTAATGCTGCCGAGCCAGGACAAGAAACCGATGGCAGTGAGCCAGGGGCCGATGGAGTCGGATCGCCACGGGATAGGTCGCTTGCAGCTGATGGCAATCTTCAGCGCATCTGACCGCAATTCAACCCAGTTGTTGACGAGGAAACAGCACGCCGCGAGCGGCCAGGCAACCGAAAAAAGCGAAAGGTAGCCTGTGTCCAGTTAGTATCCCACGTGGACGGACACTCCCTCGACTGTGCCGCTTACCATACTGCATTACCATCTCCCTGTAGTCTCCAGTCACATCGTACGCCTCTAGCTCACACTCATCGCGTACTCGCCTCAGAAAGTCTACCTCTTCCGCCGGATCGTTGGCTGGGGCTTTCTTGCCCTGCAGCTCTTTGGCCTTGGCGGTGGCCTTGTGCGTGACGTAGGGAACGATTACTTCGGTCGCAAAGTTGACAATCTGAGCCGTGACAGTGAAATAGAACATCTGGCTGCTGATTCGCTGCGGGTTGATATGGAATTTTTGCGTCGGGAGCGCCTTGTCGCTAAAGGTGACAACCTGCGCCGTCGCCCGCCAGAACTCGAGGAGCGGCAGTAGGATATCGCCGAATGGAATGTATACAAACGCAGTGAAGAACAGGGCCATATACGATGTCATGAAGTTCAGTACAAACTGCTTCTGAACCAGGGCCGCATGATAGGCTGGGAGGAGTCAGCTTGATGCCCTGTCCAACGCTCTGGGGCGGTCTTACAGTCCGTGGTCTCGTAATTTTCCTTGTCAGTCAGGACGTTGGCTGCGCCCATAAGGACAGCGGAGAAGGTAGGAGTAAAGACGACCAGGAGGACCGTAGGCAAGAAGGCTAGATATTGCTTGAAAGGCCCGTCGTAGACCTCGTTGATGAAGATCTCGAGTGAGTTGCAGATAACAACGAGGCCGCCCAGCACAAACACGCAGGCTAGAGCGAACGGAATCTGGAGCAGCTGCGTCTGCAGGCGCTTGCTGTGCGGATAGACCTTTCTCGGTTCGCCCGTGATGGCGTCTTCCGTCTCGAAATCCCATTTGAACTCGGGGCGGTGCTGCTGAATCGCGGACACGCCGCGCACGCCCCACTGGACTGCGAGGTCGACCTCTTTCTTCTTCCAGTACTCGAGGAACACGACGGACCAGAGGCCAATGCCGAGGGTGTAGACGAAAGAGAACTGCCCCAGGATCAGCCAGCAGGCGAAGCCAAAGGCAGACGGGAAGACGAGCCAGCGGAAGTAGCTCCGCAGGAAGGCAAAGTAGAAGGCGACGTCCTCGCCGAACTTGTCGCGGATCTCGTCAATGTCGGACTGGTCGATGGTGTACTTTCCGCTCCACTTCTGGATCCAGGCCTTGTTGAAGGCCTGGTCGTGGAGGGGAAACACGGCGGCGACGTGCTTGGAGGGGCCCGAGGAGGCGGAGTCGCTGATGCCGGCGCCGCCCTCGTTCTGCGGCCGGGTTATGATCTGGTAGACGATGCGCAGGCGCTCGGCCTCGGTGACGGGCTCGTCACGGAGGGAGCGGGAGACGTCCGACTCGGGCCCGGAGGTGCGCACGCCGCCGAGCCAGTCCTGCAGGCGGGAGCGGTAGACGTGGCGGGCGAGCAGGTCCGGGGAGGCGGCCTTGACGAAGAGGAGGAGGGAGTCGGAGTCGCCGCTGCGGACTTCGGTGGCGAGGCCGACGCGCGTGAGGGACTCGACGACCTGCACGAAGCCGGCCTCGGCTTCGGCGCGTTCTGAGGAGGGAGACTGTGAGTATTTGATAGCGCCACGCGCGGCGGTAGAGGGAGCAGGCACGGTTGTCGAGGGCATACCTTTGGGAGGGACCTTGTAGCAGATTACATAGTCGACGCTGGTACGGACGTCAGTGCCACACGGCTTGATCATCTCGTGCAGTTAAGATTCCGTACCCCAGATTGTCCTGGCCGGCGGTGTCGCCCTTGTGGCCGTACAGGCCCCGCAGGCTTGACATGGTTGAGGCGGCCAGCGGCGGTAGGAGTTTGCGATTGCGAGCTGCAGGGGTAGGACTCGGAGGGGACGGCAGCTACCAAGAAGAGGGGTCGGCTTGTAGGGAAGGATATGGGAGTTGAAAGTGGTGGTGACGAGGATCGCGCAGGTGAAGGAAATGCAAGCAATTGATCAAGCGAGCAAGCAAAGCAAGACGTCATCACCGCCCAGCCCAATGGAAGGGTCGCGCGCGCTGCCGGGAAATCAAGCTTCGGCAAGCTCCAGCTCCAGAGCTAGCTGGCTTCAGCTGGGCATGGGCCGGCATCAGTGGGGTTGGGTTGGGCGGTGGTTGTGGATCCCGATTTCCATGCCAGCTCACAACCCGCTGGGCTGGGGCTCTCCAACGGCGGCAACTGTCTGGAGCTGGGTTGTGAGAACGGTGGGATGGGATGGAATTGATGGCCCAAGCTGTGGCTGGCCAGATCCACCCAATTGAGCGCCGCCGTCGTGACTTGAGCCGTTCGATCCAATTGACCAGCGAGATCCGATGGGCGCGCCCGCGAGAGCAGTTGCGGCAACTGGTCGTCGTCTGGGCTGGCCATTGCCTGTCGGGCACTTGGTCAGCCACTTTGTATTGTCTAGCCAGCGGCGCTCAGGACGCCGACAATGAGAGCATGGGCTCTGCCCGCTCTTGCGTTTCGTCTTAAAACATGCCCGTCGCCGGACTTCTTTGGCAGCACCCTACTCGTGACAACTGCGAAGTAGCTGCATTGGAGGTAAATGTGCGAAGACCAATGCGCGGCAGTCGACAGCTTGACCATCCATCTGTGCCCGCCTGCTAAACCGCCCAGCAGCCACCACCTCAGCGAGCGGTCTCCGGTGTGACAGCTGACAGCGGCAGAGCGGCACCCCTGCCGCGATTACATCACAGCCGTCGCAGGACAACAGCTGCTGTACGGAGCTCTCTCTCCAACCACCAACGGCTTCTGCTGCCAATCCGACAACGGTGCTCTGCGCCCTTCGCAGCACAGGAAACCCCCCTCGTCTGCCACTCTCGAACACACGCCACGGGCTGGGACGAACCCCTCTCGCACCGACTACACGGATCGCGAGCCTCATCAGCCGTCCCGTCCCCGGCGACCGCAGCCGTCGCCGCCGTCGCCGCCGTCGCCGCCGCCTCTCGCCATGGGCGTCCTCACCTGGCTCGGCCTCCGCCGCAGCGAGTGCTTCGACAGCCCGACGCTGCTCGACCACCTGCTCACGTCGCCGCTGGCGTACCTCGTCTCGCGCTTCTACCACCTCGCGCTCTTCCTGCGCGGCACGCCCTTCTACCCGCCGCGCAGCCGCCCGCCCATCCGCGTCGTCTGCATCTCCGACACCCACGACCAGGTCGTCAGCGTCCCCGCGGGCGACATCCTCATCCACGCCGGCGACCTGACCAACGACGGCTCCGCCTCCGCCATCCAGAAACAGCTCGACTGGCTCAAGGCCCAGCCTCACCGCGTCAAGGTCGTCATAGCGGGAAACCACGACAGCTTCTTTGACCCGGAGGCGCGCTCCGACGAGGATGTGCGCGCGGGTGCCGCCCTCAATCTGGACGGCTTGGTGTATCTCCAGGGCGAGCTGACGGTGCAGGAGATCAAGGGCCGGAGCATTTCCATTTTTGGGGCGCCCGACATTATTGAGTGTGGCCCCAAGAACTTTGCGTGAGACACCACCCACCAGCCTGCTTGAAGGCAGGCAGGCAGCGATAGCTGTTCGCCTGGTCTTTGGGAGACGCTGACAGTTGTGCCGTAGATTCCAGTACAAGCCCGAATCCCACCCCTGGCTGAGCAAGGTGCCGCTGCAGACCGACATACTCGTCACCCACGGCCCTCCGGTGAGTCCTCCCATGTCCTTTGAGTTCAATGGCAGCGGTGCCGCCAGATGCTGACACGGCTTGCTCAGAAATACCATCGCGACCTTGACCTCGGCTGCCCGCACCTCCTGCGCGAAGTCTGGCGCGTCCGCCCCCGCCTGCACGTCTTCGGACACATACACTGCGCCTACGGCAAGGAGGCGGCCTATTTCGACGACGTGCAGCTCGCCTACGAGCATTTCCTCGCCCGGCCCCGCCGAGGCCTGCTCGGCGACCTCATCCCCAGCGGGACGTGGGTCGACGCCGCGAAGGTCGTCTTTCACGGCATCCACAGCGTGCTGTGGAAGTGGCTCATGGGCGGGCCGCGGAGCAACCAGGGCAGCCTCATGGTCAATGCGGCGCAGATGTACAAGAACTCGGGCCGCGCGCGGAGCAGAGCCATTGTAGTCGATATTTAACCCTTTACTCGTTTTACCTCTTTCACGACTCACAAGAGTATCGATAGGCACACCCTCGTCTTGTAGTATTAGCGACAACAATAGCGATTATTCCTTTATCAATGCGCCCTGGATGAATGCCTCAATATCTGCATGAAGCAATCGCAGAGGGAGAAACAGTAATGTGATTTGTTTTGATTTTTTATTTCTCTCAAATTGGTGTTTGTCTAGGTGGGTAGGTGTCTATCTCGCCGCGACTCTGCCCCAAGGGCGTGTCATGCTATGGGAAAAGGGGGAACACAGGTGTGTAAAGGGGGTATTCAGTGCGCCAAAACCACCAGACCAGGGAGAGCAAAAGCAGCCTCCCATGAGCAAAACGCCTGTAATAATCGTCCCAGTCATGAATATGCCATTCCCGATGCGCCCTTGCAAAAACTCCTGATCCCTGTGCATTGAAAAGCAAAATTCATTATCGCGTTAACCCTTGATTCATCACCATGATTCATTCAACCATGATCACCGCGTTACAAAAGCAGCGCCAGCGCCAGCGCCATCGTCGCCGCCGCGAAGGCCGTCGTGAAGCCGCGTGACGTGGTCGATGCGCCGGCCGTGACGACGGGCGGGTCGTCGCTCGTGGGCGACGTGCCGTTGCGGGTGGCGTTCCTGCTAGCTGACGGGCGAGCGACAAAGCTGTTGACCACGGGCGTCACCGTCTTGGTCGGCGTGGGGGGCGCGTCGTCGTCGTCGTCGCATCCGCAGCCGGCGTGGACGACCTTGGTGTGCATCGCCCGCAGGGGGTACACGGTGCGCATCGCCGTCGCGGTGACCACGTCGGTGTACGTGACGGTTGGCGAGGCGGGCGCCATTGGGGGCGCCATTGGGGGCGGCGCGTTGCTGTCGACGGCGCCGTAGACGGTCAGCAGGAGGCTGTTGGGGATATCGCGAGGCAGCAGGCGACGGGGCCGCGAGCTGCTGCCGCGCCGCAAGACGCCGGCCGCGGGCTCGGACCCGTTGACATTCTTGCCTGCCGGCGCGCCGCGGACGTTGCCGCCGCAGAACTCGGCCTGGTCACCGGGGCACGTGTGGTCGCACACGCCGCCGCCCTCCTCGGTCGGGCTCACGGCGCGCGTGTCCGCGTCGAGCGCCTCGGCGCAGTAGCACGCGTTCTGGTACACGCCCGCGAGCGTCTTGCCGGCGCAGGCGTTGGTGCACCGTGTCAGCGTCATGGCGGGGCTCTCGTCGGCCTTGACGAACGTCGGGAAGCCCGCGCGCGAGCCGAAGCAGCCCAGGTACGCATAGTTGCCGACCTTGGCGCGGTTGATGTGGCCGGGAGGGAGGAGGCCGCCGCCGCCGCCGGCGATGGACGAGGGCAAGCCGGGGATGGAGATGCCACCCGGTGCGGTCGGCGAGGCGACGACGGGGGTGATGGTGGTAGTCGGCTCGGGGAGCTCGAAGCTCGACTTCTGGTACGTGTCGATGTAGCGCACGTCCCAGTAGGCGTTGGCAAAGGCCCCCGGGTTGTTGGCGACAAACTCGGGGCACGTGGGCGCAAAGTTGTCGCACTGGTCCGACTTGCCCCAGACGGCGTTGCCGTAGTCGCCGCAAAAGTTCTGTTCGCCCCAAGGTCAGTATGCTTATCTTCCCCCTTTTAACTATAGAGGATATCCTGTGTTGACTCACAATGTTGATGACGAGGCTCATCTGCTTGAAGAACTTGTCCACCTGGCAGCTCGAGCCGCCAAACACGGCGTCGGGCAGCCTCCAGCTGCTCGGGCTCGGGCGCTTCCGGCCAACGTCCTCGGGGATCTCGTCGCGGGTAAAGTGCCACACCTTGATGTGCTGGTTGTCCCACTCCATGGCGTACACGCCGCCGCCGGCCGCGTTGAACCCGTCGCCGTACGACGACGAGCTGTTGCCCGAGGGGGTGAAGCCGCAGCCAATGTTCTGGGTGCCCACGGCGCAGTCCGCGTTGCGCTGCGATCCCGAGTACATGCCCTCGATGGATGGGCTCTGCGAGCATCCGTCGGCCGTGTGCGCCGAGATGATGTTCTTGTGCGCCGTGTTGACGCCCTCGATGATGTCCACCTCGCCGCCCGCAGGCCAGTCGGTGCCGTACGTCCAGACTATAAGTGCATTTGTCAGAGATGATGGACCCTTGCTGATTGGCCGCAATGGCGGTTCCCGTTGAGTACTTACAGGCTGGCCAGAGGCCGCATTGTGACGGGGGCATGTGCAGAAAGTCGGCGATGAACAGCCCGTCGTTGAACGACTCCTTGCTCTCGAGGCGGATACTCGGCCGCCCCTGGTCCAGGCCATATGTGCGAGAAGAGTCAACCCCCAACCTCACCACGCCCGTCGTCTCATCAACGGAGAATAGACCGAGCGCCTCGGCGTTGGCCCTGCTCTGGTACGAGACGAAGCCATTGGAGGGGTCCTTGCCGTCGAACCACTTGAAGTTGGACAGCAGGGACTCGCCCACAAAGGAGTTGGACAGGGCGTAAGCCATCTTTGCCAATCAGACAAGCAGCGTCGGGAAGGGACTGGCAAAGAATGGCCCGAAAGTGATTGGGGTAATAGGATTGGTTTGGGAGAAAGCAACGGTCGCTTTGAGGATGTCGAGTAGCACCAACCCTGAAGCCATCGTGACAACCAAAGCCTCTATATAGGCACTCCTGAATAGCTTCAAATTCGAGTGGCAGGTCATGGTGGAATGAGCCCTGGAGGTTGGATTCCCATTAACGCGTGCGATAACGTGGCTCAGTGGCGAACAAGGGCCTTGTCCCAGCACGCGGGACGCTGAGCATTCCAGTCCCGGGCTGTCTCCCTGGCCTCGAGCGGGCTCCGCCCAACGACACAAGGGGCCCATTGTGGCATTGTCATCCGAGACACGCGGCTTTGTCCTTCCAGAATTGCATTCCAGAAGGCCGACCAGCCGCGAAGACGACTGTCGGCGGGGAATGCCGGGGCAATGCCGGCCACGCGCCACGTTGAAGCTTGCCCGCTCCAACCCAACCATCCAAGACAAGACCAAGTGAGACTCTTCATTCCACGCCGAGCAACGTATTAAGGTCTTCCATTCGTCAGAATCTTCCGTCTGCATGCCTTGGGGCGGTTGACGCTAAGGCCGCCAGTGCCGTCTAAAGGGGGTATTCGCTCTCAACGCCAAAATATGCATCTCGACCCTTTTCTTTCTGTCGCCCGATGACGTTGCCCATTTCCTTGTCGCTTCTAGACTCCCAGGTATCGCCTAGATCATGATGCGCCTCAGCCCGTCTGTCCCACCCAGAACGCGCCTCCCTGTAACGGCGCACCGCCCCTGTCCGCTCTCCCACTTTCCTGCGCGGTCCTCCATAAACTTTTCCTGCCTCTCGTGGGTCCCTTCGAGCCACCGGTGAATGCACGTGTAACAGTATACAACGCCTGTCTGGCAGGCAGTCGGCGTAACGATTTCGTCCTGGCAGATGGGACAAGCCGAGGAATCTTGGGGCGGCCGCACCACGTAGATGGGAAGCATCGATGGTGTCGCAATTGGTGCCTCTTCAGCCGAAATTTCGCCATCATCGTCGCCGCTGGCATCCTCTGCGTCCTTGTCCTCCATCTTGGTCGTCTTCTTGAGCGCGGACTTGCGCCCCAGCCCAGATATGACAGGAGGCGGCAGGTCGATGTGTTCTGTAGCCTTTCGCGACAGCTGCTTCGCAAAATCGGACTGATACCACCACTCCAAGAACTTGAGGGCAAAGATGCTCATCGGGAGAAGCAGTGACAGACTCGACAGGGCCTTGGATCCAAGCACGCTGGGTGAAAAGAAGGACCGGATACCAGGCTTGGCAGCAGCTGATTTGGGCTTCTCGGTAAGCGCCTCGATCGCCTGGTAGTCGGCCGCAGTCATTCTCCGTAACCTCGTGCCAATGAGCCACATGAGCGGGTTGTGATATTTGGTGCGGTCGAAGAGGTAGGCCAGATTAAAGGCCAGGATGGCAAAGTAGTAAGCCGCGTTTACGCTCGGGTATATGTTGCGGAGGAACCACCGGTAGTAGTGGACGAAGCGATCGCGTAGCGTCGGATTGTCGGGCATGCGAGTGTACGCAGCGCCCAGCAGGGCTCGGGGCGCATTCACCTCGTAGCTCTCGTCGAGCTTGCACTTGAGGTAGGGGATGCCGACCATGACGGCCAGGTTCTTCCACACATCGGCGGTCGAGAGCTTGAGGGTGTCGCGCACGAGATGCGGCGCGGCGATGCTGGCCCTGGGGATCTCGCCCTTGAGGGCCTTTTCGCGCTTGAGCCCGTAGAAGTTCTCTGTGAAGGACCCGCCGCGAGTGCGCAGGTAGTGGCGCTCGACGACGAGCATGGAGAGCGCGTACAGCTCCTCGTAGGAGTTGAGGATGCGCAGCAGGTAGCGCGGGTGCCGCTGGGTCGCGACGGTGAGCAGGTATCGCAGAGTCGGGCCGAGGAGGCTGTTGAGCTGCTGCTCGGACAGGACCTCGAAGAGCGACGGCTTGCTGTCGTCAAAGGTGCCCCGAAGGGCGGTGACGAACTCCATGGTTCGTGGGGTGCTAGGAGACGCTGCGCGGTTGTGGCGAGTGTGGCGGACGAAGCATCGGAGGAGGTAGTTCGGGCTGTATCGAGAGCAGGAGGAGGCGTGATGGGCGATGGTGCTGCAGGATGGAGGGTTCGAGCCGGTGGGCAAGGGATTCGGATGGCAGAGGTGGGTCCGGTGACGGAGTCGGGCGATGAGCGCAGCCGCGGTCGACAAGGCGCCTTCCTCGTCGATTGGTCACCCCACATGCAGTGCCTCGGCAATGGAACCTTTCGCCCAATGTTCGCGGGCCCTCTCATTGGCGCCTCCACGAAACCCCGCGACACGCCCTGGACACGGCGGCTTCAGCGTCGAGCCGGCGGGCCGGGACCACCCTGTAGCTCCCCACACTGCGGGTTCGCTCACCGTGCTTCTTCAACCGGTCATTGCCCGACTCAATTCATCGCCGAAGCGTTGCTTGCGACTCTGAGCACCATCATTCCTTCTCTGTCATTCGCGCTCACACGGCCTCTTTTGCCGGTGGTCTTGTAATCGCAATTTGTGATTAACCCTTACGTCGAAACCGTCGGGCACATCATCTCCGCCATCCTCCGCAAAACCAGTGGTGTACTCGCGTAGCCCTTACAAACCAGACGACATCACCACCATGTCCAGCAGTCAAAAGCCCAACGGCGGCGTCTCAGACGCAGACCTCGACACCCCGGAGGGCAAGATCCGCGCCTGGCTCACCCTCGACCGTCGCGAGGACGGACACCTCAAGGCCGGGGTAAGTTCCGTCCCTTCTCAGTTCTGATCGCGGCATCTCATCCTCATTCATGAACATTCAGGTTGACCAACCACCACAGGACTGGATGGCCGCCCTGGTTCCGTACCTCGATGTCCACGCCACATCGACCGCCCAGCCGCACCCTTCCGTCACATTCACCTACACGGTCCAGCCGGACCACTGCAACCGCCTCCTGAGTCTCCATGGCGGCGCCGCTGCCACCCTCTTCGACTTCTGCACCACCATGCCCCTGTCCCTTGTCAACCGCCCGGGCTTCTGGCAGTACCTCGGTGTCACCCGCAACCTCAACGTCACCTATATGCGGCCTGCCCGGGCCGGTGACGAGGTCCTCATCGAGACGCACATTGTTCAGGTCGGCAAGAAGCTCGCCACCCTGCGCGGCGAGATGAGGCGCAAGAAGGACGGCCAGCTGCTGTGCATCTGCGAGCACCTCAAGGTCAACATTGATCCCGATGTCAACTTGTAACGTGGGTCAGCCTGGACGGAGGTATGTATACATGGCTTAGAAATGTGGACGGAAACATAGACGTTGGGGTGGCTTGATAGTCTTTCTGTGACTATACACTTGAGATTCATCACCCCTGCAACAAAGCATTTAGACTCAATCAGAACCGTGGTAAACCACCGCCATACAATGGCATCCTCCCATCACGTTTGCTCCGCCTGCTGCATAATGTCTGCCACGTCTAGCTGCGCGTCCATGAGCAGTCCTGCCAGCTCGTTAGATATCGGCTCTGCGTCCGACAGATCGTCCATATCCTCGTCATCCTCGTCATCCTCGTAGTCCATTTCCGCTTCCGGGTCTGAGTCGTCGAGGTACGCCACGGTGCTGTATGTTAGCAAAAAGTCGTTGGTGAGCAGATCGTGCACCGTATTCGCCGTGCCCTCGGAGTCGCTGGCCTTCCAAAAGGCCGTCGGCCCAGCGGGCCCATGCGGATCGTAGTCCTTGTCGAACCAGTTGCCGATCACGCCTCGCGCCGAACGGATGCCCCCGACTTGCACACCTTCGCTCCTCCAGCGCTCCTCGCCGTGGAAGATGGAAATGGTCGTCCAGCGGACTTCACCTTCTTTTGTGAGCCGCACCTTGCCTTTTGAGGTGAATGCTTCAGCATCAGCTCAGCGTCAGACCCTTGCAGCGGCGGTCAATATAGTGCTTACCTCGGAGATCTGAATTCGCGTTGTCATCCCAGGAGTCGTCTAGGGACCGAGATACGCCGACAAAGTTGACGACCGGCATGTCCTGGTTATCTTCAGGACCAGGGGCCTCAATGCTAGTTATGTGCGTCCTCATAATAATGAGCCGTGTCTCCTCCCCCACGTTCAGAGGCGGCCTTGGGGCCCCATCCCAGGCGTTTTCGCGAACCGGGAAGTTAAAGTTGAAGAAGTCATTGTAGTCGAGGAAGCAGACAATCTAGATCTGTTAGTATCAGCACAAGACGCCGACAAATGAGCTGCTTACCCGATACCAGGTACCAGTCACGCCATATGGGTCTTCGGCATCGAGCGGCTGAAGGTCCGCCTTTGGTGATGGCATATAGCTTTTGGGCCAGGAGCCAGAGAATGGACTGTCCCACGTGTCGCTAAACAGCTTGGTCACTCGCCGGGCTGATATGTTGTAGCCCAGGACAACCATGATCGCCTCGACCTTTTCCCAGTCCACGCGGGTGCTCGTGTCTTCCATAAATGGACCCCACTTTGTCAGCGGTGTGTACTCTCGCAGGTCATACACCTTGGACACAGCGAAGGGGTAGGTGCGAGTCGACCTGAGCCTGCCCACGTTGAGGATAGGCTTGCCGTAAAGGCAGTGTAGCTTGGCGCTCTGCTGCCGCTCCGCAGCCTGAGACGTCTCACCACATGGCTCGGGTCCGGCGTCCCTGTGAGCGTTCCGCACACGCGCGAAGAGGGATGACCGCTGTAGGAAAGCCTCTTGGTTGCGCCGGTCCTCGAACAGCTCGGCCACGAACTCGGCGTTTCGCGAGGCGCAGTGGGTGTACGAGTTCTCCACAGTGTGTCCCTGCGAAGAGGCGTTCTTCAACAGCCGGTCCACAGCAGACGAAACGAACCCAAGGTGATGAGCCTGCTTGCCGCGTTAACATTTTATCATGGCATGGGGCTGGAGCATGTCGCGTGAACCCCTCACCTTATCCCGAGAATCACCTCGCCGACATACAGCGGCAAGCTTCACCAAGTCCTGCAACTCGTTTTCCCATTCGAGGTCTGCCTTGGGTGGCGTATCCTGGCCCAGGTCAGCAATCGTCAACGGGGACGCGCCGAGGCGAGAAAGTAACCTACAAAGTTGCGAGTGTATACGGCACGATGCAGGCTCCAGTTGCCCTTGATGTACGCGTAGAACAGGCGCGACACACGACGGAGCAGTACCAGTTCCTCGGGACTGAGCCACTCCAGGATGTGATGGAGGATCTCGGGCGGCAAGGAGGCGAGATGCGACATCTTGGTTGTTGTGGCCAGCAATACTAGCTTTATGAACCCAAGACGACGACGAGAGCAGTCAAGTGCCCAGCCCGCCACGGACCGCTCGAGTTGGGGAGTTGAGAGACGACGACGGCCACGATGAGGAAGTTGATGAGCGCTAAGGGATAAATAAGGTTGCAAGTGTGATCGCTGTGGACGGTGTGTCGTCGCTCGGAGTTAAGACGACATGATGGAATGACGGGGGCTGACTGGCGGGACGTGGGAGTGGGCGCCGGTCGCGCCGGCATCCGTGGACCTTCGCTGGGGCCGGCAGCGTCAGCACCTCAGCGCCTGCGGTGGGCGCTCACCCCGCCATCCCGTCACCGCGGCGGGCAAGGCGCGGGTCCAATCCAGCGTGAACCTGAAAGTCACCTAAGCCCAAGTCACCTCACCTCACCGATCGTTGGCGGGGTCGTTCCACTGCGTGCGGCCTGCGCCTGCGGCTAACAGTGGGCCACTTTAGCAACCTTGCCTTGGAGTACCGCTAACGACTCGCTTATACAAGTACGTTAACGTGGTGATGGGCGCGTCTACAGAAAATTATGAGCAGGTTCGCCGCTCAACGACAGACGCTCACTTCCAAGGTTGGCGGCGTCGCCTTATCACTCTGCCATCTCGAGCCCCAGCCCAAGACCATAGGCGCCTCAGTCCTAGCATACACCGTCTTGTGCGTCAAGTATTCAGCTATTTCATACACGTTGCCATTTGTACACCGAGCCACCCCATCTCCATCATAGATCGTCGATCCCCTTGTACGAAGTACCTCTCTTTCGAGCAGAATTTCGTGCAACGCACTACACCTGGGTATACATCCAAAACATGCTCCGCATGCCTCATCCCCTGCAGCCAAGCCTTTCCTTGCTGCAAAGCTACTCGTAAAAAGCCACGGCGCGCTTCAGCAACTCATACAGTTGCCCCGGCGTTGAGCATAATGCAGTTCCGTAGAAGATTTGCCGCTTCGTGCAGGAGATCCCATCGAGTATTCTCAAACGACTCCTTCAGCACCATAAGGAGCGCTGTGTTGTTGTTCACGCCCCTCATCAAATGCAATTCGCTGGGGTCCGCAATCCCTCCAAACTCGACGAGGTAGGCCTGCATTTGCCGCTGGATCTCCTCTGCAGAGGCGCCCACGACTGCATCGACGCAGGGACCCTCGAGTGCGAAGCCGTAGCACCAGACGACGAGCACTGCAAAATACAACACCCACGGGCGGTTCATCAACACATCGTACCGCGCCTCATAGTGCTTTTGCAAATTGTGGCCGGGGACAGTTGGCCCACCGTCAGCGCCGGGCAGCAACACCGAGCTCAGGAACTTCAGCGCGTAGAAGGTTGCATCTCGGGCCCGTGCCGTGCGCGCCCACAGCTCCTGGATTCTGCGCCGAGCTCCGTTGAGCTCCTGCGGCCCGATAGTCCTCCCAAGCAGTCGCTTCGCACGGGCAAATATCTGGCAATCCACGATATCTGCGTGCATGGCCATGTGCGCGAGATGGTGCAGTACCGTCCGGCTCGCAAAGACAATGTTGAATTCATGCTTCGCCGCGTCATGCCGATATGGGTCGCTTGACGGTTCGCTGCGTTCCAGGGCATCATCGAAATCCGTCTTCCACGAGTCGTATGCTCTCGTCAATGTTGCTCTCCACTTGTCGCGACCGCCGAGGGCATGCGTTACTCCTCCCCCCAGGATGTTGACCTGAAGGTCCCTCTGGTGCATGTGGTACGTGACGCTGAGAAGTCCTGCCATGAGGACTGTCCGCCCAAACGACGTCGTTCGCACCTCCTGGTGACTGAGCGTACGCTTCAGGCCCTCAAGAAACGACACAGGCTTTATACCCTGCGAGATGAGGTTGGCCTCGATCCTGGCTACCTCGGCGCTGCTCGTTGCTCGCCAAAGCGACTCGTCGCAAGGTAGTGCCAATCGCATTTCATGTGCAGCCATCACCCCGGAGTGGCCAAACATGGTCGCGTGGGTCGTGTCCACAATGAAGGCCGCGAACGCAGCACGCCGCGTAGCCTCACTCGTGATCCAATGATTCCACCATTCGTCCGGCGTCTGTGTCCATGTCCCTCCTGCATGCGAACCATTCTGGCCCTCACGGGCATTGGGCGGAGAATCTAGAGACGATTTACCAATGAGCGACCGGCCGCGCCGCATCAAAGTGATCGTCGTGGCGTGGTGAATGTGGGCCCGTTCGTGGAGTTCTCGCGTAGAGTACATCTTCTCATATACTTCCAGAAGAATGAGGGCTTGGAAGACCCAGAGCTTTGCCGGCGGACGAAAATTCCAGTCCATGAAGATCTCCCATCGAAGGTGGCGTGCCAGGAAGTTGGAGATTACCGCACCAGCCTTCATCACCCGTTGCCCGTGTGTCCTATCCAAGCAAGCGGCTCCGATTGTCATCATAGCGAGCAGCAACAGATTTGGTGTGTTGTCGGCACTAAATGTCGGCTTGTGCAGGATAGGCATCTGGTCGCTGAAATGGTACCAGTACGACCGTATGTACGCTTGCATCATTCTCCTGCTCAACATGTGGGTACCGTCGGAACGATCCCCGGCAATAATGCTTTCTCTTTGGCGTTCCAGGGGCGGCAAATCGTTCTCGTGAAATCTGTCCCGAATGAGATCAAAAATCTCCTCGCTCTTTTGTTCGGAGATGCTTGCTTCGGGAGTATCTTGATCGAGTAAATTGTTCACCGCCATGACTTGCTGTGTGCCGGAGGGAAAATACCCCATCGTTGATCCATCGCTCCCCATGAAAGCCGTAGAGTATTGACTGCCCTGAAGATCGCCATAGCTGATACTGTGTTAGCAAGCTCTGTAACGCAGCAACGTTTTGATAGAAAATTGCCTACTTGGAGCTCCCAGCAGCCAACACTTGGCTGGTAGGCGAACCGGTGCTAGGGAGAGAGTTGAACAAATAGGCCATGAAGTCCTCGGGCATGCCCACATAAGGCGACTTGTTGAGCTCTCCGTCCGCCCCAAACACTGGCCCTGCACCCGGCATTGCCATCTGGTCCAGAACCACCATCTCCGTAGACTGACGATGTGTCTGTTGGATGAAGTCGGCGGACGAAGATACACTGTATGACTGACCAGCCGAACTCTGGGCAGATCGCCTGTGAGAACTAGGGAATTGAGCCGGTGGCAGGTGCATGGGAACAACATTTTGCTGTGGGACGAATGCATCAGCAGACTGGGAGATTACGGCCGGCTGCTGGTAGCTGGACTGGTTGGCAGATTGCTGCTGAAAAGCACCGTGGCTGCCCGACGAAGGTTGTACAGAACGACCTGCCGCCGATGGATGATGTAGCCGAATGTGCGATTCGCGGGGCTCGTATGTCAAGTCAGGGCGGTGCCCTTCCGTTGCTTTGACAGGAGGCGTGCCGTTCAGCTGTGCGGTAGGGGGGGTGTTGCTAATGGGAGTGTAAGGGGTGCCTGAATGACCAAGGGGGGACTGATATTGATGTCCAGGCGGTTGATTCGTGATCTCGTAGGTATGGTCGGAGCGATTGGCCTCGTCCATCATCGAGTCCGGTGTAGGCTGTGGAATGCTGCCACCTAATGACTCTTGTCGCCCGAGCTGTGGCCCTTTTGCCGCGTGCCGGTCCATATGCCGCTTGAGGAGATCCCCCCGGACAAAGGTGCGGGGGCAGTTTGGATACTCGCAGCGGAATATTTGCTTCGAGTTGTGGTTAAGCTGGTGGCGGTACCTAGAACCTTGCGTTAGTAAAGTCCGTCGCAGCATCAGAGTGCCAAAATTTGAATGTTGAGCATACAAATGCTCCGCCCTGGAGTAGCTTTTCCCGCATCCCTCCGCACTGCACTCGAAACGCTTTCCGAGGCCCTTGCGACTTCGACGCCTCTTCTTAGCAGGCTCGTCAGAGTTCGATGAGGCATCGTTTGTGTCCTCAGGCTCTTGCTCCTGCATCATGCCATGGTCCATTGGCATGTTGCCGTCCTCTTCTCCATAGCCATGAGGTGCAGCACCAAAATGGCTCGGATTTGACTCCATGAGGTGATATCGCGCGTGATTGGCAGGTCCGGCTACCACGGCAGAGTTTGGCGGTGATCCTGCGTTACTCTGATGAGATTGGTGAGATTGCCCCGTGGAAGACATCTCTCTGTCTGGGCAACAAGCGGTCGCTCCACCTCCCACGGCTCTCAGGCCCGTGAAGTCCAGCGGGATGAATCCCAGCGAATGACCTACGGGGTTCCGGTAAAGAACCAAGTCCAACGATAGAGGGCCCGCCCGCAGAGACCTTTCAGAGGCCTTGTTTTAGCAGCCCTGCTATGGTGAGGCGCAGCTACGGTGAGCTGTGTGGAATTGCGGCCGGAGCACCGCGCCGTGATGGCTGGACCTCCGGCACTTGTGGATGGCGGCCGTCGCCTTCAACAAGTCGCTTGCGACTATCCGTGACCTCTGCCGCGGAACATACTGTAGCAAATTCGGATGAAAGGCGGGCTGGCGTATGCTAGGATGAGCATTGGTTTCGCGCCAGCGACATGCGGTCAACGCACTTGGCGCAAGAGCGCTTGAGATCTCGCTGGGCGACGGTTAGCAAGCCAGATTTCATAAGCTTTTGGTAGGCTGATATGTTGCGACAGGATCACTTGATGTCAAACATTGAAGACTCTGAATACTAGGGCAGTGTCTACCCCGAAAGGTGTCAAGTATGGGATAACGGCCAAGATGTCGAAGTGCTGCGACATGAGTGTGAGCAACATTGGTTTGATGGGCGGACGAAGGCAAAGGCAGTGCTCGCCCTGCACAAAAACAGAGCCGGCATCCAATGATTTGATCTCTGATGCAGTTGGGTGGCTCCCGATCGTGAACGCTGCTGGGCATGAGGCTGTTGCAGCGGCCTTCCCCCACAACTGAGGAATAGGCCGCCTAACTGAGCCGGCGACCCGGACGTGCTTGACGAACTGCGGGGAGAGTTTTGAGGATTATGAATAGTGTCGGTGGGGTGATTGTTGGGTCCAGAGGATACAAGTGGCGGCGAGGACGGCGCACGGTGATGCCTCTCTGCCTGGTAGAGCCCCAGGCATTCGTCTCGCTGTCTGACAGCATCCATTGGTGTCGACCCGATGGAATGGTTGACCAAAGAAGCGTGATCCAAGTTATTCGGGCTTGACTTGGTGACACAGGCGGGTCGTGACGGATGAGACAGGGTCAAGGCAGCGCCTCTTTGTGTGGACGGTTGGACGGAGCGAAACGGGGACATGGAGGGGGTCGAAGTGAGAATGGGATGTTGAGACCGACTGCCAACATAGGAAAGAGGACGGGCCTACCGTGGACTTGCGCCTTTGGAGCGACTGCAGCACGCGCGCCCAAGAGGCAACGCAACGACGCTCGTGATGATCAGCGTCGAGGAAGGTGCAACGCGACGGCGGAGGCTTGACGGCGGGAGCGACAGGCAGACAATGCTTCGACTAGATTACTCCGAGCAAAGAGCTAACAACCATGTAGCGGGCGTGCCGGCTTCAGCAGTCAGCAATGAATGGGCCGCCGAGCGACGTTGTTTGGTTATGCGCACGGCCTGCAGGGACTCGGGGTATCCATGGATGCGTCGCGGGTGGTGAATCGCGACTCGTGAGCAGCAGAACGGGCCGGGAGCTGGCAACGACATTTGATGGAGCCTTCCTTCAGGGCCCCGGACGCCAGGGCTAAGCTTCCTAGGGTAGAGACGGGAGGGACGGCGGCCTGGGCGGGCTGGCCGCTGTCCGGTGACCTGTGACTTTGCAATGGAGCTTCCCTGTCGTCATTCAGAGCTCCACCTGAAGACCCCGCCCGGCCCGTCAGGAGCGAATGGCGTCGGGCGCAGAACCGGGTTGCAGGGTGTGGGAAGGGGCCCCCAATGCGCTCCTGCTCTATTGTGAGATGGCCAGCAGCCCGGTCAGCATCCCACGAGTACAGGAGCCCGGCCGGTCAGCACCCACACCCGACGCAGGCGTCCCTCTAGGCGCAGGCGCAGGCGCAGGTGCAGGAGGTGCAGGCGCAGGCGGCAGCCGGCTCGTCGCGGGCGCCCAGACGGAGATGGACAGGGCGGCGCCCGGCAGACCAATCGAGGCGGCAACCACTGAGCCGGGTCGAACTGCCGCGTGCGCTCTGCCTCAGCCCTCCTGACGCGGCTCGGTTTGCTGCTCACCTTCCTGGGCCAGTGCCAACGCTGACGTTGAACCACCCTGGGTGGCCAGCAGGGCCGCCCGCCATGAGGTGAGGCTGAGTTGGCCCGAGTTGCGACATTTCCAGCCCCCCCACGAATCACTCTCGACATACCGTTCGAGCAATGCGTCACTGCACGGCCTCTGGATGTTGCCGGCGCCCGCCGGCGCGTCACGAGCCCTGAGCTCCTGACGCTCTCCGGGCCATGGCCGCCCCCCAACCGGCATGAAACCCGTGGATCCGGGTTGAGAAGCATTTGGAGGACATGTAACGTGTGCCGCGATGTGGCTCCGAGGGCCCGTCGAACCGTGTCGAGTCGTCGACTTGGGTCGCGTTTGCGGGTTCCACCAGAGGCGGCCGCCTGACGGCTTCTTTTAAAGCATGTTCTCTCCGCTGCAACGACAACATCAAAACGCCTCGAGGTGAGACACGGCCGCATTGCTTATTGCCAGCTAAATATCCGATAGCATTAAACAAGCGAATAAGCGTCGTAATTAGCTACACGCGCGTCGCGTTACATCCGCACCGAAACTCTCCGCAGCCGCCCCCACCATCGTCAAGAATCAGAACACGGTGCCCTTAGTCTGCTTCCTGTCGATAGGGAGGTTCCGCCAAACGAGCACGCACGCGACAATGAAGGGCAGGATGGCGCAACCGGCGATGACCATCCGCCGCTGGACCGTGCCATACGCCGCGACAACAGCGTCACGGATAGGCGTGCCCAGAGGATCGTGGAGCTGCAGGCGCATGTCGCCAAAGAGCGCCGCACTCTGATTCTTGGCATTGTCAGGGAGCTCCCTGTAGATCTCCACGGGCAGATCGTTGTTCCATATGGCTCCTGAGATGCCCAGGCCAATGGATCGGCCGATGGACGAAAACATGCCGTGCAACGCAAGAACCACGGCAATGTCCTGGTGCCCAACAGAAGCCATCAGCGCGAGAGGACCCGTCATGGCCCAGAGGCCTCCGGAAATTCCATGAAAGACCTGGCACATGACGAGGTAGCCAATATCCTCGCCAGGCTGGCGGAAATGGTACAGCAAGGCAGTGCCCAGAACACAAAACGGAATGCCGGAGACGGCCACCCAGTAGTACCGACCATACCACCGAAGAAAGCTGCGCCACTATTAGCATCTTGCCCGCTGTCGACAGTCGAGTGATGGTTGCACTTACAGCCCGATGAACGGAGCGAGGAATGTCGAGGTCAGCGAGTAGGCGTTGAGGGTATAGCCGGAAACGGTGATGCTCAAGCCGTGAACGACCTGCAGGTACGAATTGTAGTACGTGTCCCAGCAGCTGTTGGCGAAGTCAGAAAATGGAAAGACTCAGAAGGCATCCGGTCGCAACTTACAAGACCGACATAAAGAGAAATCCATCGAGCAGACATGCGCCCAGGATGGTCCGGTTCTTGAGGTACTCAAATGGCAGATACGGCACCTTGGCGAACCACTTCTCCCACACGCCAAAGGCGGCAAGGCACAATACTCCAATGACAAGCATGGCTATGATATAGCCAGTGGCCCAGCCGTTGGGTGCTCGCTTGGCGATGCTCATGGGCAGCAGGATCAGGGAGAAGCCTGCGATAGTGAGGAGCATGCCGACCACTAAATCAAGTCAGTACGGTCTTTGGTCAACAAACCCAGGGGATAAGCGCACCATCAAACTCGACAACGTAGTATTTCACAGACTCCCATGCGGTGCGCTTCGGCTTCTCCGCGAGCACCTGCAACTTCTTGGCCTTGGCCTCATAGTAGAGAAGGATGGCGACGACAGGGACAGCACACGCCGTGATGATGATGATGAAAGCGCCGAAGGCCCATCGGAAGGTCGACTTCTTATAGAAGAGCTCGGCAATGGGGGGACCGCCAAACGTCCCAGCAATACGAGGGCTCATATACAGACCCCACATGAACATTCGGTTGCGGAGGGTGGTCATGTCGGACAGGATAACCTCGATGATGTATCCGAGTCCAATGTGACCGACCCAGTAGAATGTCTGACCAGCAGTGTATGTCTCGACATTCTTGCAGAGCGCCTTCATAAGGATGCCGACGATGATCAGGACTATCATGAAGATGAAGCCTTCGCATCGACCGCGGATGTCGATGACCTTGGCGATGGCTAGCTTGCTGGAGCCGCCAACGATGGACGAGATGACGCTGACCACGGACAGGAGGCCATGCTGGCCAAATGACGAGGTGATGTATGGCTCTAAGCCGCCTGTTACGGCTTGGAAGAGCGTGTCGACGAAACTGACGAGATACAGCCTGCCAGGGAACTCGTCTTAGTACGGCTTAGAACCCACGTGCCTGGCTTCGCTGAAGACTTACAATCCAAAAACGGTCCAGAGGGCCTTCTTGTCCCAGACCTGGGTCACGGCCTCGACCTGCTTGACACCGTCCTGCTTGAACTGGGAACTGTCGTCCGAGTCGTCCTCCTTGCTGTGGGCGGCAAATTGTGCGAGGTCTTTTTCATGCGGGCTGGTCGTCTTCTCAATGTCAGCGGGAGGCGCCTCGCGTGGCTCTCCCACGATGCTGTTGACGTTCGCCATGGCCACCTAGTCCAATGTAGTGATAGTACCAGCGGATGCGGACACCACGAGAGGAAGGGATCTACGCAGGATTGAAAGACAAGAGGATGAACAGGAAGGGGTGTCTGAGCGTCAGGACGGCCAAAAAAAGTCCTTTATACGGAGTGCCGCAGCAGAGGAGGCGCGCGGGAGAGCAGCATCGCATCCGCTCCGGCGTGTGGATCCATGGAGCAGCATGTGGTCGACTTTGGTACCCCAACATGAATGGGTTCGAGCCAGTGCCACCGGACCGACAACGGGCTGCCAAGCTGGGCGATTCCCGGCGCATCACCGCCGCGGCAGCGGTGCCTCGCACAGGGCTAGCTCTTTCTCGTGATCAAATGATCTGATAATCGGGTCAAGGCAGCTCCACTGGACGAACTCTGCAAAGTCTCGCAGCCAACGTGCATCGGCCGAGGGATCCATGACGGCCAAGGATGCGGTGATTGGCATGGTCGGCTCTGCAACGCGACCATTCCTGCAGGGTTCCCGCGTATGGTCTGCATGTTCGCGTGTACTAAAGACTCAACGAGTGGTAGACGCTCGCCACGGGCCAAGGGTTTTGCTCTGCCAAGAGTCCTTAGCACCGGGTCTGGCTCCTTCGTCTCTTTTTTCTCTCTTCCGCGATGCCCCCTCCGCACCAGGGGCTGGGACTTTGCTTGGTGGTCTCGGAGTACGACGGAGCACGAGTATCCTGCAGACCATGTGGCGAGGCAACGTCGGACAGGGTCTCGTTCTTGTTGCCGGGTGCCTGTACCGAGCCGGATGGTCCATCGCTTCCATCCTGTTCTAAATCTGATCGCCAGTACTACATATATAATGCCAAGGCGAAGCCGCATTCCGGCGTCCGGACGACGTTGCCTCGTGGTCGGCAGGGCACCAGCCTTCAAAGCAAGCCTCACGGCGCCACGAAGCAAAGCCGTGCGCCAGGGCGGGCGGCCAGCTCCGGCAGTGTCCGGGACAGATGCGCCCCCATCCAAGCCCCGCGAGGGGCGCATCCGACGGTGGGAAAGGTTTGGCGGTTGTGCTTCGTAAAATTCTGCGCTAAGACCCCGATACCCTGGCGGCGGCCCAGGGACGGTACCCGGAGAGGGCTGCGCATGTGAATGCCAACTCCGATGTACTCTCCGAACTGCCGTCGCTCTCACTTGGTTGTAACGCTTGAGAGTGGGCAATGCGCAATGCCCGCCTTCGGCACTGGGCCATGGCAGACAGCGGCATAACGCGTGATGAGGGATGCCGAAGCCGGCGGTGCGGGTTTGGGTCTTGCACAGGACCTGTGAAGGAAGCAAGTACCCGTCTCCGCCGTCCGTCAATCATCAGCGATGATCAGATTAGATTAGATGGGGCACGGCGTGGCGCGGTTGTGGCTTTTAGGGGTGTTTTTAAGCATGCTTGGCCCACACGGGGCCAATCGCAACGGTCGCCACCTCAACGTCGGACACATAGAAATTCCCACCTTTCTCCCACCCCCTCGCCTCGACTTGCTGCTTTTATGCTCGGCCCATGCCCTTTCGCATCGTTCTGGGACCAGATCAGGTTTTGTCACTTTTGCGTGGGCACGGAACCTCCCCGAGGTTCGCTCAAGGTTTCCTCTTGACCACATGCAACGCTGGTTCCGATTCTGAGAGAATTCCACTCTGCACTGGAGTTTCCGGAGAAAAATCCCTCTCTCTCTATATGGCGAGTGAGTTGAGGAGTTGGGGAGTAGAGGGCGACTGTTTGGCCCTAGCTCGGTGATGTCTTTTATTTGGTGACTACAGACGATGACCCCCAGTCGTGAAGCAATGTCAATCCTGCGGATGTTGCGTGCTGTTGACCGAGAGTCACATCTTGCCGGCTGGGCAGCTGCGAATGCAGTCCCTCCTTCATCTGCGAAGCTGCTTATGTGCTTACGTACCGCGTCAAAGCGACATTAGGCGAGCAGGCTTGACTCGTCCCTTGAAGAAACAAAAAAGATGCCCTAATATCGTGCACGCGCTCGCCACGCGGTCCCAGATAATTACTGTCTGCTTTGGAGTTAATTGCTCAGCGCTCGTGGTGTATATTCCGACTTCTCGGCCATGAATCGACGCCATTAATTATGTATCATGTCCGCGCTGTAAAATCCACCGGTCTTAGCATACGTCATGGGCCCAACCAGCAAAGCAGGGGGTCCAGGTAACTCTCCATCTTTGTCCAGAGGGCGATCAGCATTGTCTGGAAGGACCTCCGTAGGACTTCAGGCTTGCCATCTGATGGCTGAATGGCACCCGGTCTGGGAATGGAAATTTCGCCCTTGCACACGACAAGATTGCGTATTATCTCTTCAGATGATCAGACCGTCCGCGAAAACATGAATCCTATAGACATGAAGCCCTTGCATGAAGAAGCATGTAAGGGTTGCCTAGATGGTCACCATACGCTGCATGTGGCTTAGTGAAAGTAATGACACTTGGCACCAGGTTGTTCGCGACTTGGCGCGACAGCTGCGGAAATCCCGAACCGTGGACCGCTTATCCATCAGATAAGATGAAACCCCTCTGATCGTCGCTCGGTGGGCATGGTCTTGCATATCATGCAGGCAGCCAACGCGTCCAAGCTACGTAACACGCCACAACCTCACAAACTGCTCACTCACTATGCCACATACGGCATTCTATAATGGCGTCCCGGCTCACACACGAAGCTACTGTATATACTACGCTCATTTGGTGTGGGATTGACGTTGACGCACTGCAACGTACCTGGGTATCGTCGCAACGGCCAAGGAATTCCGCGGCGGTGGAGAGCGGCAGTCAAACTTGCGTAGGTATAAGATCCAGGTCGCGAAGCTCATTGCAATTTAGGCAGAGCAGCGTTCGGCACTTTTGGCTTTGCACTCCTAATAGCCATTGCATGGTAGCTTGGCGAATACTTCATCATGCGGTTTTCCAAGGGTGCCTTGTTGGTGCCTCTTCTCGCACATCTGTCTCTCGCCAAACCGGCCCCAGGCAAATCGACAACAGGCTGCAATGGCACTGACACCTTTGACTACATAGTCGTTGGCTCCGGGCCTGGCGGCGGTCCCCTGGCCGTAAACCTTGCTCATGCGGGGTACTCTGTGCTTCTCCTGGAGGCTGGCCAGAACCATACCGAGAAGGAGAGCCAGCAGATTCCGGCCTTCTTTGGCGAAGCACAGTTTGACGCAGAGCAGGGTTGGTGGTTCTACGTCAAACACTTCGACGATGAGGCCGAGTCTGCAAAGGACAGCAAACTCGTATGGACCCAGCCAAACGGCGAGCCGTGGGTCGGCTCCAATCCCCCGGAAGGCTCGAAGCAGCTCGGCTTCTGGTACCCGCGTGCCGGGACACTGGGTGGATGCGACACGCACAACGGCGGCGTCACTGTGTATCCGTCTGAGTGGGACTGGGACAACATCGCCAATGTGACGGGGGATAAGACTTGGGGTCACGAGCACATGCGATCATACTTCGAGAAGCTCGAAAGGAACACATTCCTTCCAAAAGGGACGCCCGGTCACGGCTTTTCCGGATACCAACCCGTCGGCGTCGGCGACGGCGCCATCTTCGCAAAGGACCAGCAAATACTTGCCGTTGCTCAGGGCTCTGCGGCAGCGCTCGGCTTCAAGAAAAGAAGCGAGAGCCACGACTGGGACGTCATCCTCAAAAAGGACTCCAACGGGGAGATCCCAGACCGGGATCTGCAAAACGACGCGTACCAGCTTTCTTTCAAGAGAGATGAGAAAATGAAGCGATTCAGCGCAGCGAACCGCGTCAATGAAGGCATAGCCATGGGTCTGCCCCTCACCGTCCGGTTTGATAGTCTCGTCACGCGGGTTCTGATCGATGGAGACCGCAAGGCATCAGGGGTCGAGTTCCTCGAAGGCAACATGCTGTACAAGGCCGACCCGCGCGTGCAGAAGAACGGCACCAAAAATGCCGGCAAGCGGCGAACTGTCAAAGCCAGGCGCGAGGTGATCATCGCCGGTGGCACGTTCAACACGCCACAGATCCTGATGTTGAGTGGCATTGGCCCAGCTGAGCACCTCAAGCAATTCAACATCCCCGTCGTGGCGGATCTGCCTGGAGTGGGCGGCAATCTCCAGGACCACTACGAAGTTCCCGTCATCCAGGAATTCCCCAACAACTTCACGCTATTTGACGGCTGCATCGTGGACAAGGACAAGGTCTCCCCGTGCTACGAGCAGTGGCGCGACAACGGCACTGGGCCATGGACGACGCTTGGCTTCCCGCAGATCCTGCTGTATACGACGAGCGTCGCACCCCGAGGCGAGCGGGACATCATCATGTACAGCTTTCCGGATGCCATCCGTGGACACCTTCCGCCGTACACGGACTGGCCCAAGTTCAAGGAGGGTGCGAACAAGTACACCTTCACTGTCGCCGAGTCGCACTCGCGGAACCGCGCGGGCACTGTGCGGCTGACGTCTTCTGATCCCCGAGACATGCCTGAGATCGACTTCAAGTACTTTACCGACGGGGCCGACGACGACATCCAGGGCCTAGTCGACGGCGTCAACTTTGCTCGCAAGATCTTTGACTCGGTGCCCGGGGTGAACGGGACGGGGTCGAAGGAGTGGTTCCCGGGGCGAAACGTGAGCTCCGTGGAGGATCTCCGCGAGTTCGTCAAGTACGAGGCGTACGGACACCACCCGACCGGAACGGCGGCGATAGGAGGGGAGGGCGACGCGCTGGCCGTGCTGGACTCGCGGTTCCGAGTCCGGGGCGTCAAGGGCCTCCGCGTTGTGGACGCGTCCGTGTTCCCCGAGGTGCCGGGAACGTTTCCCCTGATTGCAATCTTCATGGTAAGCGAGAAGGCGAGCGACGTGATTCTGCAGGACGCCAAGAAGGAGGGTGGCAACTGAGAAAATGAGGCCACCCCGTTCAGGTGCAGTGCATGGGTAACATGTGGTGGAGTGTCATGCACAAAAGAACGTAGTAGAAGCGAAGGCATGGGCGGAGGCGGCACGAGAAGAACCTCAGCCTACATTATAGACAATGTAACTCTGCAGGGAAATAAAAGCATGCACTGTTGCAGCATCTCAGGTACGCGTACAGTGCCGACTAACACTGCAGTTCAACTCAGTTAAAATGATGCCGCGGGCTCGTCTCGAGAAAGGGTGGAGGCGCCCGCGTCGCACAAATGGTGGTGGTGGCCCTGCAGCCACTTTAGCGGGCGCGTGGGGGTCGCGTGAGACCCTGAGGTGATCGTTGCGGCTTGACCGCCTTGCCCGCCCAGGCACGGGGCCAAGTTCCCGACCCCACCACCTCACCGCCCTCGGCATGACGGAAAGAGCAATCTCCAAGTTATTCTGCCGCCACCAGCGGCCGCGCAACGGTTTCTGCACGCTCAGCTCACACGACAAGCACCACGACAACCGCCGCCGCAAGCTCACGACCACAATGGCGCCTCCAAAGGGCTCGCGCACCACTGACGACCACAAGGCCGAGGGCGGCGCCGCCAAAGAAAAGTCTGCCGCGCCCTCGGCCGTCAAGATGCGCCGCGGCGCCAGCCAGACGAGCGCCGCGTCCCACGGCCCGGCCAAGGGCGCCAACGCGCCTACATCAGCTCCCGCCCAGCATGCCGCTGCCGCCGAGGCTCCTTCTCCTACCGTAAGCTTCCTCCGTGCTCTTGAGGGAGTTCACAATGCTGACGGGTGCCGATCTTATAGCTGAACTGGACCACGTTCGACCGCACCGCGCTGCACGCGTACCGTCGCGAGTACCGCCTCTCCACGCCGACGTCCTTCTCCAGCACGTACCACCAGCTCGTTCTTACACGGCCAGGGGGCATTGGGCTCTACTCGCCGACCATGGCGCGCCGAAACGGGGCCTTCCGACGGCAGACCAAGGAGCAGCTCGCCATGGCCGTGCGCAAGCATTTCAACGGCGTGGGCGTACAAGAGAATGACGTCATTGTCGACTTTATTCACAAGATACACAGCGAGAGGGTCGCAAAGACATCCGGACCGAGTCGCACAAGTGCGATTGTTACAAAGTAGACGGTGTTGGGTTCTGCGACGTGCTTCTTGTGGCATTTGGGCGGCGTTTGGCGCGTGGGCATTGAGGCTTTCCAAGGGATACCAACTGGCATTGACGTTATGGGCTTGCGTCTGAAGCCTGCAAGAACTAGCATAGACTAGATGCATTCACTTTGTTTAGAGAGGGTGTCGTCATTCGAAGCGCGTTCTCTGTGTGTGGCGTGTCGCAATCGAAGTTGACGTGGCTGTTGCAGCTCGTGCCTGCGGCCGCCACAATCGATAGCAAAATGCCCTTGGCGGGCTGTGCGTCGAAATCGTGGCGTAGGTCCATTACCTTACCCAAACTCAGGTGTCTATTAAACATCAGCTGCGGCAGGCGGCCGATGCCTAGGTAGTCGTTGGCAGTGATGTCCATTGCTGTGCGGTGGTATGTTTTTTGGCCCCAAAGGCCCAAAATCTCCAGCAGTCGACACGCAATGATATGCAACAGGTATGAATGCTGCGAGATTCAATGATGACTGGCAATGGATTGCACAATAGCATAGCTTTGGAAGCAGTCGAAATGTTGCAATGCTTTGCAGCAATTGGCACGCGGGCCTTGTGCACCCATGCCAGGAATATGGTGGCTTGCCATGCCGAGGCCCCTCGGGACAACTCCTCGCCCCCGCCTTCCACTTTCGCCCCTAAACATCGAAGCAAGCCGCCGTGCCTCCACAAATGTTGTTGTCTACTTACATCTGCCCTATCCAACAACAACACAAGTCAAGAGCACTGGATTTAGCTGTTTGCCAAGCTTGTCTACGCCGGCAGCTCTATTAACACCGTCAAAATCGAGTGTCCCTAGCGCCGACGTTTAACTGTTGCTGTACGTAAGTACTTCTGAAGTTCTGGGACTGAGCCAGTCAGACGCTGAAGCGTATCCCAAAGGGGCATATAAAACGGCGCGCTCCAGCGTGACACAGAGTTTTGACTGCCAACATGGGGCTTTTCACCACCCATGACGCCTTCAACCCCAACAAAGACATACCATCATTAAAGGACAAAGTCATCCTTGTCACGGGCGGCAACATTGGCCTCGGGAAACAGGCAATCCTCGAATTTGCCAAGCACAAGCCAAGGCAAATCTGGCTCGCGGCGCGAAACCTCGACAAGGCCCGGGCAGCCGTCAAGGAGATTCAGCAGCAGATTCGTGATGCGCCAATCAGGATCCTACAAATGGACCTGACATCTTTTGCATCGATTCGAAAGGCTGCTCGCATTTTCTTGGAAGAGTCTGACCGTCTGGACGTGCTCATGCTCAATGCAGGCATCATGGCGACGTTGCCAGGGCTGACCGAGAACGGATATGAGGTGCAGTTCGGGACGAACCACATGGGCCACGCGCTTCTCACCAAGCTTTTACTCCCAATGCTGGACAAGACGGCGCAGAGCAGCCCGGATGCCGATGTGCGAGTGGTGGTGCTAACGTCGGAGGGTCACAAACTCGGCCCCAAAGCGGGAATTCTCTTCGACACTCTCAAGACAGAATACGCCCATGTGGATGCCTTTGTGCGCTACGGTCAGAGCAAGTTCGCCAATGTCCTTTTCGCGCGGCGACTCGCTCAGCTGCGGCCCAGGCTGACCGTTGCGGCGGTGCACCCGGGGGTGGTACGGACGAACCTCGTGGCCGGCGCGACGGGCATGTCGAAGTCGGCGCGGGTGGCCGGGCCGCTCGCCAACCTTGCGTTCACGCCAGTGAGTGAGGGAGTCAAGAACCAGCTGTGGGCATCAGTATCAAAGCATGTCGTGAGCGGCGAGTACTATGAGCCTGTAGGTGTCCCCGACAAGGTGCGGAAGCTGGGGAGGAGCGACGAGCTCGCAAAGGCGCTGTGGGACTGGACGGAGACGGAACTTGAATCGCAATGTGGCGAGCCTTCATCGAAGTTGTGAGTGCCGGGGGTGCTCCCTCGCGGCGATAGTCTAAGAATAATCGACGCTTGTTTAGGACGCAATGGTGGTCGTGGCGGCGACCTAGTTAGTAGGCAATGCCGGGCTGATAGAGTCCCTGGATCCAGTGCTTCGGCAAGCGTTGAAATTCCGCGTCTCTGAGAAGTCGCAACCACCCCCCACGTCCAGGTCCTCATGCTCCTTGCTCGGTGGCCGTCTGTTCGCAGACTGGCGATGCTCCAGGGGAGATGTGGGCCCTGTTCGCATTCGCGATGGAGCTGGAGGATTCCACAGTGAGATATAGAAGCTCCGCCATTGGCCGATCGCCGACTTCGGGTTATGACGGCATTGGTCGCCTCAGGCAGAACGGCCCCGGCTCAAAGCCGGCAGAAAAGTTTCGGGGAGCACTGCTCTGCCGCTGGACCTCCCGACTCCTGCGTTTCCACTACTTGGCCCAGCGTGCTGTAATCGCGGCAGACAATTTCTCGAAAGGCTTGCGCTGCTTATCAGATGAATTGCTGTGGCTCATCATGAATTCTAGCCTGCTCACCAAGGCCGCTGCGCCTGCACGAGTCCTGGCGCAAACCCAGTTCGCCAGCCGACCTAAGCTCCGAGAATGCGTCGGCAAGAGGGCCCGAATCCATACGGCCTCATATCGCGTGACGCCTCGCGCCCGACCGACCAGTCAACGAAACAATTATACCCCTTGTTCGCGACGGGTGAGCCTGCCTTGCTGCAATTCAGTTACATCAGATATGCTGACTGCGTGACTAGTCGTTCCATGCCACCAACGCTCTCGCCCAAAAAGATCCCTATAAGGCTCTCGGTGTGAGCAAGAGCGCGACCGCCGCCGAGATTAAAAAGGCCTACTATGGCCTCGCGAAAAAGTACCATCCCGATACGAACAAGGATGCGACCGCCAAGGACAAGTTCGCCGACATCCAATCCGCCTACGAGATCCTGTCCGACCCCAAGAAGAGGGAGCAATATGACCAATTCGGCGCGGCGGGCTTCGACCCCAGTGGTGGCCCTGCGCCGGGAGGCGACCCTTTCGGCGGAGCGGGCAACCCATTTGCGGGTTTCGGAGGGCAGGGTGGTTTCGGCGGGGGCTTCAACTTCGAGGACATCTTCTCCGCCTTCACTGGACAGCAAGGTCCGTTTGGCGGGAGGCGTGGCGCCCGGGGCAGCCCCTTCCAGCAGGAGATTTTGGTCGGCGACAACATCGAGGTCCAGGCCAGCATATCGTTCATGGAGGCAGCCAAGGGCACGAGCAAGACCATCTCCATCACTCCACTTACCACGTGCGGGACGTGTACGGGTAGCGGCTTGAAGTCAGGCACGCAGCGGTCTCCATGCAAGGCTTGCAACGGGACCGGCACTCGGTTGCACTTCATGCAGGGCGGCTTCCAAATGGCGTCGACATGCGGGACCTGCGACGGCACTGGCTCGACGATCCCCAAGGGCTCCGAATGCAAGACCTGTTCTGGAAACGGGGTGGTCCGCGAACGCAAGACGATAACCGTTGATATCCCCGCCGGCATCGAAGACGGCATGAGACTCCGCGTCGACGGCGCCGGCGACGCCCCTCCCACTGGACGAACCGCCGACCCCAACACCCGGTCGCAGCGCGGCGATCTATACGTCTTCGTTCGCGTCGCCAAGGACCCCAAGTTCAGCAGGGAGGGGTCCAACATCCTATACACCGCCAATATACCCTTGACTACGGCCTTGCTTGGTGGCCAGGTTTCTATCCCCACACTGGACGGGAGCGTCAACGTCAAGGTCGCCACCGGCACCAACACCGGGGACAAGATGACGATGAGCGGCATGGGCATGAAGCGGCTTGGCTCGCGGAGAGGTGGCTCCGGAGATCTGAGAGTCGAGTTCAGGGTCAACATGCCCAAATACCTCAGTGCGAACCAGCGAACAATTGTGGAGATGCTGGCCGATGAGATGGGCGACAAGACTGCGAGACGTGTTATGAATGTCTCGTCGCAGCGGTGAGTGCTCTTTGTCAGGAGTAGTAGACCTGAGCCCAGACTGACGATATGTGCAGGCCCACGACTGATCCCTCAGACCCGGAGTCGCACAAGAACGAAGGATTCCTCAAGTCCATGTGGCACACGCTGACCAACCATCCGGCCCACCAGAAGGACGGCGAAGGCGAATCTAGCACTAGCAAGGACGACAAGAAGCAGGACGACAAGAAGCAGGACAAGCCCAAAGACGAGCCCAAGAAGTCTGACTCGACGTCAGGCTGAGTACCTACAGCAGCGTACGACTACTTCTGTACCATAGAGCATTGCAGGTGGAGGCGACGTATAGAGTGCATTTAGTGGTGTTCAAAAAGGGGATGACATTCAAGTCATGGCGTTTTCATGGGGGAGGGGGGCACGAACAGCGACCCCAAGACTCTTTGTGCAGATTTGCAAGCTAGCTTTGGCCTTTTTGTGTATGCTAACAGGTATTGCGTAGAGAGCGTACTCTCAGCGAGAAGAAGAATCTCCTCACACTAGGTGCAGAGCCCCGGAAATCAAGGAATCAAATGTGACGTGACTTTCTTGTCCCGCCATTGCCAAACGTAACGCCTTTGAAAGCTCGTGGTTCTCCAAACGCCGGTCGGGGTATCTAACATTTCGCGCCCTTCCAAAGCCGCTGTTTTGGTCAGATTCCGGACGTTGCACCAGAGTTTGTCGACTCACAAGTCAGAGCGACGCAACAAATGCGCGGCTGAAAGTATCAACGAAACGAGACGGTTAGTTGCGAGCAGTAGGGTTCCGAGGCGACATCTCCATCTTGTGCCTGCCTGTTCTCGTAATCCTGGAACGGCCTGAACTGAAGTCTCAACCGATGGGCTTCAGCTTCTTCTTCTTCTTCTTGTCGGGGTCCCCGCTGCCAGTCGATTTGCCCTTCTGAAAACTCCTCCAGCTGTTGATGCGCTGGTCGCGGGTAGCCTCCCAGTCCTGTTCGTGCTTGCGCTTACGCTTGCGCTCCTCCATTTCGGCCTCCTCCTTGCGCTGCTCGCGGCCCTCCTCCTGCATCTGGGCTTTCAACTGGCGGCGGCGGCGGTGCTCGTTATCGATCAGGACCTCCATCGACTTGGTGCGCCACTTCTTGGCGAAGCCGTCGGTCTTGAGCTCGGGGCTGTCGACGGTCCACTTGTTCTCGCGGATGAGGAGCATGCGCGCGTCGGCGATGGCTTCGTCGAGGATGGCGCGCTTCTTCTCGTCCATGAGCTCTGTTTGGGCCTTCTTCAGGCGATCGAAGGCGTCGGGCGCACGCGGGTTCTTAGTCTTGTCGGGATGTATGAGAAGCGACTTTTTGCGATATGTGATCTTGATGTCGGACTCGGGCACACCTGGGTGGAGGTCGAGGACGGCATACCTGCAGTGAGGACTGGCGTCAGCGACATCTGCCCGGATATGCTGGGCTGTGTTGTGCAACTTACGCATCGAGGCGAAACGCCTTTAAAATGCGATCTATCTCGGCATCCTATCATGTAGAGGGTCAGCGATGAAAGTTCTGAGCAAGACAGGTGGACGAGGAGAAGTGCCTACCTTGTCAAACTCCTTGGCCTCCAGCTCCAGCGCGTCGAGCGCGTCGCGATCGTCGGTTGCATCGTCGGATGCCATAGCGGATGGTGCAGCAGTGCAATTCTCGCTTTCTGATGGCTATGGCTCCCAAGCTTCTCCGAGTTGAGCGTGGAATGGCGGGGGATGCGAAACAGTCCGTGGTGAGAAGGGTGGTCGCCGGCACAGTGAAGATGGCGGTTATTGGTGTTGAAGGTGGCACGGCCACCAAAGCGGCGGGCAGGTGGAGCCCAATGGCCCTGTCCCGACCCAGTTGCCAGCGCCTGCCCCGCGGCGATAAGATAAGCCTGCCGGCCCAGAAAAAAAAGTCGGCCTCCCAAGACCCGACGGTGAGAGACTGATCTGCGACGTGAGGAAGGCCTCGACTGCACTTTCAGCGTCCACCAGTCGACAGCTTCCAGCACAGCGAGCCGCCGCCATGCCTCGACGCGCAGTTTCGCCCGCGGCCTCGGAGCCCGAGCTCGACATCCTGGGGTCTCTGTACCCCGGAGACGACGACAATGGCGCGCATGCTTCTGCGCTCAACGGCGAGCTCGACATCGACGGCATCTTGAACGTCCCCGGGCCCGCGGAAGACGGCGATGACGAGGCCTTCATTGCTCTACAGCAGGCGGCATCGTATCGCAAGAACACCAACCTCAAGGGGCGCACAGTAAAGAAGGGTGGTGGCTTCCAGGCGATGGGTACGTTGCCCCTGATCCCTGAGCGGGCGTCGCGACGTGTACTGACCGCTTCTCGGCGTAGGCCTCAATGCCAATCTGCTCAAGGCCATCACTCGAAAGGGTTTTTCCGTTCCTACACCCATTCAGAGGAAAACGATACCCCTAGTTCTCGACAGGAAAGATGTCGTGGGCATGGCGCGGACAGGCTCCGGCAAGACGGCCGCCTTCGTCATACCTATGATCGAGCGCCTGCGCGCACATAGTGGCCGTTTCGGCAGCCGAGCCCTAATTCTCTCGCCGTCGCGCGAGTTGGCCATCCAGACTCTCAAGGTAGTTAAGGAGTTTGGTCGCGGCACTGACCTCAAGGCCGTGCTCCTGGTCGGTGGCGACAGCCTCGAGGAGCAGTTCGGCTCAATGACCTCCAACCCGGACATTGTCATTGCCACGCCTGGTCGCTTCCTGCATCTTAAGGTCGAGATGGGCTTGGACTTGAGCTCTATTAAATACGTTGTCTTCGACGAGGCAGATCGGCTCTTTGAGATGGGTTTCGCAGCGCAGTTGACCGAGATTCTGCATGCTCTACCGCCTTCGAGGCAGACGCTACTCTTCTCTGCGACGCTGCCTGCATCTCTTGTGGAATTTGCTCGTGCTGGTCTGCAAGATCCGAGCCTCGTTCGTCTCGATGCCGAAACCAAGGTATCGCCGGACCTGCAGAGTGCCTTCTTCTCTGTCAAGGGAGCCGAGAAGGAAGGCTCGCTGCTTCATATCCTCCACGATGTCATCAAGGTTCCTGTAGGAGTCCCGCAAGCGGCGCAGCGGGAAAACGACAAAGGATCCAAAAAGCGAAAGCGAGAACCCGAGGGCCCCGGTAAGCCCACGGAACACTCGACTATTATCTTCACGGCAACGAAACATCACGTGGAATACCTGGCGAACTTGTTGCAGCATGCCGGCTTTGCAGTCTCGCACGTTTACGGTTCTCTGGACCAGCTTGCCCGCCGGATACAAGTCGAAGACTTCAGGGGAGGCAAAACGAACATCCTGGTCGTCACCGACGTTGCAGCTCGAGGTATCGATATCCCCGTCCTGGCAAACGTCATCAACTTTGACTTTCCGCCCCAACCCAAGGTCTTTGTTCACCGTGTTGGTCGAACGGCCCGAGCGGGTCAGAAGGGCTGGAGTTACAGCCTTGTCAGAGACATTGATGCGCCGTATCTCCTTGACTTGCAATTATTCCTGGCCAAGAAGCTGGTCATTGGCCAAGACGGCAGCAATCCGTCTTTCGCTCAGGACGTGGTTGTGGGAGCTCTGAAGCGAGACTCCATGGAGACGCACGTCGAGTGGATGAACAAGGTCCTCAACGAGGAAGAGGACATCGACGCGCTGCGAAAGGTGGCGGCGAAGGCGGAGAAGCTCTACATGAAGACTCGAAACTCAGCTTCGAGCCAAAGTGCGAGGCGCGCCAGGGAAATTGTCGCGTCCGAGGGCTGGATGCAGCTTCACCAACTCTTTGGCGAGGATGTGGACGGCCAAGAGCAAGCTCGCACAGCGATGCTGGCCAAAATCAGTGGATACAAGCCTCAGGAGACCATATTTGAGGTCGGCCATGCGGACAAGGGAACGTCCGAGGCAGCAGAGGTGATGAAGCAGCTGAGAAAGCGAATCACACCGAGGAACAGGCAGGCGAAGCCAACAGAGGATGATGTTGACGACGAAGAGTTCGGGGGCGTCCAGAACGGCGACGGGATGGATGTCGATTCAGACGACAACGACTCTGACGATATCGAGGCGGCTCAAGACCTGGCCGTGGACGAAGACGAAGACAACGACGACGACGACGACTTGGAGGTGACCGTCACTAACACGGGCGCCAAGAGAAAGGGAAAGACGGACTGGCGCGACTCAGACGTGTTCATGTCTTACACTCCCCGGACCGTCAACGCCGCCGAGGAGCGGGGCTACGGCGTGCACTCAGGCGGCGCCGGGTCCAGCTTCGTCGAGGCCGCGCGCGACGCCACCATGGACCTCGGCAACGACGAGTCGTCCAAGTCGTTCGGCGCACCGACCCGCGCCAAGATGCGCTGGGACAAGAAGTCCAAGAAGTACGTCTCGCGCGACAACGACGAGGACGGCTCCAAGGGCGCCAAGATGATTGTCGGCGAGAGCGGCGTCAAGATCGCCGCCTCCTTCCAGAGCGGCCGCTTCGACAGGTGGAAGCGCGCCCAGCGCATGGGCCGCGGCCCCCGCGTCGGCGAGCTGGAGCGCCCCGGCGCGGTGCAGGGCATCCCCTCGGGGCAACGCTTCCGCCACAAGCAGGAGAGGGCGCCCAAGGAGGCGGACAAGTTCCGCGACGACTTCAAGGTCCGCAAGAAGAGGGTCGACGAGGCCCGCGAGAAGCGCGTCGGCCGCTTCCGCGACGGCATGGGCAGCAAGAAGGAGCTCAAGGGCCTGCACGACATTCGCAAGGCGAGGGAAGAGCAGGAGAAGCGGCGAGCCAAGAACGCGAGGCCAACGAAGAAGAAATAATGATTTCTGGGCGCCCAGTGCCGTCATAGCGTTCATAGTGATTTATATCAAGTCAGTGCACCATGCCACGAGACTTTTATAGCCGTGACACTCGCCTCCTGTCCGATCAACATGAGCACGACATCATGGCAGGTAATACTGATCACCGCGGCGTGCTAGAGGTAATTATGCAAAGCAATAGTACGCTTGTTGCCACTTCTATTCCGAACCAAGCCGAATGATGTACATTCCCTGATGCGCCATCTTCGGATTCGGTCGTACCCATCCTATTCAGAGCAAGCCTCAAAGCCAGCTACCATGTAATCCTTGAACTACCAAGATTACATGAGAATATATGCTAATAATGTACTGACGAGCAGCAGAGGTACGCCCTTCTGCCATCGAGAGGTGCTGCGCCCTAATGTCGCCGCTCCCTTTGGGGGTATCGTTGTTGCCTGCTAAAAATCATAAAATGCAAATGTTGGTGGTACAGTCACGGCATGATGCCGTGAGTAGCGTGCATGAACCGCCCCGTACACATCATTCTGCGCCATCCAAGTTTGCCACCCATTGCCTCACAGCATCGCGTAAGACGTTGGGCTGACGCTGCCGGCTGTGCCTGTTGCTACGTCCTTGACCACTACCGTCCATGTCGCGGCTGTCGATGGCTTCCCGAATCATCTCCTCAAGCGTAGATAGGATGACTGTCTTGCATTGCACCCTGGGTACATCCAGTGGCTGATCCGCAAGCTGAGTCACCTCGGAAAGTGCATCAGGTATGGTGCTGCCGCTGTCAGTGCTGCCCCGGAAGTCGCTAGGCGCCTGCGATGAAGGGGCTGAGTTTTCTTTGCTGGCGTCTGGTGTCGAGTGGATGACCTTCTCGATGGACTCTTTCAACGCTTCATCGGCAACAAAAATGTCATCGTCCAGCCACTCCTCTTCCAGTTGATGCTCGTACGGGAGAACAGATGGCGTCAGGAGCACAGACCCGTTGTGGCCAGGCACGACAGTGTTTCCGGAAATCCTGTCTATCGTGGCTTTGGGTTTGACCAGTCGACGGTAGACATAACGCTTGACAGAATTTGTCGTCGTGTCTGCGATGACGACCGCGCTGACGTCGACCCAGCGCTCAGACTGACTGTTACCGACCGGGAAATCAGGTGCAGGTGTTGGCTCCGCTTGAAGAGCCGCCTTCACCTTATCAAGCAAGTTATCTTGTGGGGGGAGAGCCTGGAGCGCGAAGTCCGGGTGGAAGCGGTTCAGCCATCCAGCGGCATTAAGCGGCAGATCGCCCTCAATGGCAAATCGCGCCGACTGCTCAAAAGTCTCCAAACCGCTGGGCATTCCCGGAGTCGATAGGTAGCCACTGCTGGATGGCGAGCTGATAGCCGATTCATACGACGCGATAAAATCTGGAAATGGGACGTCAACGTCTATCACCCCATCCTCGGCGTTGATAGACGTCTTGACAGGGGACTCGAATGCGCCAGACGGGTCTGGGGTCCTCTCCACCTGCGAAAACGACGCTCTGCCTCTCCTCAAGTCATCTGAAGCGGGACCGAAATTGCGTGCATCGAACGGCTGAGACACTTGACGGGATGTCGCCTCAGCTGACTCTTCAGCAGGCGAGACCTCCCGGACCATCTCAGACAGCTTGTCAGGGCGACCAAAAGTAGTCTTGATCGGCGACCGAAGGTCACTTCCCTGACTGTATGTGCCGCTGTCGATGGACTCCCTTCGGCGCGCGTTCCATAGCCCACTCACCAAGCTACCCCATTTCAACCCTTGGCTCGTGGGCCGTGAGCTGGCCGACGTCGCCTGGCCGCTACTCTCAACGCGTTTTAGAGAACGCTTCAAGTCGTCTGCTGCAACACTGCCGCTACTGCCAGGGCGACGTCTTCTATGGTTATCGCGCTGCTGCTGAGCAGTTGCAAAGTGCGGCGTCGTGGCTTCCGGTACAATCGTGGCGGTTGTCGCGGCACTGCTCTTGCGATTCACGAAATCTTGGCCGGGCATGGGGATGTTTGTAGTCCGGATCGACGCTGCATCCGAGGCACGTCGCTGATGTTGATTTCGATCAAGCGTCAGGTGAGCAAGCTGCGAGGGAACACCGGAAGTTCGTGTGCTTTGGCTGGCGGTCCTCGAGTGAGATGCGCGCCGCAGGCCGCTGCGCCGGTTGATCTTGCGGCGAAGAGACTCCTCGCGAAGGATGGGCACGATGAACGTTGGAGGCGAGTTGGAGTAGCCCCCCAATGATGCGGACGTGCTCGGCCGGTGTGGCCTCGCGGGCGAGACTTGTTGGCTTGCCGGCAAAAACGCCGAAAGAAGGAAGATCAACCTGCGCGCAGCCATCTTGTCATCAGACACAACAATGGTTCGTGCTGGCAGCGAGAGGTCCTCTTCATTTCGGTTCCGTCTGGCCGTTGCGGCTCTCTTGCTGAAAGCAGGTCCGCAAAGGGCCTGTAACCAGTCGGTATGGGTAGCCAGGAACCCTGTCAGAAGGTTATAGAAGAACTGGCCTTTCTCCGGTGATGAAAGCCAATGCGACGTCCATATTGCTTCATCACGCCAGATGCCCCATCGGCCCTGTCCAGTGACAACCCTAGAGGCGCTGAGCCCCAGGACTACTCTAGTCCTCGCCAGTCCTGCCTCGTGCGCAATGTTGACGTCGCTGTTGAGACAGGTGGGGGCCAACGAGACAAGCTTGGTTGTGCTCTTGTGTGGCTTGGCTCGGTGGGTGTCATTGCCCCTTCTGTCGGATAGCGAAGGAGTCCGAGAAATCAAATTCGAGGCTGCCGAGGTAGAGTACGGGCCAGGCGAGGCAATGTCAGCTTGCTTAAGCATGCCGTGGATGGTCGTGGCGGCCACAGACTGAAGGTGAGTCAAGGTTCGCATGATGATGTCCCAGTGCTGGGTAAGCCAGTCGATTCGGTCCTCAAAGTCGATAGAATAGGACGAGTCGGTTATGTCGCCGTAATTACCAGAGCCAGTCATGTTCCAACCGGCCTTAGTCGAGTTGTAGGAAGAAGAGAAAAAGTCTTGGTCGTTATACGACCCTGACTCACGGAATGCGGATCTCGCCGGGGCGGCCGATGACATCCGTGATGACGCACGGGGCAGCTGCACCACCAACACGACGGCGTACATGGGAGTTCGCCTCTGCTTAGGTTGTGGCTTCTTCTTCTTACCAGACGCCGAGTCATCCCCAGCGGACGGAAATGGGAAGCCACTATTGTCGTCCGAGAACCGGCTCTGTGGTGTAACGTTGGCATCGGCATCCTCAGCAGTCAGGTTGACAGGGAACAGTCTTGTGATGAGGACTTTCTTCTTGTCACTCTGTCGCGAGTAGCCGGTTGGTGGGAGTGGAGGACCGATTGTCGGCGAGACAGTCTGCGAGGAGAAAGACTGTGACAACTTACTCGAGCGGCCGCTCGAGCGGCCGATGGAGCTCCGTCCATCCCCAAAAGCAGATGCGGAGTATTCGGCTGGACGGGTATCGCTGGGAACGACATGAACTTTTGTTGATGTTCCCTTGTAGGCCATCAGCTCCGAGTTACCAAATATGCAGCTCGAGAACGTCGCAAGCTCCTCGCGATACTCGCGGGCAACTCGCTGCGCATCAGTCTCTGCATAGCTTTGACTCCTGCCATGGACTGACGCTCGGCGATCAAACGCACCCTGACGAGGCTGGGGGCTGTCTGGTTGGATCACGAGTGGCCGGGACGACTGGCTGAGGCTTGTTTTGCGCGGTGACAGGGGGGTTCTTCTCGGGTCCTGGCGAGCGGGAGATCGTTCAGCCGCCTGTTCCGGGGGCAGGTGGCTATCGTACAGGAGGGAGGCGTTCGTGGGTCCCAGAGCATCTTGGAGAATGATGACGCGGACATCGCGAGAGTCAAGCTCAAAATCTTCGCTCACGTCGTACGAGTTGGCGGCCGCAGCAGATGGCGTCGCTGGCGCCGAAGACAAATCAAACACTTGGTCATTGCGGTGCTGGTACAGTGCCTGTGCGTCCGGAAATAGGAGATTTCGCGTGTGAATGTCCTCCTGGACAGACTCAAGTGGGAGGGCCGGCCGAGGCGTGCTGCTGCTGCTGCTCGTAGCGGCTTGGGGGGTAGCCGACCCTCCGGAGCCCAAATGGAGGAGCCGCCCTAGCATGTCGGCTACAGGGCGTGATGCATCCGCGGAAGAGAGTGATGAGGAAGCCACGATCCGGTGGTGTGCGGTCACAAGAGCCCGCGGCGTGGTCGGAACCAAGTTATGTCGGCCGGCTGGCTCTCATGAGCAGGTGGGAAACCAAGGTACCTCGCACTGCAGGCATAGTCGGGCTGTGCAATGAAGTCGCAGCACCTGGCCGCAAGAGAGAAGGTGGTGCAGAAAGACAAGCTGGCAAAAGTACGGCAGCGCGTGTAGATGCCAAGGAGTCGAGAGAGATGGTGGGCAACCGGCTTGTCGATGAGAGTGTGTAGAAGGTTCCGAAGTGAGACCACGAATAAACTGCTGCGTCCCAAGTGGCCGGGTAGATGCCGCGCACAGACCGAGGATGATAGGCGCGACCAGCAAAAGCAGAGAGCGAGGAGCGGTCAACGATCAAGGCGCCGTCGGTGTGCCCTAGGCTAGAAGAAAGAGTGCTGTCCAGGCGACGTGGTCAGCTCGGATGAGTTCCAAGGCGTCTGGCGAGGCGAGTAGCCGTTGGCCGCGTCGTGACACAGTCGGTGAGACGATTACCAGCGGTGGCTCATCGTCCACACGTGTTTCGGCGCTGATGCGAGGCAGACGAGCAGTAAGGCCGCAGAGTTCCGGGGATGCGACGGGGGCGCGCGGGATGAGACGGGATGACGAGGCGCCGAACGACAAGAGTGAATCGGGCAGCGCGGCGGCGACGACTGGCGACGAGTCTCGGCGGCCACGGGCGCTCCTGTGCGTTTCCTTGCCGTGCGGTGATGAGCCGAGGCCGCGGCGACTTTGCGGGATGGCAACAAGAGATGCGGTTGCGGACGGTAGGTGAGGGTGAACGAGGGCGTCGAGATTGTGGCGGGCAGGGTGCTCCGATATGGGCCTTGTGAAAGTGGCGGAGGGAGGGACACGGGCAGTCAAGCATGGGGGTGGATAAGCCGGAGGTGATGGATCGGGCGTGGCAGGCAAGGAAGGCCGGGCCAGACAAGGCGAGGCCAGACCAGGGTGGCCTGGGCGCCGAGAGTCCGTAGACCCAGAGAGCCGGGTCAACCAGGCAGTCGAACCAGGCGCACACCGATGAGCGGCAGAGGCAGCCACGGAGCCAGCTGGCAATGAAGTGGATGGAAACTGCAGTGGGGAGAGGGACGAGGGTACCTGGCGCTCTGTGTCCCGTGGGTGCACTGCACCACGCGAGCGCCGCCCACAGCGAAGTACCTTGCCTGCCCTTGGCCCAGACGACTGGAAGGCTGAGGTGGCAGGCAGTCCCGTCTCCCCAGGTGAGCCCCACGCTGAAGGACGCTGGCCTGGCCTAGCCTGCAGGCGTGGTACCTACCGAGTGAAGGTTGCGGTGGCCTGCACTGGCCCGCTGGGGCGTGCGCGTGGCGTGGGAGTGGAGAGTGGAGAGGCCGGGCCTGTGAATGAAGGCAGCTCTGAACCTGGAAGCGCCGCGGGCGGGGGGAGGGGCCACGACCGGCGGCGCAGACGCCAGGCTGTCCTGGGCCTGGACTGGAGGCTAATAACGACCTGGCGCCACCTGTGCCTCGCCTGAGGCGCCGCCAGTGGGCTGCCGCCAGCGCCGGCGGTAAACCTCTTGACGGAAGCAGCAGCGAGTGAGAGGGCGGGCGTTTGCAGCACACGATCCTCCGTCGAAGCCTCAGCATGGCACGATCGGTTTGTGATGGCGAGCGGCTCTTGCAAAGAGAAAGACATGCATTCGTACTCGTATGGGCGCAGCGCAGTACATGAGACCTGTGCAGACAGGCCAGACAGCCGCGGTCGGTCATTTACCAGAGACAGGGGGCCTGAACCGGCCAGGACCCTTGAGCCCCCGCGTATGAGGCGTGCAAGTCGGTGTACTTCCACTTGGAGTGATGGAGTGCTCGTACGAGATCCCGCCCCCCGCCTGTCAGACTCGCGATAGCATTGTTCGGGCAACGGCCGGGCCCTTCCTGTGGCGACTCAGCTGTGAGTTGACAGCAGGACAAAAGGGCCCCAGATGCCAGGACATGGGCAAGGGGCTTCCAGCGTCAATCGACACGGAAAAAGCACAAAGCGCCGTCCATCGTCCGACGACCCCTGGTGCGACTGAGCCCCATCATCGTCATGTGGCAAACTGGCAGGGGGATTCAGGCATGCCTCACAACAACAAACTTCCAAGCTCGTCTGCATTGTGTTCAGCCCAGCTGTACAGTACAGTAGCTGGCAAGCTGGGCCTTATTGTAACGTATTGTGCTGTCGCCGCCCGCCTACAGTGCCCGTAAAGGGACGGACTACGAGCCGGGAAACTTTTGCCATCCAAGGTCCCTGTTGGCAGCTGGCAGTTGGCACTTGAATAGTGACAGTGACAGCAGCAGCTGGCAATTGGCCGAATGCTGTGACTCTTCAACGTGCGCTGGGCTGATGCATGCATGTCAGGACTGCATGTGTGAAGTCAACCTTGGCCGTCCATTCCGTCACCGGCGGTCAACGAGTGGAGGGTCGTGGGTGCAACCTCGCCGTCACCGCTGTGGAGGGGCGGCATGGGGGGCTTG